TGTTTGTTTTGCTCTTTAAAGTTTTGATACAAGAGGTATAGTAAATGAAGAGTACAACATGCACTTGTTCTTTTAATCATTTGATATCACATACATCCACAATTGGCTAAAGAATTGAGACCGTCGGAGAATGGAGACCGCCCAGACTAAAATAAATGAGTTCATGGGTTTGACTCAACTCATTTGTTAATTGAGTTGGGTTAACCCATTAACTCATTTAGTTTGATAGGTTAAATGGTTAAATGAGTTGATACATTAAATAATAAATTGATTAATAATTACCATAAACTAATAATCAATATCATCATTATTATCACTACTATCACCATTATTTGGCGGAAAAATAACGGAAATACATTTTCACGGAAAAATTGCAAATTCACATTTTTAGTGGAAAATTTGAAGATTGACAATTTTTAGTGCGAAAATTGGAGATTTTCATTTTTGGCGGGAAAATTTTGCGGATTCACACTTAAGATAAGAAATTTACGGATTCACAGTTTTTGACGGGAAAATTACGGGTTTACGTTTTTAGCGGGAAAATTACGGATTTGTGTTTGGCAGAAAAATATTGAATTATGTTTTTGGCAAAAAAAATATGGGTTTCCTTTTGGCGAGAAAATTACGGGTTTATGTTCTGGTAGAAAAATACGGATTTACTTTGTTGTTGAAAATGATGTATTTACGTCTTTGGCGGTAAAATTATGGGTTTACGTTTTTTGCCGAAAAATACTTACGTTTTTAGCGGGAAAATAGTGTATTTACGTTTTTGGCGGGAAAATTACGGATTTACGTTTTTTTGGATTTATGATGATGATGATTTTGTGTTGATAATGAATAAATTGATGGGTTCCTACCAAAAAAAAAAATGAATAAATTGATGGGTTGATGGTTAACTCATTAACCCATGGAAGTCAACTCATGAGTAACCGGAAACGAATACCCAAACCGAAAACGCGAAAAAAATACCCGAACAGATTTTTAAAAAATACCTGAATGGATCCTATACCTGACTGCCCAAAAAAATTCGAATCAAATCCAATACATGTGGGTACCCGAATATAAATATACACCTTAATATACTCCAAATACCCAAATCTTATCATATAAAGTATGGTTTTCAAAATTATTTACTCATATTATCGTGACACGTGCAAGTCTATCGATAAGATTTTGACACATATAAAAACAAAATTCTATTAAAAGAAAAAATTGAAAATAAATAAAAGGATTACAATTACTATTATTGAAAAAATAGTATAAAACAAAATAATATAGTAAATTACTAATCCTAATAAGAAAACTGTTAAAGGCATTATTCCTTTTATAATAAACTAAATTACAAATCCTAATAAGGAAATAATTACAATTACTATTTTTTTGTAAACATATATTAAAAAGGAAAATTGTACAAAAAGAAAAGTGATTAAAGAATATAATTATATTATACAAAGTTTGTTGTTTAAAAATTAGTATTTAACAAAATCGAGAGACATGTTAATCAGTCAATCATTTTAAAGCATGTAAACCTTGACAAATTGATTTTTTTAAATCGACTCAGAAAAAATACAAAGTCCAATATGATTTTAAAGGTAAATCTAATTTAAATAAGTTTATGATAATTAAAATATAGAGGTTTAAAGAAAATATAGTTAAATAGGAAATTTATAAGAAAATAAATTTAACCAGACGGATTTACGTTTTTAGCGGAAAATTTTTGTATTTACGTTTTTAGTGGGGAAATTACGAGTTTACGTTTTTTGTGGAAAAATATGGGTTTATGATGATAGAGATTGGCTAAAGAATAGCCTAAAATTAAGATTTTACCATTTGACTAAAATAAATGAGTTCATGGGTTGAGCTAACTCAATTAACTCATTTACTTTGATGGGTTAAATAGTTAAATCGGTTGACCCGAATACAAATATACACTTTAAAATATTAGTTATATTTTATACTTATAATACCCCAAATACCCAAATTACAATTATAAATCCGAATATACTAGATATTTTTGAGTAATTCGGATACATTTGGATATATTTGAGTAAAAAGTAACCAATGTATTTTCGGTTATTTTTGGATATTTTTGGCTATCTACTTAAATACCCGAACTGATCCGATTCCGAACCAAATTTTGAATTATCCGAATAGGTCTCGACGACCCCCCCCCCCCCCGACACCCGAACAGACCCGAAACCCGAAAAAAGAACCGATCAGGTTCGGGTATCAGAACGAATATTATTCATTAACCCATTAAGATCAATATTTTCAACTCATTAGGATTCATAGGTTGAGTTAAGTTGAGTTGACCCATAGATTTTGACTTATTTTGACACACTTAAGTATAACATTTTGTTAGAAATACCTTAAAGAATATTGTTTTCCATTAAAAACAGCAAAATCACATAATTATGTTATTGTACCAAAAGCTTGAAATCACAAAATTTTTGAAAAATTGCGGTATAATGTTTTCCCACGAAATTTTTTTTATTAAATTACATTTTCCTACTAAAACTGCAGAAGCCGGAAAATTATGTTTTTCTGCCAAACTGCAAAATTGAAAAATTGTATTTTTCCCGTCAAACCTTAAAATCATTATTTTGGTGAAAGTTTTGTGGAATATTGTCTGGCCGACAAAACCGTTAAATCACAGAATTGTGAGGAAAATTAGTTTTTTTTTGCTAAAACCGCAAAATCACGAAATTGTTTATTTCCATTAATTATGAATATCTATGTTAGATTTGTTTGTTTTTATGTATTTAAAATGTGTTTAGTGCTGTGTTTTTAAAATTTTATACAAAAAATAATTTTATAATTGAATCTATTTCATAAAAATGGAAATTTATAACTATAGAAAGAATAATTTGAAAAATGATTTGATTGTAAATATAATCTAGATCATAAAATGTCGTGAATATTTAAAAAAAAATATCTATTTAAATCATTTTGATATCACATACTGTATGTGACATACATCATCCACAATTGGCTAAAGAAAAAAAGACCGCCGGACTAAAGTAAAGACTTTTTTTTTATCAGCGGGCGAATACAACGGCGACACTTAGCCTCTTCCGCGAGCTCCTTCATTCCCGATTGATTATGGCCGTCGATGGTGAGACCATCTTGATGCCGGTGGCTGCCTGCGTTGCCAAATGGCACTATTCTAGGTCTAGATACTTTATGCTCCCACCGTGATTCTCCGTCTCCCGTCGGCTTCTTCTTACTCTGACTTTATGATTCGGAGATTAATCTGCGCGGCTATTTCTTCCGTCGCGTATCTCGTCTTAACAGCTTTTCTACTTACGGTAAGCTTCCTCCGAGTCCCATTTCTCGATTTGAAGTTAATTCTCCGTTGATCTGTAATCGAATTAGGTCAAAGCTAAACGAAGCTAGTTACATCTTGTGGTTCAAGTTGGCCATTTATTTTTTATTGACAGTGTCTGTGTAATCGATTTAGAAAAGATGCAATCTAGATGAATTTGGTTGATGTTGTTCATTTGCGTCATGTTTAATTTAGTGATAATTAATGAAAGTCAATCAAAAAGTGAAGACATTTGATGTATGTGTTAATGATTCACATGATTTGTCATTACGCCAAATGATTCATGACTATGGTGGATATCAGGTACAATTGCAACACTAGTTACAAGAATCACTAAAACATGTCTACCTTTTTTTGATCGAGTAATGTTAGATAAAAAGCTGGGAGGTTATCTCTTATACTTGGGGTTTATTGCAGAAGGACAGATCATCTGGTAACTTCTTTGTCTCAATGTGTGTTAGTGTGTACTCGTTGCTTATTATACACTCGTAATAGTAATAGTAGAAATGGTTTCTTTCAGACACTATCCATCTTAGAAGCTTTTGTTTTGTGATATGGAACAGTGGCAAGGAGTGGTGTATCCTCTTCTTTTGATCTATCTCATTTATCCCGGATCTTTGGTATCGAACTTGTTATTGCTCCTCAAAACAGTGGAAGGTGTAGCTCCTTCCTTTAGTAACATCAAAAGCTTTGTCCAAACCTTCGGTACTGACAGGTGCATCTAATGTTTCCATTTGGCGCAATTTTGTTGTGGTAATCATCTATCTGTTCGCCATCTCTTTCAGCCTATCTACCAATCTTTATTAAAACTACATAAGATTTGACTTGCTAATTAACTATATGCATCAATGTGGTTTATCCTGTAATACATTTTCCTACTTTTTTTTTTTGGTACAAGCAACTTATGATCTGTTTTAGAGCTGGCATTTCTTGTGACTGCAGGCACTAGTAACTGAGGAGCTGGTTTTCCCAGCTTGTATGATACCTTTGCTTCTGTGTGCTGGATTTAGGATTTACAGTGCCATCTTTCTCTTTAGCTTGAGTTTCTTTCTCTATGAATTTACAACTCGAGTGAGATGAAAATTGCTGGATTTGTCTATTACAAGACGGTACCTAACAGACCCAATAAAACAACAACCATCGTTAGATTCGACAACATGAAGCAAGCATCGTTAAACATATATAGATCATCAACTTCAAAAATTAACGTTGTTCATTACGTCTCCATATTGTTCAGTGTTAATGAACAATGAATGTTAGCGGATGACTGTATGAAGAAATCTGCTTTGTTGGTAGATGTAAGATTCTCAATCTTGGGAGAGTGATGGTTATATTTTGGTTGGTTAATTTTAGTTTGCATCATAAAATTCCTATTTACTTCGGATTATTGAATATAAAATTCGATGTACTGTTTTGAATTTTGATTGTTGTAAAATTTGGTTCTTTTCGGATTTTTTTTTATTTGTTTAGATCAATTGAAAGTATGTCTTGTAACAATTTTCCATTAAGAAAAAAAAAAAAAAAAAAGTGCATAAGCTTCACAATTGGAGAAAAGTGGTCGATAATACCCCTGCTATCATGACCAAATTACCAATGTAAGGTAGGGTCCACTGAGCGCAACGAACTTGGGAAACGATGCTTCTCATGAGTGACTGTTTTTTAGTAGCCTGTAGGCGGTTACAGGTGATTGGTCGATATTACCCCTGCTTTAATGACTAAAATTACCAACGTTGCCCCTAATTGCTTAATATCTTTCTCGCCATTTTTGTACTTTCTGTAAAATTCAAAGGCAGAGACTCCCACACTAGCATTTCCATTTCAAAATTTGTTTTGAAACTCTGATCCTCTTTCTCTTTTTGAGATCACGGTTTTCGTTCTTCTTCGTTTCATGCTTCTGCAAAAAATGGTGAGCAGAAGACGCCGACCATCAAGTTTTTCCTCTCCGCGTTTCTTCTCGCTCTCTTCCAGTTCTCTCAAATCTTATTTGGTGTTTCTTCCTCAGGTAGCGGTTCAGAATCTGAAGGAAGCAGAGATCACGGAGCAGGATTCGCTACTTCTGGTAATCGTCATCGAGATTGTTTTTGTTTTAGTCGTCGTTACTTATGGCAAGCTACTTCTGAGCTCTGACGTCTTTTTTTTCGTCGTCGTTTTGTTGAAATAGACCAAGGATTTACTCCGTATTGCTAAATTAAACATCAGAGTCCTCTTTCATGAGAACGATGCTTTAGGTAAGAAGCTAATCTGGAAGTTTCTAGCGCTCTGTCTCTGGGATCTTAAGAAATCCTGCTAAATTTCAATTTCTACAAACTATAGATATGAAGATCAAGACGCTAAGGCAAGTCGACACTGAACCACGGCGATTAATTGACTGGAATTGGATGGAGAAAGGTTTTATTTGCTAATTAATGATTACACGTCTCGTTTCAGCTGTATCCTAGTTTATCTTTGATGATTTTTCTCTTTTCATGGAATCTAGGAGTCAACGATGCGCTGCAGAGGAAATATTTGAAGACGCTTGTCTTCTGCATTCGTGATGGTCCGATGATTGAGGAATACTCATGTAAGTTCTGGGTAGATGATTGATTAGCTTGATCAAAGAGGTTGATGGTCTGATTAATGTTGATTGATACCTCGAGGTTGTGTTAGTGCAGTTTCTTTCAGCTATTCAGATTCTGGCAGCCAACATGTCACTATGAATGTCAATCGTAATGGAAATAAGAAACATGAAGGAACCCCCAATCAAATGAGGTTCACTGTTGAAACATTTCTTTCTATTTTGAGATCTATATATATATATATATGGTTTTCTTTCCCTAACATGCTTTATAATTTTCGCTGAAATCAGTACTTCAGCTTGCAAAATGGTCCCTACACTAGTTCAGCTGTTGAGGACTCTTGACAAAACGCCAGATGAGGTAACTCTCCTTCAGGGATATTCCATTTTCCTCAGTTCCCAAATTACTTGTTAGAGAGATTCATACTCAAGTTTTGTTTCTGCTCCAGCGCACCATTGTGATGAAGCTTCTGTACTACGATGATGTGATGGTATGCTCTTAAGTCCTATGAACCTGGTGATCTTATGTATTATGATCTTAATGCAGCTTGAACAAAGCTTCTTTCCTGTAATAACTCTGACTTCCGGGTTAACATATAGCTGTGTCATAATATGCATTCCAGTTTTGTGCTTGTGAATTCCCTAGTTTCACACACTTATAAGTTACAACACATACAAGTAGCTTGTAGTTGGTTTTTGCTTTCTTTCGAAATAATGCCAATTATTACCGTTCATCTTATCTCATTTTGCTCCACTCCTTAGACTGAATGTCCAGAATAAAAGAGTGACTGTTATTTGAACTTTTTCCAGCCACCAGATTATGAGCCACCTTTCTTCAGAAGCTGCACAGAAGAAGAATCTAATTATGTATGGACAAAGGATCCTATGATAATGGAAGTTGGGATTATTTATAGGAAACATCTCGTGTTAGCTTTAACGGTACTTTGATTGAAGAATATGCGAGGTCATTTGACATATATCTCCTACTTATGATGCTAATCCATTATGGATGATCTGTGCAGGTCAAGAGCTTGCTTGATCCCTCTGAGGATGAAAATGATGACATGCAAGAGCATGGGAAGAGCACAAAACCTGATTGTGTACATGACAACCAGCCTTCTGACACTGATACAGATAGCGAGGTTGAAAGAGTCTTTCTTTTCTCATCTGATGTTTATCTAATCTATACATCCAACGTGCATTACAGTATGATGTGCCTAAACCATGATGTTAATTGTTCTTCCAGATCAGTCAAACACAAGAAAATCAATTCATTGTGGAACCAGTTGGTAATGATGACTAGCAAATCCTATTATCCTACACCAGTCTAGTAAATTTTTTGACTAACTGAGTAAACCAGATAATGTAACAGAGAAACAAGCAGATGCCAATAATGGGGAGGTCGATGAAGGTGAGCACAACTACTAGCGCAAAATTTGAATTAACGGAATAAGTGAGAAGCTTCTTCTAACCTAACCTATCTGTGACATTCTTCAAGATGCCACACAGAATCCGCTTGAAAATGAACAGCAGTTAGCAAGGGTGAAGAACTCACGTCAGCTCGATACTCTGGAGCTCACAGATATTCTTTCATACTTCCAAGATACCTCACTTGTAATGAGTTCTTTCTCTTCATTTCCACTTTATAAAATGTAGCTGAGCTCTTGAATGTTTAGTTTCCTGTCGTTTCTTAACTCTATCTCACTCTTTTTTCTTTACTATTTCAGGTTCTATCTGAAGGTAAATCAAGGCTATAGATGAAAGTCACTAGGAAAAAAGACACTTTTGAAGCATCACGTTATCATGAAAACTACCTATAATACTATCTACTGTTAACTTCAGAGTCTATCTTCCTTCACTAAACTTGGTCACATGCATCCTGGCTTTCAGATTTCATGGATCAGCTCGAGAAAGAAGGAGTTCTTTCGAAAACGGGAGAGGATACGTACATTAGAAACAGAGATAAGGTGCGTCTAGCTCATCATATCCAACTGATTTAATTTTATTTCTTTGACATACGATTTTCTCTTTGATTTCTTCCTATCCTACACATTTCTCCATGATTTTGAGTTTTATGAATTAACTTGATTACTAAGGTGTTAATTCTGTTTACACAAATCGTTAGTCGTTTATGTAGTTTGGTTTCAAAACTTTTCAGCCAATGCATGAAGTCATTGTCAGTTTTAAAATTACAAATTTTTTGTTGAATTTGAGTTTACTTGTTTTGCTTTCCAAATTGGGAAGGCTGCGAGTTTGAGAATTGCAGGGGGACCTAGAATCCCAAAGGTGCAGCGGCAATATCTCAAGAGAGAAGTGAATGTCTTGGGAAGCAGCAGGGATGTTGATTTTTCGAGACCCAGACCAAGAAAAGACAGAGGCAGACAGAATGTTCAATGCATCTACTTTAATAGTGGATATTGTCGATATGGAAACAGTTGCAAGTTTTCACACCGAATTAGTGGAGAGGAAAAGACCAGTTCTGTTGCAACGATAATGAAAATCCCTGAAAGGAAAAGAATACTTTCTGAACTTCCAGAGAAGATAAAGAAAGATATGGAGTCCGTCAATATTTCAGAGAAATATGCGAAGACATGCCTCGGTGAGAAGAGATATGGGTTCATAAAGGAAACGAAGCGGATTGGTTCACTAAAAGTATCAGACGATAAGAAGTTTATCGTTATCTACTGGATGACACAAGGAGTGCTAGAAGTTTTTCTACTAGATGAGGAGACCAGGGAAAGGCTCAAAGATGCATCTGGCTATATTCGAGACCAAGGTACCCATGATCTTTGCTGGACTTATGTCAGCTCTGACATGGTAAGCGCCTCCAGAAAACTTCATGGATGGGATTTAAAATATACACCCCTGTGTACAAGGTATTTATGTCAAAACCTTGACCCAGAAGATTACAGGGGATCTCTCAAACGTTGTGATGAAGATGGTGGTGGTCATCGTTGTTATGAAAACGATGTAGAAAGTACTTTGGCCTACATTCAAAAATTTGGCATACCCGAAGAAGAAGAGGGCAAGGAGGTTTTTGTATGTAGGGATAGACGTGTTCTGTGTAAAGAGGATAAACTCCACAAGATTACTGGTATTTTTAAATACCCAACTCTTGAGGAAGCTTTGGTTCGTCTTCGAACACATCCTGTTGGTGCGACACTATTAGGGTTTGACGGTTGGGATGGAGATCAGATTTATCGCGGGCCATGTAGTAAAAAAGCTAAGTTAGCAGGGCTACATGCGGTAATAATGATTGATTGCTTGAAAATTCATGGCGAAACCGTTGTTGTCTGTAAAAGTAGCAGTGGAACGGATCTTGGGATGGAAGGTTATAAAGGTTACATCGTTGTCTCTGTCCAAGTCATGTTAATGATAGCTGGTAAGACAGAGACTGAAGAAAATAGGGGTCACCGTAATTGCCAAGTGAAGCCACAACACCTTCTATATGACTTCTATTCTGTGGATATGGACTACAAAGAACCACGATTTGACAAAGAGGATACAGAGCAAAAAAGAAAGAATGAAAAATTCAAGGTTCGTTTTGTTTTTAATGTTATTTAATTTAGTTTATATTGTAATATTGCTTCTAATTAATGGTTTTGTGACTTTCTTCTCTAATTAGGTCAAAATTGAAAGATATAGTCAGCAGGTTCCCCCTAGGATTCAAGGAGATCATAAACGTAAACAACATCAGAAACATGGAAAACCTCAGAAACGTCATAACAACTTATCTCTTAGGTTTGCACTCTCTTCTTTATCCCTTGGTTAAACATGTCAATTAACTAAGGATGAATGTCAAAATAATCATCTTTTGCAGAGGAACCAAGGACTCTGACTCCGTTGTCATGGATTACGTTGAGAATGTCTCTGGTGTCAAGGTCTCTTCTTTTGTTGTTTGCCTTAGTCTGTTTTGTTTCTGACTCAATTATTGTTGTGGTGGGTAGTTGCTTCTTTTCAACTGTTGGATTACTGCTTCTAAAAGTATTCTCAATATGTTCTTTTAAAGTTTATGACATCTTATATGAGGTTGTTGCTTTCTTCTTACTTGAGCGTTTTGGATGTCAAAAAGACTGATGCTCATTTTGTTTTTTCTGATGATTTATGGTGCAGGTCTTTGATCCACATCATCACCACATTGATCAAATGACAATCCCATCAAGTCTTGTAGAAGACGTAAGATGGTTCCAATTCTCAATAATTTGATCTCTAATCCGTGGTTGTCTGGGGTGTTATCTCACACTTAAGCTTATAATATTACCTTTTTTCAGGTTTATGATTGTTGGTTTGAGAGTGGGTCAATGCCTTATGCGCACATCCATTATCCTTTTGAAAACAAGGAGCTTATTGAGAAAAATTTCCCTGGTCATTTTGTAGCTGAAGGGCTTGATCAAACTCGAGGATGGTATGTAAAATTGTTTGATCTCCATTCTTTAGGTGGTTAAATGGGATGAAACAAACATGGTTTTTTCTTTCTATTAAGGTCTTTGAGAAGGCAATTAATTATAATATCTAAACCTTGTGTGGTATGGTAATCTACAGGTTTTATACTCTTATGGTGTTGTCAACTGCATTACATCGAAAATCAGTGGTTCGAAATGTGATTTGCAATGGTCTTGTGCTTGCTGAGGATGGAGAAAAGATAAGTAAGAAATTACAGAATTATCCACCACCTTTGGATCTCATAGATGAGTATGGAGCTGTAAGATTTCCCTATATATAATATGCTCTTATGCTGCGTTTTCAGTTTCACTATTACATTCCATAGCTATGACAATATTGGCAACTTTGTATCCAGCATCATTTTGTGACTTTACATGAACCTTGACAGGATGCTCTGTGGTTGTACCTGATAAATTCTCTGGTTGTTCACGCTGAGCCACTACGCTTCAAAAAAGGAGTACTTGGTGTTGTGAGTGATCTTTTTTTGTGGTTTGATTTTTATTGCTGCTTACCTGAGTAGATTTGTTTTTTTGCCTGACTATTTTGGTCCTGCGTGGGGATTTACTAGGTCAAAGATGTGTTGCTTCCATTTACATGGTACAATGCAGATGGGTTCCTTGTTCAGAATGCAAGGAGACTTGAGATTGAAAGTTGTGGGCCCTTTGTTGCTAGTGATCTGGAAGCTTTACAATCATCAAACGTTCTCGATCAGTGGATTCAGTCAGCTACGCAGAGTCTTGTCCATTTCTTCCGCCAGGAGATGGATGGATATCGGCTTTACACTGTACATGTCATCTTCATCATGAATCATGACATGGTGTATGTATTAGAAAACAAGTAATCGCTTTCTTGTGGTATTTAGCACATCTCTGTTTTTCTTTTTCAGGTGGTTCCTTATCTGCTGAAGTTCCTCGACAAGGGAGGGCTGAAGCGTGCAAACACTTAGACACTACACAAGATAACGCCAAGGTGAGTATTTATATTTTAATTTATTAACGAGTTTCCTTGTTCTGTTTTGCAGGATTTTCCTTTTTAGTCTAGTTTATTTTCTTTTAGTCCTTGAGTCATTGTCTTATGTATTTTCGAGTTTAGTCCTTTATTTATTTGCTATTGTCGACCCTAGAAGGTCACCGCTGCCGAGCTATTAATAAAGCTCCTCCTTCAGCGTTGTAGAAACAATTTTTTGCCCTAATCAATAAAGAACGCATTTTCTTTTAAACACTGTCGTTGCTCTCGTCTCTTGCCTTCTTTGTGTGTGATTCCATTGAAGCTTGAGTCTCTAGACTTATCACAGGCCTATCTCATCTCATGTGTGGCGTCTCTCAACCCCTAGTTCACCATCGCTCATCCACTCGAATCCTTCAACGAGAGCAGTACGGCCAATTGAAGTGTTCACCACCATTCACTCCACTTGTAGATCGTTACTAACGATCCTACATCAATATATGATAGATTTCAACCGCAAGAAGTAAATAGTTGTGGGGATGCTTTTGTTTACATGGTGACCATTATTTGAACACTTGTAGTGACTCATAACTGTGTCTGAATTTTCAGGTGCTCATTACTTCTTGCAAAGTTTTTACACCTTTCTGCACTGAAACAGAGAGGGGAGATGATTGAGCAACGTGTTACATGGATGATGACAATCATCGATCTTTCTCGGAACATTCATGAGCGTCACAGCGTAAAGTGAGCGTTGTACTTTATGATTTTTCTGACTTGCATCATCTGTTCTATTAGCCTAAAACTGAAGAAAAAAAAAAGAAGAAGAACAAAACTGAAAACTTAATACATTATTATCCGTGTTTGTAACAGGGAAATGATTGTAGCTCATCGAGATGCAGAATTCTTGAATGATATGTAACTGGAAAACTAAGAGAGGTATGTTGTGTTTCAAGAACAGAACAAGTCTTTAGTGGAAGAGAATAGCTTAAGGCTCCATGAGTCCTGAGTGCATGCTAGGCTTAGCAAATCAATTATTTTTTTCCTCTTTACATTCTAGAACCAATACTTGGAGTTTTATCCACTTTGCATTTGCAGTATGTCTTGGAAGAACTTAATGTTAGATCTCTTACCCCATGCAATCATACTCTGAAGTATGTTTCTCAATAAGCAGAACCAGATTTCAGGTTGGTTAAGTTTTCTTTCTGCGTTTTGCTTATAATTAACCCTTGCTCAATGTGCTCGCTTAAGCCTTTCGAAATGAAACACAGAATGCAATTTGACTTATTCATTCCTTCAGTAATAATAGGTACGATCGAATTCAACTTATTCTATAAAATAAGAGAATATATAGTATTAGTAACTAACTCGTTAAGAATAGTATTTTTGGTCATCTATCTAGATTTAAATTCAAATCTCTACATGGTTACGATTTAAACTAATTTAGTTGAACCATATAAGTGGCATAAGAACTAAATTATTGATTTTGAAGTAATCCCCAAAAATATACAAAGTAAATTCTTTGACTGTGACTATCCGACAAAACGAATGGAGATGAGAGAAATCGATGTGATCCAACGTAAGGTCCTTACTTTAGTATTTGAGACTGGTGTATGTATATTATGGCGTCAAAAAGTTTGTGTATAATTTATTCAAAAATGTAGTATATATTTCAACGACTGGTTTATGGGCAAGATTCTTCTTATATCTATGAAAGAGCAAAACGAGAATGTAACCAGCATAATATAAATAATTAGATAGAGATTCGATTGGCCTTTCCAAAATATTTGTCTCGCGTTCGTAAATTCGAAGAATATATTGGGACACTTTTTTCAACAAAATGTATTTCATATTGGTTTGTCAAAGAAAACTATTCTCTGCACATGACATGGTGAGTCAAAAATATGCCTAATTATATCCATTACTAGATTTTAACCCGCGGTACACCGCAGTGCTATATTTAAAACCAAAAGTTGGACAATTTTTTGACTAAATATACTTATATATGTATATATTATATATATTACCCCGCAATACACCTCGGATCGATCTTTTATAAATAACTTTTTTTAATTTTGAAGTTGTATTTTTTTGTCAATTTTTAAGTTGTATTTGTTTTGTTAATATTATTTATTTTATTTAGTGTTTAAGATTATATAATTGTATTTGATTGTTAATTCTAGGATTTCACCCGTAGTATATTGTCCCGATTAATATCGATCCAAACTCGATCCACATATAACTCCGTCCCGTGAAATTAAACTTCATTTTGTTATATTTATTTTTAATTAATATTTTTTATTTTAAAAACATATAATTCAAATCAATTTAAAAGTTTGCTTTAAAAACATAAATTTGTAATGTTTTTATTATGATAAAGTAATAATGTACAGATGTTGTTTACTATAGTTATAATCAAAACCAACTAAAATCAAAGTTTAGTGTAGATTATGAATTATAGTTACGACCAAATTTTTTTTTTAATCAAATATAATCTATATATACATTTTTGGAGTACATTTAGCAAATAAATCATGGAGTTCCACCTTATGTACGGATGAATGCCATTGACATTAATTATTTAAATTTTTAAAAAAATAATTAAAGATATTACCAACACAATTTTGAGAATCATAAAATCATATCTTCCTTAATTTTCTGAGTCATTAATGTGATAATTTTTATGAAATATTTCTCTGTAAAAAAAATCCACATTAAGGAAAGAATTGAAATTAAAATCGAAATCGAGATTTAGAAACTAATTAATGTCGATTTTGATTTCTTGTTGTAGGAGAAAATTTCGGAAATAACCGATTGAGAAAATCGGGTCAAACGAATGCAAAAAACCCGATCCACCCAATGGCATAAGTTGTAAATACTTAGCAAATCTATGATTTATTTGCTTAGTGTAGTCCAAAAGTGTATATATAGATTCTATTAACGAAAAAAAAACCATCACTTTCGTAGAATAGTTAAAACTTAATATAATAAAATCATGCAAATTAATGTGTTTTCTCGACATATTTGATGAGTATTCAACTGGATTCTAACTTTTAAAATGCAAAAGAAAATAAGTTATTTCAACATTTGACCAACGAACAGCTATTATGCGTAGAGATGTTTACTAATAGAAAAATCAACGAGGGAAGACAAAAAAAAATTGACATTCTAAAATGATTTCAATTCATATACTCCCTCCGTTTCGTTTTACTTGTCGTTTTAGAGTTAAAATTTTGTTTCATAATAGTTGTCGTTTTAGGTTTTCGATGCAAATGTTTTGTGAAAATTCCAGTTTTATCTCTACTGTTTTAATGTTTCGGCCAATGAATTTTTTTATAAAATATATTAATAAAAGGTAAAACAGAAAATTTAATGTTTTTTTTAATATGTGTGAGAAAATTTTAAACGACAACTAAAAACGAAACGGAAGGAATCTGTTGAAGAATAATGACTTTGGAATCCTAAGTCATTCACTAATCGACACGTGTTGGAAATCTGTTGGAAGTTAGCTAGAGAGCATTTTCAAAAGTTATTCTTTGGACAAAATCTTCAACTTCACAAAAGCTCGAAATCGGAAAGTAGAAAAAAGAAAAGGAGGAACAATCACATTTCTTTGTGCCGCTAATCCCATGGTTTTGGTATCTTTGACTTAGACGCACCACATCTTTGAAATCACGCTTTTAACCGACAATAACCACTCTCTTTTTTCTCGTAAAAATTCAAAAAAAATTCCCTAGTCACAAATCATAAATAATCCCAACATAATGAAAAATTTAATAACCCTAACAACGTCGTTATTAATTTTATTGGACCAACCATTTAGTAGGAAACAGAAGAGAGGTGAGTGTAATAACTACTAGTCGTAGTAAGCTATTCAAAGCTAATGCTGTGGTGAGAAAAACAAGTTCACATATGTAATCTTCATTGGTTTAAAATAAATGAAATCTAACTGCATTTTGTAATGGAAAATGAGTTTTTACCACCTAGAACAATTATGTTAATACAAATATATATTGATGGTCCGATCGCACATATATCTCAATCAAAAGGCCAATATTCCAAGTTATGATATCTTTTAACAACCGTACAAATTACGTTACGTCATTTATTTTAACAACTAAGATATTTTTCTTTATCATCAAAATTTAAATTGTTGAAGATCTATTTGCACATAAAATTAGATATTAAAATGGTCCAACATTAAATGCAACAGAAAGAGATGTTTCAAACAACAAAATGATTTCAACAAATTTTTCCATAAAAAAAAGACTTATATCCATCTTTTTCTTTCTTCTTTTTTACTACTGTACTAGATTTTAACCCGCGGTACACCGCGGGATGATTTAATTTTAAAGTTAGTATAAAAATATTTTGTAAATTGTATCTCCTTATAACATATTTATTTATATTATAGTTTACAATTGTTATTAAGTAACGGTATACCACGAGTCCACGAGATAATTATTAATAAACTGAGGATTTAACCCGTATTAAAGCGGTATATAAATATTGATTCAAATTCGTCCGCCATATAAATCATTTCCGAAATATAACCCGTTCCGTAATTTCTTAACCCGTCCTGTGATTTGTATTAAAAAAAAAGGATTAAATCCGTATTGAAGCGGCGGATTAATGATATTTTAATCTTTTTATTATTGTTGATTCAAAAACCCGTCCCGCCAAACCCATCCCGCCAAAAAACTCATTTATTTTATTAATGTTCTTATTTATGATATGATTCTGAATCATTGTCTAAATATTTTAATCGATGTAGAACGTTGAACACATATTTTCGTCAATTGGATAATATATGTCCGTTTTTAAAATTTCGAATCACAGTATATACAGAAAAAATTGATTTTTTTTTTACTTTATGTATTATATGATGATTCAAAACAGTTAAAAACAAATCAAACAAAGATGATAGGAGAATCATAATTATAAATCTTAATCAAATCTTCTAAAAATCTAAATTATTAAATATGGAATATCCGGTGTATGAGTTGGGTTAAATATAACCCGACCCAACAAATTTTTTGTGAAGGAATTTTTAAAATGGGTCGGATATCCGATATACCCGAAAGCTTTTTTACCCACACGTCACAAAAAGTGCTGCGATTATATTAGTATAGGTAAAAAATATATACATTTGAATTAAAATTTTACCTTAACATTACCTTTCTTTAACCTACTAATTCTAAAAAAATTGGAGTGTAAACGGTTAAAAATATCAATATCTCAGAGTTTTGTTCTGTAACTTCAAACCGCAGCAGTATCAGTAATACCGCTTTAACAGTTACGAATCACAAAAATAATATTAAAAATATTATTCTCAGCTTTTTCGTAATGTTCTTTTGTATCATTCTCATATCGCAAACTTTTTTTTTTCTACTTTCTAAAAAAAATTGTAACCACTACGTTATGTTAGTGTTACCACCAATCGGACAAAAAAAAGAGGAGCTTAAAACATTTAAGAAAAATCACGAGTAAGGAATGAGTTAGAGAGTGAGTCAACTCACGAGTAAAACTGTAAAAAAAAACTCGAAAACAAAGCGAGTGGGTGAAATAAGAATGTGAGAGATACGCGACGAAACGAAGAGTTTTCTTCATATCTAAAAGAAAAAAAGATAAAAAAACCCCACAAGACAGAATCTTCTAGCTTTCCTCTTCCTTCAATCAATCTTCTTCTCTCTTCTCTCTTTCTCTCTACCAAAAGATTCCACAACAAACATTGTCCTCTTTCTAATATATAATCGCTTCTCATAGATCTCACACTCTGATTTGCTTACTATATTACTCTCTTTGTTGTTTTGTATATCCAGAGAGTGGATTGGGATCATGCCAAATTCTGGAAAAGTTTTGAGTTTTTAAGATCGAGAACAAATAAAAATGGGTTCTTTGGGTGATGAGCTGAGTTTGGGATCGATCTTTGGGAGAGGAGTTTCGATGAATGTTGTAGCGGTCGAGAGAGTTGATGAACATGTTAAGAAGCTTGAAGAAGAGAAGAGAAAGATCGAAAGTTTTGAACTTGAGCTTCCTCTGTCTTTGCAGATTTTAAACGATGGTTCGTTGTTTTTGATTGATTGATCTCTCCTCTGTTTTCTCTGTTTTTAATCATTTGGTTGCTGAAAGTTTTGTTTTTTTTTTTTTTTTTTTTGCAGCGATTTTGTATCTCAAGGATAAGAGATGTTTAGAGATGGAGACTCAACCATTGTTGAAAGATTTCATCTCTTTTAATCGGGAAGAAGGTGAGATTGAATTGGTGAAGAGAGATGAGCTAATGAGGGAGAAGAAGTTTCAGCAATGGAAAGCTAATGATGATCACATCTCTAACCGAAGATTCTCAGACACTAGTAAGATCAAGAGCAAGCTTGAGATTGAGGTAATGAAAACTCTGAAATTGAGACAGCATTTTGGAAAGATTGGATGATACTTTTTGTGATGAATTAAGGACTAAAGGGACTGAGTTTGTTTGATCTAAATGTTGCAGAGAAATCAGAGAAATGAGGAGAAATCTTCTATGTTGTTGATTCCAAAAGTAGAAACTGGTTTAGGCCTCGGTTTAGGTTTGAGTTCCATAAGAAGAAAAGGGATTGTTGCCTCTTGTGGTGGATTTACTTCTAACTCTATGCCACAACCACCACCACCACCAGCAGTAGTACCACAGCAACCAGCATTTCTTCAGCAGCAAGCTTTAAGGAAGCAAAGAAGGTGTTGGAATCCTGAGTTGCATCGCCGTTTTGTCGATGCATTGCAACAGCTAGGTGGACCGGGAGGTAAAAAGGATCTTCTTGTGATCATGAGTTTGGTTACTTGATACAGAATGTGTTGTAATGTTTGTCTGTTTTGTTGTGTTAATAACAGTGGCAACTCCTAAACAAATTAGAGAACATATGCAAGAAGAAGGCTTAACCAATGATGAAGTCAAGAGTCATTTACAGGTAACTAATAGAAACAAAAGTTGACATCTTTGATTCTTTCAATGAATGTTATTAAGAACCCATTTTCTCTGTTATATGTAGAAATACAGGTTACACATCAGGAAGCCGAATCCGAATGCGGAGAAACAATCAGCAGTTGTTTTAGGGTTTAAGTTATGGAATTCATCATCGCAAGAGGAAGAAGAAACAGGTGAAGGAGGAGAATCATCGAAGAGATGCAATTCACAATCGGATTCTCCTCAAGGTCCTTTGCAGTTACCTTCTACAACAACTACAACTGGTGGAGATAGTAGCATGGAAGATGTTGAAGATGCTAAGTCTGAGAGCATTCAAATGGAGAGATTGAGATCTCCATAAACCTCAATCCTTTTTCAAGAAACCAAACTCTTGATCACGGTTTTGTTATTTTGGATTCATTACTATTTGTATTAGTAGTGAATGAGAACAATAATTATAGAAAGGTTATAGATATATATATATATAGAGAGAAAAAAAAGAGCTATAGAGTGAGGATGGTTCAAATTATTTGCAGAGATTGTTATTAGCCTTGTTTTGTGTACGGCTTTTTTGGTTGGGGTTTAAATTTGAGGCATTATTATCTAAGTAATAATTTTGATGTTTGTTTCATAATTTTGTATGTTTACAAAAAGAGCATAATAATAGGAGGGACATAAGCATGTGTTTGGTCATTTATTCAGATTCATATTTAGATATGCTTTGAATTTATTTTTCATAAGCTTTGAAATTAGATATTCTTCAACGCTCACCTAATCATTCGGTCGTTCGTTCAATTGACTAAAAAGGTCTTAGCTTTGACCCCTGTTCTAAAAATCCCCGCCTAGACCCGATTACTCCCCGCTTAATCGCTAGGCCCACCCTATCCGTCTCGATTAATGACTAATCCCTTAAAGAAATCAGTCACCCGATTACTCTCCGCCTAATCCGATTACTTTCCGCCTAATCCGATTATTCCCCGCCTAATCTTACATACTCCGATTATTTTTAGATTGCTAGTGTAAAAAAACTTTTTATTTTTGTTATTCAATCATTTGAATTGAGAGTTTGTAATGTTTTACAATAATTTATGTTCAAATTTTAATAAAAATCAAAAATTTGTAATAAAAATCATAAAAATTTGTCTCAAAAATACATTTTTATGTGTTTACTGCAATTTTGAAAATAATATTGGATTAATATGTTTTAAAAATATTAAAATAACCCTAAAACTAATCCCCGATTAATCCCCGATTTTAATCCGATTTCTGATTAATCGCTAGGCCCATGCCGAGCGCCCGACTAGCGCCTAGCGATTTTTCAAACAAGGGCTTTGACCGACAGATGCATACTATTTATATTTTTTAAACAATTTCAACATTAGCGAATAAATTATAAAGTTTTTTGGTAATTAATTTGATTTAAATAATATAAAAAATCAACAAGCATAAAAGTTTGGGCATTTTGGGTTAATATATGCCTCATGTTAACCAGCCGGCCCACCTCATGTTTCAGCCCAATGCTTTTTTTTTTCCTTTTCATTTTAATAATAATCTTGATATTGCACATTCCTAGGAAAGTAATAAAGTTTTACCTCATGGCTAATTAGATTCATGGGTTTCTTCAAGCTCAAGAAACTGGTTGTCGTTTCCACATTTGAAAAATCTTGACCGGTACATTCTAGTGGATCATATATTGTTTTTGTCAAAATTAGTTTTAGAATGCCAAAGACTTGCAAGTCTAAAAAATTGTTTGCTCTCTTATTATTTTGGGAAACATCCTTTTTACGACATTTCATGGATTTGAATACATGTTAATGAAATAATGCATGCATGAGAGTATACACCAAATTATATTGAAAGGAGGAACCGAGGAAGATAATGCATACACTGATACACGTATAACAAGTCACCACCAAATTGTCTTCTTCTAAAAAAAAAAAAAAAAAAAAAAAAAATTGTCTTCTTCTTTGGGTGAGAGATTTCATCAGGTTTTGAAAATCTTTTCTACTTATAATTTTATATATTCTTGTGAATTATTTGTAAGTTTCGAAAACTTTTGATTTTTTTATTTTTCTTTCTTTGCAAGGTATGAGCAAGAAAAACACTGTGCATAGCAAAGGATCCTCAATTTTATTTTGGAGATGAATTTGAAAGGTTTGAAACTATCTTGAATATACATAAAATTAAAGACAAAAAACCTAGAAAAAACGAATAATATTGGAACTGGAAACAGCTTAACTAATGAGTTTTTAGTTTGAAACTACACAAAATAGATATCTTGTACTGTAAAAATATCCGATTTTTTTGACAAACTTCATGACATTGTCCGATAATTTTACTAATATTTTGCCACATAAAAAGACTTGTTTCAATTCGTAAAAACCATATATCATTTCGTCACCGTCGACACGGTGCCGTGCCTACAGATTTAGTATGGCCTAAGGCCAGCCCCGGCTCAATATATTTGAGAGCCTTAGGACAAAAAAAAATTTTTTGGCCTATTATTATATACAAAGAGAAAATTTACTTAATTTTAAAAAATTTTGCGGAGTTTTTATAGTAAAAATTGTTATTTTAAAAATTTTGGGTCTTTTTATACATTTTCTTATAAATAATTAGGCTTCTTAAAATATAATTCTCATATTAATAATATTTTTAAAAAATATTTGGGCCTTTTTTATATATAAAATTTTTTTATAAAAAAAAAAAGCTCCGGGCCGTCGCACCTCCGCCCTATCCATCTGAGCCGGGGCTGCCTAAGGCACTTGCCTTTTTTGTATAAGGGGAGGCCGCACGGCTCCAGACGACACCCATATCTACCACCACCGTGATCGTTTGCTACAAATTCATAGTAATCGTTCACTAAAATTCATAGAATTTCATTACTTTTGTTATAGAGAAAATTTTTAGAACGACAAAATATTTTGCTACTATATAGTGTTATTTAACTGTAATTAATGATAAATTAGAATTTTTTTCTCTTCTACAATTTACATATGCATATTTCTAACTTTGGATCTAAGTTATAACTCAACGACGATACTATAGTACAAGCTTATTTTTCAAGTCGATAAATTTATTTTTAAAAATATAAACAGGGATGTGACTCTAGCTAGTTTATAATAAACGAGACGCAATGATGGATATGCAGCTACAAGTGGGTTCATAAAATATCAAATATCCACTTTAGTTGTGGAAACCGGAAAGTTATGTAAATTCTGGCCAACCAAAGGAAGCAAAGACTTTGGTTCTCAACTCTTCGAGTACACTTCCGAGTAAGCTTCCAACATGGGTAGTGGAACATGTTGCGCAATCCTCTTGATGTCTTATAATGGACTAATTTTTTAATTTAAAATTTACGTATACATGTTTTTGATAAGTCCAAATTTTATCCGGAAAAAGAATGTTTTGAAAAGTGTAAGATCAAGTGCGATATTATGTGACAACTAGAACAAACACAAAAACAAGAACATGTTTAGATGTGACTAGAGGAAGCGGAGGAGCTGGTTCTAATGACAACTCTAGGGTTTGGACAATGTGTGATTTGCTGACTACGTTTCCTGGTTATCGTGGATATGCTAATTCGGGTTTACACAATTATGCTTGGTCTCAAGCTGTGCAGAACAAACCTCCCCATGAAGGTTTGGGAATGGATTATGAACCAAGAGAGATGAAGTAACAGCAGTTAACGGAGGTTGAAGATGGTGCGGTGAGAGAACGACGAGTTTCTTTTGTCCTATTTTGTTTTAAAGAAGATTTAGATTCCAAGTATAACTCACATTAATTTTCCATCATCTGGCCTGTTCACTATGATTTGGATGAAATATCGTACCGAGCATAGTGGCAGACGGATGTCTAATGGTTTCCCCAAAAAGACAAAGATCATTCTAAAATCTAAATCGAGAGGGAGTGTCATGATCACAGTTGAATTCTCCTTCCTTTATCAATTAGATATCGAGTAAAATATGTTCCACCATCCATATGAAGGTGAATACCATCTTTGGGGTCAATAACAAATCTACCTTGCGGTAATACCGACCTTTAAAAACCATTGCAAGTAAGAACTCATTCACATGAATTATAAGTCATTTTGCAATTGTTTGGCTAATATACATATGGTATAGTTAAACTCCAAAGTAGTTTAAAAACCCAACCCATCCGCAACTTTTATAGAGCTTTAGTTTGTGCCAGGACATCTAACGAAGTCCTTGTTTATCTGTATTAAAAATCCACCAAAATTTGGCGATAACACTTGTGGTCTTTTTAGTTATAGTATGAAGAAGTTGGAAACAAGACATATAACATATGTATGTAGAGCGAGAGCAACAAATTTCAGGAAAACCTACTTTTCTATTTTGGAGACAAATTTGGCTGATCATCATCTGTTAATTTGGCCTTTGAAGTGTTTCTTCTTTCTAAAATATAAGCAAATTTCTTTTAGCCTCCCTAAACTTTCCGGAAGACTTGAGTAATTAATATCTCATTTCTCCTCCATTATATTGGATATTCACAAAATTTTCTTTAGTTCATCTATTTTAAGGATTCTAGACTTATTTTAACAAAACCGTAGATATTTAGGGTTTAAATATTGATCCGAAGCCACTCCTTATGAATGATGAGTCTTGAGAACTAGTTCACATTGACTTTGATCAGATTGGTACCTTATAACTTAAAAAGCTTGGTAAATTATCTTATAACTTACATCCATTAATTAAAAAGATAAAGGGAGATTGATGGCGGAATTTATACCGCTATTTTTCCTATTGTAAATTCATTATAAACCGGAATACATTGTTGTTGTACATAGGCTGCGCTATACACACCAAATGCGCACAACGTTGTCAATAAAAATAAAAAGTAAGGGCATGAGATGATTAGTTTAAATTATTTAATTACATGCACTAATTCTCCCACTATTCAAAACTTAAGAGTATACATTTAACACTTACTAAGTTTTGGTTTTTAATTGAAAGTTTGTATGACGTTTACAAGGAAAAGTTCGTATGACTTGGTATAATATTCGAGATATAATCACATGCTCACATGGTTAATAACAAATCATTTATTTTTCCAAGTGACTGAACTATCTGACAAAAACCTAATATCTCAAATTTTATCCCACTATATTATCTTATTTATAGTGGCACTCCCACTTTCTTAATTATGCATGCATCTCCGAGGCGCACCCTCTTGTTAAGGCAAATATAATTTTTTTTAAATACACGCCTTGTTAAGGTGTATAAATACAAGCTAAAATCATCATAGCAATACACTATCAATCTAATCTCAAAATAAATCATGGACCACAAAATCTCAATGTATTTGTTTGTGTCTTACCTAGCAGTCTTTACTCTTTTCTTCAAAGGCTTTGTCTCCTCGTTTCCTTCGGGATATAACAATGGTTACAATAATGGTCACGGATATGGACTAACTAGCAATCTCAACTATCGATTCTATGACCGGTCTTGTCCTCGTCTTCAGACGATTGTTAAGTCCGGAGTTTGGAGAGCTTTTAAAGATGATTCTAGAATCGCTGCGTCTCTTCTTCGACTCCATTTCCACGATTGTTTTGTCAATGTAAGTTTGTTTAATTGTTATTGTAAGTTACGTGACATTTTCTTTTTATATTTACGGATGCATATATAAGATTGTGGATTATATATCACTCACTGTATACACATATATATCACTAGTCAAACATACTTTATACGTATTAACATTTAAGCCGTGTATATATTAAAAAAATAATCACTCAAATTCTACAAAACTTAAAACATTCTTTATTTAGACATACATATATATACATAATACATCAACAATTTTTGTATGTTTTAGTATATAAAAGATACATATTAGAGTCTAGTCACTAGACTAAAGGCTCTATATATATATGTGTGTATCAAATATCTAATATTTCCTATATAATTAGGAAATAAAAGTGATTAAATTGTATGTTGTAGGGATGTGATGGATCTATACTTCTGAACGATTCCGAGGATTTCAAAGGAGAGAAGAACGCTCGGCCAAACCGAAACTCAGTCCGTGGCTTCGAAGTCATTGAAGACATTAAATCTGATATCGAAAGCTCTTGTCCCTTAACAGTTTCATGCGCTGACATAGTTGCTCTGGCAGCTAGAGAAGCCGTCGTCCTTGTACGTGTGATCTTAAAACCCTTAAATTATTGATTTGAAATGTGAAAATATTATGATGAAAAAAACAAAACATAATCGATCGGTTCATTACTTATGACTTCTCATGCCATGTAGACTGGAGGGCCGTTTTGGCCCGTGCCTTTGGGACGAAGGGACTCATTAACGGCGAGTGAGCAAGCGGCGAATACAAATCTGCCATCTCCGTTGGAGCCGTTGGAGAATATAACGGCCAAGTTCGTGACCCTTGGACTCGACCTCAAGGATGTTGTTGTCCTCTCAGGTTTGGTCACTTCAACTAACAATAAACCATAGATATATGAATAATAATATCGATTGACTTTTGTATTAATTAGCCAAAATATGTTTTAAAAATGAGGTAGCAAATCGATTATTATAAACAAAATTAAATAGAGTAAAGTACTTCATTAGGCATGTATATACATGAACTTATGCTACTATATGACTATACGTGTATGTAGGAGCACACACTATAGGATTTGCTCAATGTTTCGTGTTCAAGCACAGGCTCTTCAACTTCAAGGGCTCAGGCCAGCCTGACCCAAACCTAGCTGCTTCATCGGCTCTTCTCTCTAAGCTAAAGGACACATGTCCTAATGTGGACTCTTCGGACTCTAAGCTCGCAGCTCTTGACGCAGCTAGCTCAGTCAAGTTTGACAATGCTTACTACGTGAACTTAGTGAACAACATAGGACTGTTGGATTCCGATCAAACCCTAATGACGGATCCTACGGCTGCCGCCTTGGTGAAGTCGTACAGCGAGAATCCATACTTGTTCTCGAAGGATTTCGTAGTTTCAATGGTTAAAATGGGGAATATCGGAGTTATGACAGGAAGTGATGGAGTCATTCGAGCAAAATGTGGATTTCCAGGTTAAGTTATATATAGACTCCTTTGAACACGTACGCGTAAACACTAAATCCAAATCAGTCTATAATATACCTAGAAGTAATCTAGCTTTAAAGATAAATCAAATAAACCAAAGTCTATTAATAAATATGTTTTATATATGGTGTAAAAGCGTCCTTATGTATCAACTATCAAGATATGGATCACAGAAACAAAAACACTTGGACTTGTATGTGTGTTACGTTTGTGTGTAATGGAAAATGTACTTTTTTGTATTTTAGTAGTATTTTTTATATTCCAATATTAAGTCGAACTCCCTCACTTGAATAAAGATAAAATAGTCTTAGTTCTTGATTTGGTTTTATCTAAAAATCGATAATTATACATATTTTTTTCGAAAAAAACATGTTTCTTTGTATATCGAAGATAAAACATAGATTTTCTTAGAGTGAGCATTGAATGATAACGTGTATACATAAATACATCTATCACAACAACCAAAGATCTTAGCGTGAAAAAAAAAACATCTTAGAAATAGTTGGAGTCTTAAAAATTGCAATAATTCTTAAATACACTATCTTATTGTTTTTAATAGGCCTGGGAAATCGAACCGAACCGATTTGTCCGAACCGAGGTTTGGGCAAATCGGTTCGGTTTTTATTTATTAAACAAAACCGATCGGAATACATTTGAAATTATTTCGGTTAACCGAATATAAAAAAAACATAACCTAACCTAATAACCCTAGCCGACTACTCTTCTTCTTCTTTGATATTATTTCATTTCTCCTTCTTCTTTTCTTCTTCTTCTTCGATTCTTCTTCTCTCATTCTTCTTCTCCTTCTTATTTTCTTCTTATTCTTCGATTTTTCTTCTCCGATTCTTACCCTTCCTCAATTCATCTTCTCCAGAATTATTGAAAAGCTTGATTCATCTTCTCTGGGATCCTTTGCACTGCGTCGAGGTTGTCGTTGACGGCGTCGAGGAATTCAAGGAGAGCGGCGTGTGAGTGCAGCGAGTGTGCAAGCCGCCGGTTAGGGCAGATCCGTTCTTTCGCATCCTTTGTCGTTCGGAGATAGATGCTTCACGAACGGCAGATCTGTCCTCTTGCGACGGCTTCTTTCTCCAATGACCTAACTGCAGAAACCGAGCTAACCGAAACGCCAAAACCGAAAAAACCGTGTCTGAACCGAACCGAACCGAAGTATTAGTCGGTTCTATTCGGAATAGGTTTCATTTTCCGAATAACCCGAAAAACCGACAAACCAAAACCGAATAAACCGATCAGCTCAAAGTCGCAGCCCTAGTTTTTAATAAGAAAAGAAGATCTTAATTTTTAATGATGAAAATACATAGTTGAAAGAGAAATGATGAAAAATACAGAGTTGAAAAAGAAATGCTGAAAATACATCCATCAAGCCCAAATACAAACCCCAGTTCATATATTTCCACTTCTTTTTTTTAACTTAATGCATATATATATTAATTAGACAAATACGTTTCATACATATATACATTTATTTTATTTTATGAAAAAGAAGGCAATTAAGCATTGAATGATGCTATATACTTCAATCAAATCCAAATGGAAGCAACCAACTTTTTAGGTATTGTTTGTTGATTACTGATTGGAAGACAGAGATTTAAAACCATTTAAGTTTGTCCAACGACTTCAAGAGATTTACAAGATGAGAGTTAGTGGAAGAATGAGAAATACATCATATAAGCTGATAAAAAATGTTTTTAATCTATTATACATATAGATTAAATACAAAATAGTAGTTGGGTTACGTACATCATCTGATCATCATGTTTAATTACAAGCAAAACACAAACAGCCGAAAGACAAATATAATACTATAATTCATGCCCATAAACTAAAGATTATCTGTTCCATAAATGAGATTATATTTTTTGATTAAACATTTAACTAATTATATTTGTAACAATTCGAGGTTTAATTTTAAACCAAAAGTATATGTGTGAAAAGTAGTTAACAAAAAAAACACAGTAAACATGTATATATTGTCTAATAATTAATTAACGTTACAAGTCCGAGAGAGCGAGGACCGCAAATTTCGGGCATACCTCTTGGAACATTTGTCGTTGATGTGTTTTCATATAATAATGTTTCGAGAATTTTCAATTTAATGTCAAGACAATTTTGAATGCTAGTTGAGATGATTCTCAATATTCCGATATCATAAGAAGATGCTGCCAAAATGTTTATCTCTGATGTCATGCCTTGCACAATTTCAAACCAACCTACTCCTCTTTCTATACGTGGAGCCAAGTTTGACAATCTTATCTGATGGTACCATACTAATTCTCGCAAGGAATTCAAAGAGCAAACGTCAATACATGGCTGGTGTTTCGCGCGCGACAAACTAGCTCAAGTGATCGAATGTGTAGTTAGAGTCACACGATCAAACTTGTCTTCTAATTTGCGAAGAACTAAACGAGACATGAGATATATATATATATTCTTTGCATGTCCATACACATTCACAATCGCCACACTACTCATGTGACCTCTCTCAATTCAAATTGTCATAACATGATTCATCATTAATTTCCTAACGGCTTCTTTTGATAATATTATCAAATGCATTCTTTTCTGGCTATATTTTGAAACGTCCAATTGACCGAATATAACAAGAAAGTAATGAACGAAGACAATCAATCATACATACCACTCGGTGGACTAACTGCAACGTCTCATCTACGTAACGATTCACAACATAATCCTCTCGCTCTCTTACTCTGACACGCATCGCCTTTATAAAACACGATCCAAACATAGTTTGAGGATTGCCGTTAGTTAGCTCTTTTTTTTTTTTTTGCCAATCACACACCATATATTAATTCACGGAATAAGACTCTCTTCTAGAGAAAGCCAATCAGGTACCGTCGAACTTACATGGAAAAAACAGAACCCGTGATTTCTTGCACAGCTTAGTTATTTACTTTGTTAATTTTTGTTTTTTTCCAAAGCTTTCAATTTGTTTTTTCTTTCAAATATCAAATTTTTTTTTCTTTCAAAGGTTTTTGTAAATAAAACTTTTTGTTGAGTAATTTTTACATTTTAACAAAAAAAAAAATATTACGAAAGAAAACTTTTAAATTCTAAAAGCATCAAAAGCAATAATTTGTTAAAACTTTTTATAACCTATACAAGGTAGAAAAAATTACAATTCATTATGATATTTTTTTACTTCAAAATCAATACAAAATAATTTATACATTAAATCATTAATAATTCTCATGATAAAATGTAGGAGTATTTCTACAAGGATACATGTACTTAATTATCCTTAATTGTACCCACCAACTGTCAACTATAATATATACAGACTCGATCTATTTTTTTTTACAGTAGCTATATTTTTCATTATTTAAAGGTTCTGTTACTTCATTAAATTCAATTTACACAAACTTGTACAAAAAAATGATCTCACAACCGTTGAAAATAATGACCTCATTTAAAATAAGAAAGACAAATACTATGGGACATGACAAACATAACAGATCCTAAATATTTTTTAAAAATAGCAATAAATTAAGGTCATTAATACGTGGCCGAAAGCAACTAATTTACTAACCAATGCACACATCTACTTGCTTCGTCTTCTTCTTCATCTTCTACCACCATTTTCAGATTCAAAATTCAATTCTAACAGTTTCACTTCCCCTGCTCCTCTCTCTCATGTGATCTCTCTCTCTCTCTCTCTCTTTCTTCTCTAAAAACCATAACTTTGATGGCATTACTGTGATTCTTCTCTTAAAGCAATCTCCTTTTTCGCCGGAGATTATGGGAGGCTGTACCTCCAAACCCTCCTCCTCCTCCGGCAGACCTAACCCTTTCGCTCCTGGGAATGACTATCCTCAAATTGACGATTTTGCCCCTGACCATCCCGGTAAATCACCACTTCCTACCGCTTCCGCCGCAAAGGCCTCTCCTTTCTTCCCCTTTTACACGCCGAGCCCTGCTCGCCACCGCCGTAATAAGAGCCGCGACGTCGGCGGAGGAGGAGGAGGAGAGAGTAAGAGCTTGACTAGCACTCCGCTCCGTCAATTACGCCGTGCGTTTCACCCTCCGTCTCCGGCGAAACACATACGGGCGGCGCTACGGCGGAGGAAAGGGAAAAAGGAAGCTGCTTTATCGGCGGCGACGCAGCTAACGACGGAGATCCCGCCGCGGGAGGAGGAAGAGGAATTAGGGCTTGACAAAAGATTTGGTTTTTCGAAAGAGTTTCATAGTAGAGTAGAGTTAGGGGAAGAGATTGGACGAGGACATTTTGGGTACACTTGCTCTGCTAAATTCAAGAAAGGAGAGCGCAAAGGTCAAATGGTTGCTGTCAAAATCATCTCAAAATCGAAGGTAACAAAACTTGAGTTTAGTTTTTTGATCTTGATGATTGCATACTCCATTGGAGACAGTGTTAGTTGATAGAATAGAATGTGTATTGATTCTTTTTTGGCAGATGACAACTGCAATTGCTATAGAAGATGTGAGAAGGGAAGTGAAAATTCTACAGGCTTTATCTGGACATAAGAATCTGGTACAATTCTATGATGCATTTGAGGACAATGCAAATGTCTACATTGCCATGGAGTAAGATACATTTTATGTTATATCGTAACATTTCATCATCTTTGGAATTCCTTGTTTGATGTTAAATGTAGTTAAGCTTTAGTTATGAATTTGGTAAAAAGAACCTATTGTTGCATTATGGGATTTAAGTAGTTTGAATGTGCAGGCTATGTGAAGGTGGTGAACTTCTGGACAGAATACTAGCAAGGTGTGTGTGCTACTAAAGAGTTATCGATACTTTTGGGGAAAGATTGTTCTGATCTTATAGAAAGAGTCATCTTTGGTTTTTTATAGGGGAGGGAAATACTCGGAGAGTGATGCAAAACCAGTGATTATACAAATCCTGAATGTGGTAGCTTTTTGTCATCTCCAAGGAGTTGTTCATCGAGACCTTAAACCAGAGGTGAGGCATAATTTGTTTTGAACTGAAAAGAAGATTATCTTTTACGTTACTTGTGGAATGGTTTTTGATTACTGCTTCATCATCAGAACTTCTTGTACACTTCCAAGGAGGAGAATTCTCAGCTTAAAGCGATAGACTTTGGCTTATCAGACTTTGTCAGACCAGGTTCGTCATCACTCATCACACATTTTACTATGCCACTATTTCATTAATTATTTTCCTTCTGGTTAGTAAACTAAACAATGGTGTTTTGTGCCCTTGATTTTGAAAGATGAAAGACTCAACGATATAGTGGGAAGTGCGTACTACGTAGCTCCTGAAGTTCTACACAGATCATATACAACAGAAGCGGATGTGTGGAGCATCGGAGTCATAGCATACATTCTACTATGTGGTAGCCGTCCCTTTTGGGCAAGAACTGAATCCGGAATTTTCAGAGCGGTTCTTAAAGCTGACCCGAGTTTCGATGAACCTCCTTGGCCCTTCTTGTCTTCTGACGCTAAAGACTTTGTTAAGCGGTTATTGTTTAAGGATCCCCGGAGAAGAATGTCAGCCTCCCAAGCCTTGAGTCAGTAACTTTTAATTTCACAGCTCTTTATAGTTTGATGTCCTCTGTCTTTTAGTATTCATAAATCACCAAATCCAGTTCCTATTTACTTTTTCAGTGCATCCTTGGATCCGTGGTTATAATACGGACATGAATATCCCTTTCGATATCTTGATCTTTAGGCAGATGAAGGCGTACTTGCGATCTTCTTCATTACGCAAAGCTGCTTTGAGGGTATGTTTTAGGCACTTTTTTTTAGTGCCGAAAAGAACATTGAAGATTACTTTCTCACTATTATGTGCTTTCTTTTCACAGGCGCTGTCCAAGACGTTAATCAAGGATGAAATTCTTTACCTGAAAACTCAATTTTCTCTTCTCGCACCAAACAAAGATGGCCTAATCACAATGGATACCATTAGATTGGTTTGTGACACTAAAACTTCTCTTATTTTCCTTCCTCTTAAGACAAATAGAAACAACTTACTAATCTAAACCCCGTTGCATTTGTTTAAACAGGCACTTGCAAGCAATGCAACAGAAGCAATGAAAGAATCTCGGATCCCAGAGTTTCTCGCTTTGGTAATGACTATGTTCTCTCGGATTTTGATAAATGCTTTAACAATTTGGTGTTAATGCCCCTTCATTGGCTGGCTGTTTCAGCTAAATGGACTGCAATACAGAGGAATGGATTTCGAAGAGTTTTGTGCAGCTGCTATAAACTTTCATCAGCACGAGTCGCTTGATTGTTGGGAACAGAGCATTCGACATGCTTATGAGCTTTTCGACAAGAATGGAAACCGAGCTATTGTCATTGAAGAACTTGCCTCTGTAAGTGAATCGTTTGTCTTCAGCTTAATACAACAATGGCAAAAAACAAAAGAAAGATCCTCTAAAACGACATGTTTATGAGTTGCAGGAACTTGGTGTTGGACCATCGATACCGGTACATTCGGTTCTACATGATTGGATCAGACACACTGATGGGAAGCTAAGCTTCTTCGGGTTTGTTAAACTGTTACATGGAGTCTCTGTTCGACCCTCAGCGAAAACTACACGGTGAAGATAACGAAGCTAGCATGACCAAAGCGAAATCGATGAAAGAGGATGTCAAAAACTTTACTCTGATTCTTGGATTGGAATTGGATATGTAATAGTTTAGTCAAAGACTGTACAAGAAATGAAAAGTTTCTTACAAGAGCAATTCTAAGAAAAATTGTTGTAATAATATAGTAACAACAACCACAGTGACTTTCATACTCTTATCTGAAATCAAGAGAAAGAGGAAGATTTCCAAAAAGATTTATTTTGTCTCTCTTTTCGTTCCCAAAAAAACCGCCATCTATTTTTCTTTGGCCGTTTAATACATGTGTTTTTAAATTTGGAATAAAAATACCTCATTTAATTTCGATTGCCTTTTAAAACTATCGTTTTTTAAAACTTGGTAATTTCGAACCCGACACTTAACAGTCGTTACTAGGCGTAACATAATTATTTAACGGCGTTAAATTTTAACCGGCAAAAAACCCGAAAAAACCGCCGTCTATTTCTTTTGGCCGTTTAATACCTGTGTTTTAAATTTGGAATAAGAATACCTCATTTAATTTCGATTGTCTTTTAAAACTATCGTTTTTAAAAACTTGGTAATTTCGAACCCGAAACTTAACAGTCGTCACTGGACGTAACAGAATTATTTAACAGCGTTAAATTTTAACCCCACGTGTTTATATAAATATATACAAACTGCTCACAACACATTACGAGAATGTCAATGTGGCTTGGTGGTAGCGTGTGTCTTTTTCTAAACCACCAGATCCGAGTTTGAATCTCAAACCTGTTTTTTTTTTTCCTTTGTTCTCCACTTCGAATAACTTCCCATCAGTACAAAGTTAAGACTCGAAATGCAAACAAAAGATGAATCATAGAGCGATTTCAACAAATCGATCTAGAGCTGAGCTAATGATTCTGCAATTAGATCTACCATTGAAAAAGAACAACAACTAAATCGACATCAATCAGATCAGATCTATACATAAATGAGATGAATCACGGCAAAAACCCATTATCAAAAAGAGATTCGAGTGAAGAAGAGAAAGAAAGAGAGAGACCAGTTTGCATCATCGGAGATCTGAGAAGAAGAAGTCGTCGTCACCACCGGCGAAGAAGACGAAGAACACAAAAAGAAATTAATAAAAAAAATGAGGTTGAAGTCTTGAAGAGTCGAACCCAGCTCCTGAGGTTTACAAAACTAACATGCAACCGCCAAGCCACATTAACTATCACATAAAGTTTTGCAAACAGATAGTATATATTTATATAAACACGTAGGGTGAAAATTTAACGCTGTTAAATAATTCTGTTACGTCTAGTGACGACGGTTAAGTTTCGGGTTCGAAATTACCAAGTTTTTAAAAACGATAGTTTTAAAAGACAATCGAAATTAAATGAGGTATTTTTATTCCAAATTTAAAAACACAGGTATTAAACGGCAAAAAAAAATAGATGGCGGTTATTTCGGGTTTTTTGCCGGTTAAAATTTAACGCCGTTAAATAATTCTGTTACGTCCAGTTACGACTGTTAAGTGTTGGGTTCGAAATTACAAAGTTTTTAAAAACGATAGTTTTAAAAGGCAATCGAAATTAAATGAGGTATTTTTATTCCAAATTTAAAAACACAGGTATTAAACGGCAAAAAAAAAATAGATGGCGGTTTTTTCGGGTTTTTTCTCCGGTGATTATTATCAGCAAATAACAGGCCTCGTGGGCAAAAATCTTGGTTATTTCCGGTTTGCAACTGTACTTTAATTTGTGAGATCTGAGTCGGTGTAACCAATGCAAACCGGTTCGAGGATAAAAATTTGGTTTTTTTCCCCCAAATTTATATTTTCATCTTCTTTCTCTCTGAGTTTAAGGAATTAGGGTTTCTAATCTCTCTCTCTTTCTCTCGAGAAATTTTTCTCTGTTTGGTTCTTGATTCTTAATAAAAGTTTGTTTTTTTTTAGCTTCGGTAACTTCGTTTTGTGGGTTTAAGCTTGGATTCAATCTTCATCATCAGCCATGACTGAGGTAAATCAAAATTCGCATCTTTTCTCTCCAAATCTCTTTGAATTACGAAACCCTTGGACAAAAACTGTTCAAAGCATCGGTCTTTTTCGAAACCCTTTTTTGTCAAATGTTTCGTAATTGAGATTGATCTTGAGTTTGTTTTTTGTTCTTTCAGTATTGGGTAAGCCAAGGCAACAAATGGTGTGAATTCTGTAAGATCTGGATACAGAACAATCCAACAAGTATTAGAAACCATGATCTTGGTAAGCGTCACCGAGAATGTGTTGATAAGAAGCTCACTGATATGCGTGAGAAGAGTGCAGCCAAAGACAAAGAGCTCAAGAAAAACGAAAAATTGCTTCAACAGATCGAAGCTGTGAGTAGTCATCATTCTTGATTCTTGTTTCTTTTGCCAATGATACTTATTTAACGTTTTAATCTCTGATTCCTTTGTTATTTTTCAACTTGTTTCAGAAAGCAACTCGTAGCTATCAGAAAGATATAGCAACTGCTCAACAAGTAGCTAAAGCTAACGGTGCACCGGAGGATGGTACATCTGGTAAGCATCTCTAGTTTGTTGTACGACATAGCTGTTATATTCAGGGTTGTTGCTTAGCTTTGGATCTGTTTGTTATAGACTAATATTTACTTAGGTCGTAGAGCAAAATCAGCTGGCTATTCTTAAAATGATTTTGTGAATTGCTTTCATTGACCAAAAGTATGAACAAACCAAGCAGCGTCTGATTCTTCCATTGTCATTCTTACCCATCTTTGCAAATGACTTATAAGTTTTAATGCCTATTAACTATATAGAGAATCATCACCAAAGAGCGAAACGGTTGCTTCTTTTGAGTCACTCTCAGGTTCTTTCGTCATTTTGATTGGCATATTTCTTAGCCTTTTCATTCAGAGATATGTTTTGTTTGTTTCATGTAATAATGATATTGTTTTGGCAGGTTGGATGCTTGACAGTGCTTCGGGCTATTATTATAACCAAACTAATGGTCTGCACTATGATTCACAGTCTGGATTCTATTACAGTGACTCCATAGGTATGTGATAATCAAGTTTTTTCACTTGCTTTAAAACATAATTGTATACAATTACTTCGGGTGTGCTTACACGGGTTATGAAACAGGACATTGGGTGACACAAGACGAGGCATACGCTGCGGTTAAAACTTCATCAGGAACCAAAGTACCTCTCGTTAAAAAGCCTGTACTTTCTTCAGAAGCTGGACCAAGTGTGGTGAAACCACCTGGTCGTCTTGTCACGGCTTCTTTAAACCCTAAAAGGGCTGTTAAAGGAGCTATGTCATCTGTTGATCTTGGCAACAACAAGAGAAAGAGACCAGATGAGAAACCGAAGAAAGTATCTGCAGAAGAGAAAGCTGCATTGAAGGCAAGAGAAGCTGCTAGGAAACGAGTTGAAGATAGAGAAAAACCATTGCTTGGTCTTTACAATAGACCCTTTTGATGCATTGTTGGCTTGATCTTCTGTAAAAGGGAGAGGCCAAGCAGAGAAGAGTGATGACTGATGATTGATCTCATCGTGGCAGTGATTTCAGTTATTCCTAAATGACGTTTATTCCAAAACTCTCTAGTATTCCTGGGAGCATTGGTCTCGTGTTCTTCTAACTGTTGTTCAAGTCATATCAGTTTCCTCTTTGTTGTAAACACCTATTCAATTTTTTAGTTAAGAGTGATTCAAGTCCCCACATTTTACCGGAATCTTGATGAAAGATACGAAGTCTTGGGACATCTTTACAAAACACGCACTTTTTTTGTTTTCTTTTCTTGAAAACGCCTTTAAACATGTAAGAAGTTTGTCTTAAAAAAGGTTCTGTTATTTTGAGAAAATTAAGTTCTTTTTTGGTGTATTCTTCTAAAGGTTTTTTGGTTTCACGAATCAGATTCTAAATTATGCATTTTTGAAAGATGGGAATAGATTGAAACCAAACAACTCTAAAAAGTAAAACTATCAAAGCACTGCAAACTAATAAATGATCCAAGCGATTTGGGAAAATTACTTATTGTGGACCCTCTGACTTTGAGGAAGTCTCAGTAACAGTAACAGGACAAATAAACTTAGAAAAAAAAAACTGAAAATAAACATTCAAGTATCAGACGACCCCAAAATTTTGACAGAGACTGAGACAGCAAGATAAGCAAGATTCAAATCCAGGATACAAAACCCTCTTTGGACACTAGAGGTTTTAGTTTCGATGGTGCGAGCTAACCTCTGAACCAACAACTATCATTGGATGGATCACTTTGATCACCCAATGGTTTGATTTTATCCCAATACCCGTAAGTCCAGGACTCACGGGGTTTCTGATGATAGAGACATACCAACACTTTCAAAAAGCTCCCGGGACAGCAGCCGCTGCAGTAGCGTACATGTTTGAGTCCTGATTGGCATATCCATTGTTGTAACCTTGACCTCTTGAATATCCTCCATTCCATTGGTTGCCAGTGTCACTTCTCCACTGTAGAAGTTGAACAATATTAGTGAATAGAATTAACATACGGCAGATAATCACGGTTAAAAGCTACCGAGTTGGTTAGTCATCCATGCCACAGACTTGATAAGTAGAGCAATCGTTAACATTAAGTGTTGGGCAGTAAGAGACTAGGACATTCTTGTAGAGATTAAGTTAACTTGTCCACTGATTACAACAACTAATAGTGACTTAAGACAAACATGAAACTAAGACAACCTCTAAAAATAAACGAAAACATCGATAAGTGCTTCAACTAGCTAATGAATTTTGATAGCTCTAAATTTTCTCAATCCTAAGAAACATAGAACCATTACAATTATTTCAGAGATTGGATAATGTTCAGGGAGATGACAAGTGGGCCAAGGTGATATGCATTACATTTGCCAATCAAAATAGTCAACGAAAACAGTGTGAAGGTGCTAAATTCCACTAGGTCATTATGGCCCGCAATACACCTACTACTATCCATTGTCAACCACTGACTTTAGCTTTAAGGATTTCTATAACTTTATCCACCCTATGAAGAAAGAAATACAAAGACCCAAAAGAACTCTAAAACTAAGTTTGACTACTGCAGGACCATACTAATAAAAATGCATATATAGTTCCATCAATATAGAACACACAAATCCAACTTAATCTTTCTTGTACCTGTTTGTTGGGGCTTCTTCCCCACGAAAGGCGGACAGTGTTTTTCCCGATGACTGTCCCGTTCAAGTTCCCAATGGCTTCTTCAGCACTCTGCCTGTCAAAACCAAGGGCACGTCACACATTGCAACTACCTTACCCATCTTCACTGTTAAAATAAGCACTACTGGATGTTCAAGCTGACAAGCAAAGAACAGGTTAGTACCTGTTAGCAAATTGGACAAAGCCACATCCTTTTCCTACTGGGATCTTCACTGAAACAACCTCCCCAAACTGGGAAAAAGGTTGCATGAGGTCTTCCTCAGTAACATCAGCATCAAGGCCACCAACAAATATCTGTAATGTAATAAAAGACAATGAGCAGTGAGGTATACTGTTGTTAGCAGAGGAATAGCTAAAAGAGAACTCACTGTTGAATTATTTGATTCTCCATCAGACAGTGAACCATTTCCTCCATGTCCACCAGCCAGTGTCAGAGCTAATCCAATGAAAACATTACAATTCACTTCAGATGCTATGTTTAAAGCATCAAGACAAGTTATTTAAAGCTCAAAATTCATATTCATAACTACTATAAGTGACATAAACAGAAAATAAAACCACTTGCATTCACTAAACAGAGAGAAAACATGGAAATAAAAAACACATGCTACTAAAACATAAGAAAATGAAACAAATTAAGAATAAACTAAAACTAACCTTGTGAACCATTTTGTTGGCCGTAAGCAGCAGCTCTTTTCGGGGTTGCGATACCAACACGCATTTGCCTGCTTGAACAGAAAGCACCATTCATTTCTGTCATAGCCCTTGATCGTTCATTCTCATCACCAAACCTGACAAACCCGTAACCTTTGGAACGCCCAGTGTTGGAATCAATCACAACTTTAGCACCTTTGACAGATGGATATCTACCAGCAAAAGTCTCAAGCAAGACAGCATCACTCACATCTGGAGCCAAATCTCCTACAAATATCGATAGGTCAGGACCGTTCTCTGATGCTCTTTTCTCACCAGTACTGAAAGATGCCCAGTTTAAACGGAAAGGCTGTTCCGCGTTCGGCATTGTTACACCGCTAAAGCTCTGAAGAGCTTCCTCAGCAGCTGACCGTGAAAGAAACTCAACAAATCCATATCCTTCAGATTGACAAGTTTGCTTGTTGCGTATAACTTTCACAGAAGAAACCTACACATCACAAAACAACAAAACCAGAAAGAATAAGCTAAAAAGGAAAGAAAACAGAAATTTATGATAGAAAATAAGTTAAACAGAACAGATCTGGTGACATGTTTGGAGTTCTTTTTGTTCCTATAACCAGAAAGGTTCTCTAAATGTGGCAATGTACTTTTCTTGCCTTCTGCAATGAAGTTTAAAAGTCTGTCCTTTTCCAGGTCAACATAGTTCTCCATTACCCTAAATGTCAACCATTTTGTCTTCTACACAATTTAGATCTTAAACCCAATCAAGAAGTTCAAAACTTGCCAAATTATACATCGAATTCACAATAACGAATCTTTCCAATAACCGAAAAAAGTCAAGGATCTATAAACTATTGATACATCAATCACTTTCCATGTCAGAACACAAAAAACAAAAGATTCCACTTACTAAAACATCATAATTTAAAGATCTGAATTACAAATATCAAATCAAGAATCATTACAACAACAACATAGAAGAAGAAGAAGATAGAGTTACCTCATTGGTGTGAGAGAAACAGGTATGGAGATAAGTCTCATCCATCCAATGAAGAAGATCACCAACCCAAAGAGTCTTCACATCATCACCACCAGATCCACCACGTGGCTGCTGCTTCTGCTGCTGACTCTGGTGATGCTGTTGTTGCTGTTGATAAGCAGCAGCGTATTGAAACTGAGGATGCTGTTGATAAGCAGCTTGATTATAAGGAGCGTATTGATGGTGAGGATACATCATCATCTGTTGTTGTTGCATCATAGCCATAGCAGCTGCAGGGTATTGCTGCATCGCAGCCATCCATTGTTGTTGTTGTTGCCACTGTTGTTGTTGTTGTTGCTGTTGCTGAGGTGGTGGTGTTGATTGCTGCAACGGTGGTGGTGGTGTTGTTCCGGCTGATGTTGGTGGTAACACTGAATCTGTTGAACCGTTGTTGTTTGGTGTCTGCATCTTTTTAAAGTATGAAACTTTCCGATCCGATCTGGTTACGAGACTCGGAAACTTCGGTCTCTCTCTCTCTCTCTCTCGATATGTATTGGAAAGGGTTTGTTTTGGTAATGGAGGAGACCGAGAGAGAGAGGATTAGATTTGGTTTTTGGTTTCTTTGGAGGATAGAATGGAGGCGGAGAGAGAGAGAAGAGAGTGAGTTGTGTAGATTCGGAGGGTTTAAGGCTTTTTTTTTGTTTTCTTTCTTTGGTTTTACTTTTAGGTCTGAGAGAGAAGTGGTGGGAACGTGGGGCCCAGTTACGTAAGTGAAGCCATGTTGTGTACTTTTTTTTTTTTTTTTTGTAGTTTGTAGATCCGACGGTTCTGATTCGACCGTATTTTTAGGGGTTGACATCAACTTTTGACAGTTGATGAATGATTTAAGTTCCCAAATCGGGTAAATATAAAATTTTGGGTTTTTTGTTTTGGGGTTATAAATGGATATATTGAAACAGTGTTCAAGAAAGCGCTAGGCGCTAAGCGGGCGGTGATCCAGTGCCTAGCGCCTAGAACGTCTAATCGGGGCCTAGGCGATTTTTTAGGCGGTTTAGACGTTTATAACATAAAATCAGTGTTCTAAAAAGCGGTCTAGGCGGTCGCCTAGGCCCCGACTAGGCGCTAGACTCTTATGCGACGCCTAGATAACCGCCTTGACCGCCTAAAATTACACAGATCTTGTTTAATGTATTTTTCAATTTTAATTAGAGTTTTATTTATATATATAGTTATAAATATTCATATATTGTTTAATATAAATATAAATAAATATTTTATCTAATTTTTGTTTATAATTTCATAATTTTTAGTTTTATATAGATATTTTATATAATTTTTATATATAATATCATATTTATAATATTTTATGTTATAAACGTCTAAACCGCCTAAAAAATCGCCTAGGCCCCGATTAGGCGTTCTAGGCGCTAGGCATTGGGTCACCGCCCGCTTAGCGCCTAGCGCTTTCTTGAACACTGCATAAAATATTATAAATATAATATTATATATATAAGTTATATAAAATGTCTATATAAAACTAAAAATTATGAAATTATAAACAAAACTAGATAAAACATTTATTTATATTTATATTAAACAATATATAAATATGTATAACTATATATATAAATAAAACTCTAATTAAAATTGAAAAAAATACATTAAACAAGATCTATGTAATTTTAGGCGGTCAAGACGGTTATCTAGGCGTTGCATGAGAGCCTAGCGCCTAGACCGCTTTTTAGAACACTGATTGAAACCAATGTAGACATATGATGATGACACTTTTAGCTAGTGAATCCATATTATTCAATGCATTGTATAGTCTATGGAGAGGGGGGACTTGTGACATAAACTGTTTTTTTCATTAATACAATTTGTGATTGGTGTTATGATGATGCTTAAATGGAGAAGAAATCAATGGTAAAAAGATATGAGGCCGTGAAAACTATAAATATTTTTGTGATAGTTTGGGGAGTTGGCTAGAAACATATTGATGCAATCTTTGTCAGATCAATTTTGAAGCTTCGTAGTTTGTTGGAACAACAATACAACATATCCGAGAAAGGAAAATAAGACACGTTAAAAAGCATTCTTTGTTTCTCTCCCCAACGTTTTAAAACAATAGTAGATGGAAGAGGTTGTGAATCAAAGCATGAGATGGTTCCAATGCTTCCTCAAAACAACAATGTCTCCATTGAGCTTAGCTCAACCAAGCCGATGTAGAGCTAAACTCAATGGAGACATTGTTGTTTTGAGAAAGCATGGGAACCATCTCAAGCAATTCTTCAAAATCTCTTCCATCAAGGTAACTTTCCAACCTTACGACCATTTTCTCTAATGCCTTTGTGGTTTTAATCATAAGTTCCATGAACGAAGCCACATGCTTTGACTCTACATTCCAATGGAAAACATTCCCAAAGACCCAGCAGTGATTCAGATTCAAGCCACACAAGTAGTTGCTAACATCCTTATCCTGTACAACAGAACATATTTTCGTTAATGCAAAAAACAGATTGTCAATATCTCAGATTACTGCTACAAACTCAAAGTGAAAGGACATGGTTCTAGCTTATTCAAAATCGGCAAAATAGTGAAAGAAATATGCATACATGTATGGTGTCCATGTCACAATCCATTGTGTGTAGGGTTAGCTTCTTTAATTCAGGTGAGTTTTGTAGCAACCTTAATATACCAGGAGTAACATATTGAGAGATCATACTTAAGGTAACCGAAATTCAGAAACAGATTCTCCACGTTTCGGGACATGGCGAACTCGATCCATTCATTGTAAGGAAGATCGACTACGGATGTGGCACAGAGCTGAAAAGTCATAATCTTGCGAGCCCTGTAGTGATCTAGGGTTTTTTCTACAGAATCAGCATCTAGTTTATAGCAATCATCGAAGTAGAGAGAAGGTGTTTCGAACCAAACATACCTCCATCGTTTGGACAAGATGGAAGTTCTTATGGCGTATTTGGTCTGAAATAAGGAGAGAATTTGATGGAGGATCACATCAGGCAAAGAGCTTATTGTGTCTAAATCTTCGGAGTGGTGGTTGAGGACTCTTACGGAGGCGGAGGCACCGTCTCTGTTTTCGCCGTGGTCCGCCATCGTAATTTTGTTTATGAGACACGTGTTGATTTTCACAACCTCCGTACACTCAACTTCCGATGAATTTTAGATCGTCGCCAAAAATAGCTATGTCCGAGCAATCATTTGTATAAGTAAATTCATAAGTCTTTGTAATTTTTTTGTTTTTAGAGTTTTTTATTTCTAACTACTAAAATTTCAAGTTCATAACTACAAAATTTATAATTTTCAAAACACTAATTTATTTAGATAAAATTGTATCAATTTATTTTTTTCTAAAATTTTAAAAATTAAAATAAATCTCTTTATAAATTAATATTTATTAATATAAATAAATTAATATCATTATAAATTAATAAAATACTATGATCTCAACATTGTTAATTTATGGAAGTTTTACTCTATGGTGAAGATGACACAGAATATTACATAAATAAATATTTCGGGATACTCTGAATTAAGATTATCAAAATATTGTAATGACATTCAATGTAAGCTATAAATATAGCCTATATAAAACTATTTGTTTAAGAAAAAGTTTATCAATTAATATTGCTAGATTAGGATTTTACTTAACTATCTATTTCGTCATATTAGTTTAAAATTATAGCTTAAAATTAATTCAAAAATATTATTCCAACGAATGTCATGATTCATTCCTAATAATGACTCAAAAAAAAAAATAATGAAAAAACATTCATCTACTATTTTTTTGAAAATGAGACTAGGTAAGAGTCCGTTCCATATAAAGATGAATCTTAATCTATTTAATTATATATATAGTTTTACTAATAGAAAACAAAGTTATTTTTAAATTTATTAAAAATGTTCACTACATTTCAAAAGAACATAATGGTTGTATTTAGTTTTATAATATGATTTCAAATACAACACATATATTAAAACATAGTGTCTTCCAAATCACCGGATCTTCCAGTCTAATTGGTGTAACCGTTGTGGGTTGATACCTAAATAATATTTTAATATAAGATTTATATATATATAATATATATAATATTTTTATCACTATTCTGATATATATTAATATAGGTATATACAGAAGATATATATTTTAGCAGATAAGTATATTTATAAGTTAGGTTCAAGTTTTTATTTTATCTATCAAGACAATAATTTTTTAGAATTAATTGTGATCTTTGTTGTGAAAAATTTAATTCATTAAAATTTGAAGAAAACAATATAATATAATTTTTAAAAGTAAACTAATGTTTTTTAGTATCAAACTTTGTTACCTTTAGGTCATAGAAAAATTGAATGATTTCTATTTTAATTTAATTAAATTAAGAAAATCTAAGAATTTAATATATAGAAAAATTGGAATAGTTAATTAGGTAATAATAAGGAAAATTAAAATATCGAAATTTTGTATGATATTATAAGAAAATCAAAGGAAATATGTGTTTGGCAAATGTGATAATGGTATTAAATATATATATATATATATATGTATGTATATACAGCCCCGTCTCGGGCTTTTGTACAACCTTAGGCAAAATACAAAAATGGGCCTTTTATTTATACGATATTTATAAAATACTAGTATTTGACCCGCGGTATACCACATATTTATTTTTTCTAGTCAAACTTTTAAGTAAATAATTTTTGAATGTTTTGTTTGAATAGCAAATGAGCGTTAATAAATTATTTTTATAAAAATGCGCCAAACAAAATTTTTGGACTTTTTGTTATAGAATTTTTTTTTTGAGATTTTTTTGAATTTTTAGTTAAGTTTTGGACCATTTTATAAATAAAATTTTGAATTATCTTAAAAAAATAAAAATATATGAGCCCTTTTATGTAAAAAATAGAATTTAAAAAATTTTGGGCCCTATTATTAAAAAATTTCAGGCTAATTTACACTTTTTTAAAAAAAAAATATGGGCTCTTTTACACCTTTTTTGATTATTTTCTACCATTTTACACGTTTTTTTATTATATTAATTAAGTTTTTGAAACATTTTGCTAATTATAACTAGGTTAGTTATTTTTTGGGCCTTTTATGTTAGAAACATTTTTAATTATGGGCCCTTTTATTTAAGGGACGATTTGGTGAGAGTGAAAAATGGGCAAATAAATAAGGTCAGAGACAATCTATTTGTCTACCTAGGAAGGACGATATAAATCATCAAAAATTGGGTCTGCAAATCAATCTATTTACGGAAAAACCATGAGGCGCGCGTATGCAAAAAAGTTGACTTCCGAAGCTTCAGCATTTAATGCACCGCAGGTGAAAGGACACTTATGCGGCGACAGAAGGAATGAATTGACGATGATGTGATGACTGCGCACGCATTTAATACTCATGTCGCCTGTTTGAAGTGAAGCAAACAGGCGGGAATTTAAAATTTTGAAGCCCTAACCTCGAAGCGTGGATGTTCAATAAATAGGGGAACAACGCCGGGCTATTTGGGTGTGCTACCGAGGAAAAAAAAAGCAAAAGAAAAAAAAGTGTAAGTCTCTACATCGGCAAGATAGATCAATAACAGAGATAGAGGTAGTGCTTCTTCATAAACAATTATAGAGTCAAATATTTTCCCAAGTTAGTAAGTCGGTTGTTATTGGTATATACAGGTGATTTACAAATGGAGGTGACAGACGAATCATATTCCGGTGAGGTTCGAGTTCAGCAAGGATGGTGGATGAAAGATGGAGGCGGTATGTGGAGGTTCGTGGAGTTCTCGGACAGGCCATCCAAATACGTGCGGTTAAGGGAGGGTGCTGGCGTGGAGGCAACCAAAACGAAGGTTATGACGGAGCTCAGCATTGACACGACGAAGGAGAAGATTGAGATGACGTACCAGATGCCGGAATGGATGGATGTTGATGAGACGGTGAAGCCAGTTCCGATACACATCGTCAGCGACGATGATATGGACATGTTCTTGGCGATCCGTGTGGATATCCATGATATGACACTGCTAGCAGTTCCAATGCCTCTAAACATGAGCCTCGAGATTGACGGCTTCAAAGTTGTTCCAGTTGTAACTGACCACAGCTTTGGGGAGGTGATGAGCAAGGATGAGGTAGCCAAGGAAATGGAGCGCAGAGCTGCAAAAGAGGCGATTGACGGCGTCATCTGTAGCCAACTACCACGGAATGACGGAGGAAGTAGCAGTGCACCTGGATGGATAGGGAGTACATACCTAGCACGAGGGTTCCCAACACTAACGTCAGCAGCTAGGCATTTCAGGTATACTGGAAATGAGCAAACCGTGAATAGGTCTCCAGTGAGTGTCCTACACCCAGCTGAAAGTTCAGACGGTGAGGAGGCCAACCTACGGGTGACGCGTTTGACTAGGAATATGTTCAAAGAATTTGAAAAAGGTAAGCGAAGTTAAATATAGTGCTCTATCATTCTAAGTAAATATCTATCTGTCCTAACAACCCATAAATTACCTAGAGGGCGAAGGAGACAGCTCAGAGCAGACACATGGAAGTGAAAACACGGGTTCTATACAGGCACCTGGGACGGAGAATGTATCGCAACCAGAAGGAGGTATCGGGAACGGTTATCCCATGTAAATTTTTGTGCAGCGGATATTATTAATATGTAGAGCTATATATTTTAATGTTTTGCATAATCTATATTTGTAGGGGGTGATGCGATTTCCGAAACATCAAACCGCCAATCTTCAAGCAATCCAACTGAAGGCTTGTTCCGATATCTAAACATGCCAGATGCGACCTTCGCTAGGGACGCAGCACCAGTAATCGATGATACAGACCCAGAAAGTAAGGGTTAAATAATTTTGTAGAGATCTCTAAAAACATGTAGGTTACGTGCACCACAACATCTATCAGACTAAATAGATATTTATCTGGAATTTTTATGTTACATTTGCACTCAGGCGGGGATAGAACGAGGATGGTTGTGCTTGATGGGGACTACGAAGGAGATGAGCTCTTCATCGGACGGGTATTAAGAACAGAGACAACTACAGGGTGAAGATAGCAATCCATGCGATAAATCGAAGGTTTAGCTTCCGTAATGATAGGACCACCAATGACGTGGTCATAGTCCGGTGTGTGTCTGACGCGTGTCGCTGGAGGGTTTACGTGGTCCGCCTGGACGACACAGACTATTTCCAAATCCGAACGGCTGAACTAGAACATACATGCCCAATTGAGGCAAGAAACATGTTTCAAAGGCAAGCCACCACTTCAGTCATATCCGAAATAATGAGATCAAGATACAGTGGTGTTGGGGTTGGTCCAAGCCCCATTGCACTCCGCCAGGCCTTGCGAGACGAGCATAGTGTGAATGTCTCATATTGGAAGGCGTGGAGGGCGAGGGAGCTAGCAATGGATATGGCGAAGGGTTCGGCAACAGGGAGTTTCCGTCTACTTCCCACATACTTCCACATGCTAGAGCAAGCAAACACGGGGACTATAACGGAGCTACAGACAGAGGTTGATGTCAACGGGGATGAGAGGTTCAAGTATTGCTTTGTGGCGCTTGGGGCCAGTGTGAAGGGGTGGAGGTTCATGAGAAATGTACTGATAATAGATGGGGCTCATTTGCGAGGTCGTTATGCGGGCTGCCTTCTTACGGCTAGTGCGCAAGACGGTAACTTCCAAATTTTTCCCATCGCGTTCGCAATCGTGGACAGCGAAAATGACAAGGCGTGGGAATGGTTCTTTAGCTGCCTAAAAAAATTCATTCCGGACGATGAAACCCTGACTTTTGTCTCTGACCGCCACTCATCAATTCATAGCGGCATCGACAAGGTATGTCTACTTAATGAAATAACGCCCCAAGAAAATACTTATATCCTTATTTGCGTATGTACTTGACTATGTTTAATATCAGTAGTTACAATAATAAATAAAAATGTCTAATTTCAAAAACATCTACAGGTGTATCCCGCGGCCTCTCATGGTGCTTGTATCGTACATCTGCAAAGAAACGTAGCGGCGAAGTTTAAGATACGCGTCCTAGCAGCCCTGATCTCAAAGGCAGCTAGAGCTTTCCGGAAAACTACATTCCACGAATACTTTGCGGAAATAGAGCGTTTATCTCCTTAATGCGCTGAGTACTTGATGTCAATTGGATTGCACCAGTGGACAAGGTCGCACTGCGATGGCAATCGGTACAACATAATGACCTCCAACGTCGCGGAGTCACTCAATGTCGTGCTAAAGGAGGCGAGAGAGATGCCTCTTGTGTCCATTCTCGAGTACATCAGAGGTACAGTTACGTCATGGTTTACAAAGAGGCGGGATAAGGCAATGCGTCATGATAGTGCCTTAACGCCGAAAGTGGAGGAGATTGTTAACAAAAGTTACGTGAGATCAACAGCGTATGAAGTGCTACAAATCAGCACGGATGTCTATGAAGTGAAAACTCCAACATGGTTATCTTATATTGTGGACCTCCAAAATAAATCTTGCACATGTGAAGAGTTCACTCTGCTCAAAATACCTTGCAGCCACGCTATAGCAGCTGCTGGACAGACAGACATCAAAGTTGAGGAGCTGGCTGCTCCCCACTACGGTACGTTTTTCTGGAGCTTAGCCTACAATGGCAGCATATATCCGGTGCCCGACATGAGCACTCTCCGCGACATACCAAATACAATTGCGACAAGGACAGTTCACCCTCCCCTGACCAAAAGGCCACCAGGTAGGCCAAAGCGTTCTAGATACCTATCAAGTGGAGAGTTTAAGGTAGTTAGTTGGTAGTAAGACGTATTATAGCAATGTACAAATTATGATACAACGCTACAATTGATAGTTGTTGTGAATTAATATGCAGCTGACGAGGAAGAAGGCGAAACGGAGCTGTACCCGTTGCCGTGGGCCTGGGCATAACCGGGCGACTTGCAAGATGCCAATCTAAGGGTTCAAGAGGCCTATGTAAGGTAAACCATCCTAAGTTAACAAACATAATATTTGAATACTAATTAATCAAATAGCGAATAATAACCAAATATAAACGCTTATGCAGATATATGGAGCTGCATATTTTCAATGTGTAAAGCAGCTAGACGGATGATTTCTTGAAGTATCGGGGTTTATGAGTCGGAAGCTTTTGTGTTTTGTTTGTAAGATAGTGAAGTAGATCCCCTCCGTTTAAGTTGTATTAGTATGGGTGCGAACATGCCTTCCACCATTGTCTTCAAATTATGTTGAACTTCTCCTAACAAGGTGTAATGCGTCGATCGTTTGAGTCCGCACGCCTTGTAATGTAATATATTTATGAATTCAGTTATGATTCTCGTTTAAAAACCGACTTCATATATAACCTACCTACGGCAAACATAAATATAACTGGAGACCTTAAGTAATAGCAACGACGGCCTATATTTGATATCAGTGACAATCCACCCAATAAAATACCATTATACAAAATCGCATACAATTGTAAATATATATTTGGAGGGCTATCCCAGTGGAAAGCAAACCTAATTTCGGAAATTAGGTTCGACAGACAACAACTAATCCCCACTGTGTGGGCCACATAAAGTCGAGGAGCCGCCATAAATACTAGCTACCCAACCAAGCCCCCAACCAAAAATACACAATCTAACCTAGATCTAGAAAAAAATGATTAGCAAAACTTCTGGAAATTCTTCGAGCTCTACGAGAATGACACAGACCACCATGCCGCCGGACCAAGGGTTTCTCTGCGACTGCGGTAAACCAGCAACGATCCGACAAGCATGGACCGATGCAAACCCAGGGAGACGTTTCTACCGCTGCGGCGCCGCGTGGAGAAGCGTTTGCGACTTCTTCCAGTGGCGCGACCTCGAAAAACCACACGGCTGGCAGAAAACAGCTTTACTGGAGGCGCGGGATGTGATAAGAGCGCAGAAGGAAACGATAAAGCTTCTTCAAGAAGCCGCAAAAGAGGAACCGAAAACCGAGGCAGACATTGCAAAAGAAGAGGGAGAAAGCTCGATAGAGAAGTTGGAGAAGGAAAACATAATCCTTAGGAGTGAACTTCAGGCAAGCCACCAAGCCGAACAAACGCTCCGCCACTTTGTTCTAATATCGTGGGTTGGGTTTATTTGTGTAGTGGCGACGGTCTTCCATGGATTAAGGTAAGACGAACAACAAACCCCGACATAAATGCGGGGCAGATTGATGTACTTATGTCTATAGCTAGCTAAATTACTAAGTAGAGTTCTATTTCGCTGTATCTCCATCAAGTACAAGTATCGATGTATTTTAATCTGTAGGTAGCAAACCTATTGTGCATTGGTCTGTTTCTTCGTATCTACTTCAAGAACCATCGCTAATATAAATTAATTATCTGGCTTATTTTGTAAAAAATGTTCTAATTTTAGTGTAATGTATAAGATATCATGTGCAAATGGTTTTATAAATGCTACACATAAAGCCGAACTTGTCTATGCTGCGTAAAAAAGTAGAAGTGAAAACACATAATAGCATTTGACCAAAAAAAAAAGAAAACACATACCAGCATAAGTGCCCGAAAACAGAAAAAACCTCTAAAAGATATTCACGCGAATAGAGGGCAACCAAAAAAATAGACAGTTATATAATCTAAAATATATGCCTACAAAAAAAATTGCATGTATACAAGCAAACATAGATGGATAATAACATACATAATGCTTTAAGATTGACAAATTAAATGGAAGCAATTATATAGTAATTAATATATAGCTTAGGGGGTAAAGAGTACATGGATAGGATCCGCAACATTGAAAACTAATTAGCAGCAAAACCAAAAAACATCGCGAATAAGGGAAATGTCCAAAAACACACAGCGTTGATAGAGAACATAGTTGAAGATAAAAAGCAAAAAAACAGACAGAAGAGTCGTCTACTTATTCAACAACGAGCTCACCGCAACAGTGCTCATAAAGCTCAACCGCCAAGCTTTCAGCCCGCGAACGGATAGCAGACTCGTTGACCTTGTACACCTTCTCCAACCCACCGAAGGCATGAGCCTCCATAAACAGAAGAGATAAGATCCCAGTATTGGAACGAACAGAAGCTTGGACAACAGAGGTATCGCGGTGGAATGCCAACGGCTCCAATGAAAAAGATGACATCATGTCATTGAGACCAACTTTACGCACAAAGTAGGGAAACATCTCGCAGACGAAATCGAGCTGGGGTTTCAATCGGGAGCCACAGCAAGCATCAGCATTGGGATCAAAGACTGTGAGCACATGATTACGCAAGTTGACCATGACAGCAATCCATCGATTCTTATCGATATTAAACGGGAAGTACAAGAAATCAATGTCAATGATCCACTCCCAACCATTAAGCTTAGACCTGTCAATGACCGCTGCCAGAACTTTAGGGTCAAAATCAAACAATTCTTTCCGAGAAGTCTTCTTAAACTTTGCATAGAGAACAGCAAAGGAGCCAGGGAAGTTAGACCGCATAAACTCGGCTCTAGGATCAGAGGCAGGATCAACATTGTTGAAGAGAGAGTCTCTCAGGACAAGAACACAAGAATCCATGACCTACAGGTAGGGCAAATAAGTAATAAAGTATGAAAATAATAAGGGAAGGAGAAACAGACATTGGTGCAGACCTGGGGAGAGTCTGGTGGAATAATGATGGGTATGTTAAGAACATCTTTGTCTTTAAGGACTAAACCCTCGCCAACCGATAATTCCCTACACAACAAAATATATGAAATCATAACCATTAACAAATGAACATACATCCCCATATGCAGAGTTCAATGTTGAATTAGAATAATAGATACCCAAAAAAGTGAACATTGAAAACCAAGGAAAGGCATACTTACATAGTCGGAACCAGATGCGTGATTAGGAGTTTGAAATTATCAGAAGAAGGGTCAATCTCAGTAGCAGAATCGGGGAGTTGTTCAGAGAATTGCACAACAGTATCACCTCCGGATGACTACAAATATAATAGTTACAAATCTATGAAATTTGGACTAAATATAAAGAACATTATAAGGGAAAGAAAACAAACCTTCTCCCCGCTTGCAGCCGCAGAGGAGCTGCCAGTTTCACCTTGGACAGTTGGAGTAGTATCCTTGAAAAATAGAAAGGATTAAGAAAAGAATGACAAGGAAGCAATGGTGTAATTAAATAGCTTTAGACAACATCCAGCTAACAGAGGATCAGGTTGAACCGGGTCCTGGTTTAGGTGGGAAACAGGACGGCCTCCTCCAGACCCAAGAGCGTCTACTACAGTGTTGACAATGTCTTTGGCAGCTAAGTATTCAGCGACAACAGAGAAAATATTTTGTTTGAAACTTTGCTGGAGGAGCAACTCCATCTCTTTGATATCAATACAGAGGTTTGCGTAAACAGCAGATTGAGATTCTTTCAGACCAGCCCGAATTTGGGAAGATACAGCAGCAAGCAACTTAGAATTTGGGTCGACACTATCAAACTTGGCACGCTGGGACCGCATCTTCAGTTTCTTAGATGAAGAAGCCTCACCATTTGACATCTCTTTAGGCAACAACTTGGCATTACATTTGCGTTTCCCTTTCTTGACAACACGAGAAGGAGGCTGCGCAGGAGCAGCGAGACCTCTAAAACCACCTACAAACATGTCACGCTTAAACACAACCCCTTCCTCCAACTGGTGAAGCATGAATTCAACACTGGGATCGCCAACTTCATCCGGCCAACTGCAATCCGCAAGACCCTCATCAACAACATCACCTTCCTCATTGGCAGGAATAATTGGAAGAACTTGGACCTAAGGGAAATTAGATGAAAAACAAGGTAAGATTAGATATAAATATGACTATATGGAGGGCTATAATATCAATTAAAGGTGTAAAGATATAAATAGATGTGAACAGACCTCCCCTTGAGCATCTAAATCCCAGACCTTATCCAGCTTCAACGAAATAACAGGAAACACTTCTTCACCACCAGACTCAGGATCCGTCGCATCGCCAACAACATCTAGGACATCTGGAACAGCCTCGACAAAAACAAGCTGTAAAGCATGGATAAAACCTTGGATAGCGACTGTTTCCTGCGCCAATTGATTAACCGCCCTGGACTTGATGCATTGCATCGTCATGTCAAAGCTGTATCGACCCCAGGGATAGTTCAAAAAAACATCAAGGCTGCGAATCATCTCAACATGTTCTTTAGGAATTTTCATGTTAAACGACCGGCGGCATAAAAGACCATCAACGAGCATAAGACATGCGTACTTAACCCTTAACTCACTGGTCAGCGTCCGCGGCCTCCGAAGCTTCGCCTGTAACATCTCCGCGGTGACAAACTCTTCGCCTCCAAATAGAGTGAACCAGTAAGGCGTAACACCAGGCGGACACTTGACCAGAGACTGATCAATCGGCGGCAGAGGCCTACAGTTTAGACCGGTTACAATTCCAAACTCCCACAGGGAAAACCTAAACGGTTTCCCAGCGAAAACAACCCAGATCTCGTGCCGCTTGACCACATCCAACTACCGCGTAAGCAGAAAATGAGTCAGTTTGCCAGAAAAGACGGGTTTAGCGTACATCTCAAGCAGTTTCCCAAAAAACGGACGGATTTGGTCAAGTTCTTCAGGCTGAAGAGCCCTCAGAACAACCCGAATGGTATTAAGCTTGAAATACTGATTGACCCTATCACCAGCAGGTTCTTCCAAATCAGCGAATATACGAGATGGTAGGCCACGGTTTTCCATATCTGACAAGCAAAAAAGATAGGGTTAGATATATGTTTGAAAATGGAAACAAATCTATATCAAAAAGATCCAGCCGTAAATTGTTTTGTAGAGTGCGAATTGAAAAAAGGATGTCTAATAATAAATGTAGATCTGGAAGAGAAACCCAAAACCAAAACCAAAACCCAAAGAGATATGCATGCGAGAACGGAAAATTTAGTGACAATAATTAACAAGAGAAAACCGAAAGAAAGAGGGCGAGTCGAAAACAAAAAATTTAGAAACAATTTCGGTAAAGAAAAGCAATTCTGATCTACCACCGACCGGACGAGACTGAGGACGGATGCGAGGACTTCCGATTAAAGCAAAGAATCCGACTAAAACTATTTCAACTGATGTGCGAAATTGAGAGCTACAGAGGATTTAGAAAAAGAAGAGTTGAGAATAAAGAAGAAGGTTTATCGGTGCAATGAATAGTATTGCCCAGACAGATGACAGTAGAAATAGGGTTAGGGTGCGAGAAGGCGGGATATCGAAGGGTTGGACAGATGGACACCCAAACGTCCCGTCTCAAAAATAATAAAGTAACAAAAACATAATGCAATGTTTGAAAATAACACGCTATTCGACTGGGAATTTACGCAGTATTAATTCGTCTGACATAAATGAAGACTCATTTCCGAAGGCGCGTGGGGGTAAAGTCGGAGAGTTTGGTGGCAAAATATATATGTTGTTTGGGCCTTTAAACGATTAGCGAGAAATTTAATTTGGGCTTAGAATTCTATTTTACACCTAATTATCTCTTTATTTAATTAATTTGTTTTTTTTTTCAAATCATACAACAAAATTATATAATAAAAGACTCTTAAAATTTTGGGCCCTTGGAAAATGCCCACTCTGCCATGGGTCAGAGACGGGGCTGTGTATATATAAAAATAAGATGAGAAAACTAAAGACTAAACACTATGTCTCGGATTGGTTGAGCTAAGCACAATGGAGACGTTGTTGTTTCGAGAAAGCATTGGAACCATCTCAAGCAATTCTTCAAAACCTCTTCCATCAAGATAACTTTCCAACCTAACGACCATCTTCTCTAATGTCTTTGTCCTTTTAAGCATAAGTTCCATGAACGAAGCCACATGCTTTGACTCTACATTCCAATGAAAAATATTCCCAAATATCCAGCGATGATCCAGATTCAAGCCGCGCAAGTACTTGCGAACATCTTTATCCTGTACAACAGAACATATTTTCATTAATGCAAAAAACAGATTGTCAATATCAGATTACTGCTACAAACTCAAAGTGAAAGGACATGGTTCTAGCTTATTCAAGATCGGCAAAATAGTGAAAGAAATATACATACAGGTATGGTGTCCGCTTCACAATCCATTGTGTGTAGGGTTAGCTTCTTTAACTCAGGTGAGTTTTGTAGCAACCTTAATATACCAGGAGTAACATATTGAGAGATCATTGTCTCAAGAGTCAAAGCTTTAGCCTTGAACATCGGAAAAGGAACACCGCGGACCTCGGAAAGTGATAAAATCTAACAAAAAGCACAGACATTTAGTTAAAACCAAAAAAAAACAAATATCAAAAAGAAAAATGACACTTGAAAACATACCTTAAGAAAGTTTTCCCCAAAAGTAAGCTTGTCTACGTTCTGTAACTTGTCAAGTATCTTAAGCACCATGTCTTGAAGAAAATCAGCATTCAGGTTGTCAAGTGCGCAAAAGCGAATGTCTAGTTTGGCTTCGTTTAAGGACGAGACATCAACAAAAGCACTTGATAACTGAGAGTTTTTCAATGTGAGACAATGGATATGCGGTGACATAATGTGCGTTGTCCCTGCAACACAAGTGGTACGAACGATTTCTAATATTTTCAGACTCGGTGATTTGGTGAGATCAAGAACCCTCAGTTCATCACAAAATTCCAGTTTTAAGCTTTCGAGAATCGGACAACCAGAAATAATATTAGCATTGGATTCATCAGAGAATTTGCAACAACGCAAAGAAAGCTTCTTGAGAGATTTCCAAGAAACAGAGCATCTGGGAATCAATTCAGAATATTTTGTCTCAATGCTGAGTTGCTTGACAGAGGAGTTGATGTACAAGGAATCAGGAAATTCATACTTAAGGTAACCGAAATCCAGAAACAGATTCTCGACGTTTCGGGACATGGCGAACTTGATCCATTCATTGTAAGGAAGATTGACTCCGTAGGTGGTACAGAGCTGAAAATTCATAATCTTGCGAGACATGTAGTGAGCTAGGGTTTTGTCTATAGAATCAGCATCTACTTTATAGCAATCATCGAAGCAGAGAGAAGGTGTTTCGGACCAAACATGCCTCCATCGTTTGGACAAGATGGAAGTTCTTATGGCGTATTTGGTCGGGATTAAGGAGAGAATTTGTTGGAGGATCACATCAGGCAAAGAGCTTATTGTGTCTAAATCTTCGGAGCGGTTGTTGAGGACTCTTACGGAGGCGGAGCCACCGTCTCTGTTTTCGCTGTGGACCGCCATCGAATTTTGTTTATGAGACATCTTCTTGAGTTACAAAATTATGCCCCAATATATATTACTGAATTTTTAAAGCTCATTACTATAAAGCCCATTAAACACTATAAACCCAATACAGTTATTCTCCTTTTTATTGGGTTCTCTTATCTCATCTGCGATCGGTCTTTTTAGATATAGGCAATAAAATAAAGTCAATGAAAAAGTAAACATTAATTTATGTTTTATTGCCTAAGTTCTTCAAATTACTTTTTGGTCATAAACATGCTATTAATTTTAAAACACATATAAATTCTATGTTATGTGAAGAGAAAAAATACTAACTCAACATGATTTACAACATTGCCAATATACTCAATTAGTAATAAACAGGCACACGTGTGGGGTAGGGGTAACTTGTGTGAGTGGAAAGGTTCAACATTCTATTAGCCTATAGGTAGGCATTGGATCTGATGTTAGGGTAAAAAAAGTTTCACAAGATCCAAGCCATGTGATGTGCATGCAGTCTTGTAATTGTAATAACCCCCTTGCCCAAGTTTTATTTTTAACCCACATTTACTTCTCATATTTATTGCTAGTAATTGTTTTCACCCATTTGGAATTTCAAACTAATGAACTTCGTGTACATTTTCTTAAATTTTACTCAAAACAAAACAAACAAATACCATACCACCCGATGAAATCTAGATTAAGCACAATATAAATTTATATATCCAAAAAAAAAAAAAAAAAAATTTATATATCCATTTGTTCTAAACGTACAAAATAAAGAAGCTCCCTTCAATAACAACAAAAAAAAAAAAAACCTGTATTTTCACATAACTAAAGACTCAGTCATCTTTTACCCATTCTTTTGCTCTACATCCATTAGTTTCGCCGACCACAGAGATAATATTAGCGACTTTTTATAGGAAAAAAAAAGTAGAACTGGAAAAAAAAAGAAAAATTTATCACTCTCCTTTTTTTTTTTTTTTTTTTTTTAGAATTTTGACCTGGCACGATAAGAACAGTTGGAATAGAAAGCAAAATTTACATTTGCCTGGTCACCAAGTCACAACATATTTCACACTATATTGTGAGTAGATTGACAAAAATACCCTTCCTCATCACGTGGCTTGTTGGAAGAGATTGCCTAATTATGACGTTCATATTAGGCTCTTTTTTTTCCTTAATCTCATTATTTTAATTTTCTTCAGCCTTTTGAAATTTAAATTCGTGTTCTTAAACAGTCAGTTCGCAAAAAAGTACATAAATAAGCAAAGGAAAAAAGGAATAAATGGGAGAAACTAAAATAACAGAAAGCACGTGGAGCCACGCGCCTTTGTCTGCTGCAAAGAAATTAAATATAAAAAAGGGAATATAATCCCAACGGAATCAGGTAATGATGAGATCCTCTTTTTACCACTCCCTCTATTCCCTTCTCTCTCTCTCTCTTCCTTTTTTTTTTTTGTTAATTTTAACATTTTCGCCGTAAAACTGATTTATAAATATCAGAGCTAAAAAAAAAGGTGTACCATCGTAGTGGACTCATCGGAAGCATTCAAAATTTTTTTTTGATAAAATAATAATTTCAAGGAAATTATAGGAATATTCATTCTAACTCTATAGAGAAAGTACATTACCAACTGTATGATATATATACCGTTATACCTTTCCAGTTTTACCCATTTTCTTAATTTGTGTTCTAATTTTTTGTTTTCCTATAGTAAAAGTACAAACAACAACAACAACAACAAAAAAAAATGAGAAAAAAAAAAACAATTTCTATAAACAACGAAAGTAAGAATCAAAACAATAAATAGCTTTCCAAATTCATAAATATATAAGGTCCCAATTTCATGAAATACTAATAATGTGCACAACGACACCAATTCACTACAACAAAACTGACAAAAAAGAGTGAAACTTTACTGACACAATAATTCCGATTTTTAATTGTAAACCCCACTCTTTTGTTGAAAAATTCAACAATGTCACCGAGAGAAAGAGAATGAAACTCAAGGTTAGAACTTCTAATTAACAATCCGTAAAAATTACTAAAATTTTGAAGAACAGAAGAAGCTAAGAAATTGATAAAGAGGAAACTAAAATTAGATAAAACTGTACATTATAACGTCTCTAAAAATCCTTCCGTCTGTGACAAAATTCACAGTACCACGACGTGTAACTTTAGCATTGTCTCTTCTTCTTCTTCTTCTTTCTAAGGTTTGAGACTAACCCACTGGTACCGACCTTCAAGCGGCGTATCATTGACGATGTCGTAGTTGTACCTATACACGTTTTAAATAGCTCCAAGTTAAGGATTTTTTGCTATCATGCGCGTGTGTGTGTGGGTCTAATACTCTTGATATCCTGCGCATTCATTCATAAATATAAAATAAACTCACTTTTCTGTGAATCGTTTCTGCTCGAATCTCTCCGCCGCCGAGAAAAAGTCATCCAGCTCCGCCTGTGTCGGTGATTTTTCCATCTTCTTCTCCGTCTTTCTCTGATCTCTCCTCTCCGTCGTCGCCGAGTCCATTTCAGCTCTTTCTCCCAGATTCTCGCTTAATGGACTTCCCTGTTTGCTGTGAAATCCCCAGAAATTATGAATTTATAGACGAAACGATGAAGAAATTGAAAAATCTTTGAAACGTTTTTTTTAGTATTTAACCTGAAATTGTTGTTGGTGATTAACGTTGAGATTTCGGTTTCGGAGATTTCATGAGCCTGAAAACGGAAACAATCAATTAATATCACAAATTAATTGTTCGTTAAAGCAAGGAAAAAAAAACGTAATCAGATCTTTCTCACAGAGCATTTATTGTGAACCAGACGAAAAAATTGGACAGAGAAAATTCAAAATTTGTAGTCTCGAGTTTCGAAATTTCACCTCCAGATCTGAAAATGGAAGACGAGTAGCGATTTCGTTAGTTTCGCTGCTAGAACAACCAGAGCTGATGATGCTTGAGCTTCGATGATCGTATTCTTCTTCAGACAACGCGACGGAGCAAAAACCTCCGGAATCTGAAACCGAGTAAGCCAGAGAAGAAGAGGAAGAAGAAGAAAGAGTTCTCGTCGGTGAGCGTAAAACACCATCATCATCATCGAGTCTCATCCTCTTGATGTTTGATCCTTCGTAATCAGAATCTCTCTTGGATTTTGTTTCGCTCATCTTTCTCAAGCTCGTTGTTTGATCTCTGGAGAGAGTTTGTGAAAAAGTTGGGGTTTTTCTGGTTAATTAAAAAACAGAGCAAGGGTTTTGGGTATTTGGGGGAGGAAGATGGAGGATCTAGAGCCGTTGATTAATTCAACGGTTGAGATTTTATTATTGGGCCTTGCCTATAGCGGATGGCCCGTTTGTGTGCCGGTTTTGAGTGGGGTCCTTTTACTTATTAGTCCCGTTCACGGGGAAGCAGGTAACGGCGTCGTTACGGAGCGTAGACGCCGTCGGGATTCTAAACGGCGCGTCTTTTTTGCCGTTTTTGGCTTCCTTTTAAAGCAACGAAAAAACGCCGTCGTTTCTGTAACAACATTTTTTCACTCTGGTTAATTCCAAAAACAATTACTCGATACTTTTGGGTAATTACTAATTTACTTCGACCACAGAATTCTTTTTTTCATCAAAAGTAACATTTTCTTACACGTATATACATTACTATAAGTGAGAAAAAAAAAACATTTCTATTAATTATTATAATTCTAGATTTGATAACAAAGAAAATTAAGATTTTTAACCATAAACTAAAGTATTTGTTAAATTTATTGATTTCTTATGTTGCTGGTTTCTTATAGAAAAAGGAGTTATTACTTTGCTTTTTCTCCTAAGTTTTTTACTCAAAAGCTCTAAATTAATATAAGACCAAAAAAAACAAAGCAAGAAAATATGGTCTTTACAACATCAAAGTAGCAACCATTATTGTAAAATCATCGATATACTTAAGGATAACTAGATTCATAGATTAGAGTCTAAATCCCAGTTAGTTCTGGTAACTTTAGCAGTCAGGTGACCCTAAAGTATTCACTTTCTTACGAGCACCACATGGAGACAGAACTACAAATACAATCTATTAAACAGTAGTAGTACTTATTAAATGACAAAAAACCATCTTAGAATCCAGTTCTTCTTACACGGAATCTGTACATGTCCAAAAATGGGTTTAGAATTTTACACATACAACATGTTTATTTCCTTCTAATAAAATGGGACCATTTTCGTTATTTTTGGCAGTGAAATAATGAGCAATAATTGAACGTTACATAATAATTGTGCTAATTAACAAGCAATTTACTTAGGATGTTTTTTTCTCTTCTTTTTTTGCCGTTTATAATTTACACATGTACAATATCAAAAATATGAAAATAGAATCTAGGCTTCAGTCGTCCGATACTCCGATTCTTCTTCTTCTTCAATAATTTTAAAATTGGAAGAAAAAAAAAAGACTCATTCATGATGTTGCTATTTCACCATGTTTCTGATCAGAACCAATACAAGTCTATTTATAGACTAATTAACCCAGAATAATGATGTAATCAGGATTTCAGGGATAATGGTAAAAGGATGAGACGAAAAAGATTCATCAATACAAGTATCTTTGTTTATGGACTAATTTACAAAAGTATCTTTGTGAATCGATGTTAATAAAAAAGTAACTTTAAAAACTAATTCACTTAAAAAGGTAACCTAGAGATTCTTGATACCAATGTCCTAAAAGGGTAAAAGTTTCAATTTCACTTGGAAATGTTTAGACCTCAAAAACAAAACAAATGAAGCACGAATCACATTAGAAAGCATGACAATAACAAGATCGGGACACATGATGAATAATAGATGCATCCTTTTTTTTCTATATGATTGAGACCCATTTGTTTTAACAAGAATATGCACTGTTAGATCCGATTCCAGCCAATGATGAATCTAATGTCTATCTGACTCATCATTTCCAACCAAATGTAAATCAAACAAGACTGGTTTTAAAACCTTAAGGTACAAGAAGATCCTCAAGAGCTTGTCTTGTTACGAACATGGAATATAAATAGAACTAGGATTCTTAGTTCTTAATGAGCAAAAGCTAAAACCGAAAGAATAATTGTTATAAAAAGTAACAACTCAAATGAAACAGTAGCTAAACTGCTAAAGCCTGTGTTTTGAGGTAAAAATGCTTCATTTCAACTGTGATAAATCAAGATGTTGACATATATGTAAGCACAGTGAAGTTAAACACAAAAAAGTATGAGCTTAGAGATTTGATGCGTCGTACCGTGAAACTAAGAAGAGTCATTCCTCATTGTGACAAGCTACTTTATAAGAGGGTCTCAGACTCAGAGACCTTTCTTCACCTCGAAAAAGTTTGAGCGTTCTTTGTTTGCTGCATCAATGTCTTCTTGTGATGCCACTGCCACTGCAACGCCTTTATCTCTAACTGAGTCTATTGCCTCTGCGAATTCCTTGAAGTCCTTCAAACTGAAAAAGGATAAAATGGAAGTTACTTTTCTAATATCTTTGACAATAACTATGCTGAAGAATCGGAACTGGCTATTTGGTAATATTCAGATAAGTCGTTAAAACTTCTAAGTCCTAACAGTAAAAAACTCAGATCAAAACATTGTCCCCAAGGATTTCATAAATCCCCACAGGATATTCCGCGGCATATCGTGATGTCGAAAGTGCAAAAGATGTATAAATTTATATATATACGCTAAAGCAAAAATGAGAGAATGCTGTTAACCTTGTTGATAGTATCTCTTCACGTCTTATTTGCCTCTCTTCATCGGTTACATTAAGTAAATGTCTCAACAAACTGTGGATAGAAATGGGAAATTAGATTCAGAATCCATTACATTTCTAGAAAGAAAAGCCATCAAAGACCAGAGAAGAACCCAGAAATAAACATCATACCTGCTATAACCTTTGGCATCAGGGAGTTGGTATGAATCAACATCGCCAATTGTCCCAATAATTGCTTTAGTAAGGGTGTCTTCATCGACATCGAGGCCACGTAAGAAATCCCCAGTTCCATCATATATGTCCAGAGTCTTTAATAGGTTGGGGTCACGGTAAGATAAGAACGAAAATACTCCTGCAAAAGAGAAAATCCAAAGGTCAGGTCTGAAGGAGAACTTGTAACGTGGCAAAGACTCTCTCCGATCAAAATCAAAATAGAAAAGAAAAGCAGTTTACCCGAATGTGAATCAAAATCACAGAAACCTCCATATGCACCACCACTTACACGGACACGATCCCATAACCATGTGTTACTAATATGCTTTGATATAACATATGAACTTCCATCAAGCTCGTAGCCACTGCTGTATATATTTCCCGCTTTTCCCACATAGTTCACCTGTCAAGAAGGCAAGAATAGAATTGTGGAGTAATTAGAAGACATGTAAAGAGAAATACACACCAAAGGACCCAAAATATACAGAAGGATTTTCATTTCTTTACCTGGGTTGGTATCACTATACCTTCATTTCTCAAAGGAAGTCGTGCATCCCAAGTGACGAGTCCACCAGATGGATTTTCAGGGAGTAAATCAAGAAATTTTCCAACATATTTTTCCGTGTTTGTGAGGGACTTCCCATCAGCAGTCATATTAACTATGCAACAATTCCTGGAAAGGAAAGATCTTCTGATTTCCTCAAGTGAGGATGAAATTCCTTCCCAGTCTTGATCCACCTTCTGTTCAAGGGTGTGTAGAAATTCAAGGTAACTACAACAAAGATCAAAGCAAAACTCTATTAGGCTATACAAGTATCAGATCAAAGTAAAATATGAATAAAGTTTCTTCTCCCACAGCTAGGTTTCAATCAAATTAAGAGGTCAAACCAAATGGTAAAAACTAAAAATGTAAGAAAGAGTTATCAAGTTCCAACCTGAGACCACCCATCTGTTCAGACATCCATCCAGCAACGTTCAACATTGCATCCATCCTCGCAGCAGCAATTCCTTGACCACTTCCCCTCAATCGGTTCTAAAATGAACACGAGTTGGTGTTATATTACTACCACCGTGTTCTATTTAGAATGCAAAAGGAAGAAGGAACTGCATACCTCCATTCGTGCTCTACTCTGAGAGACGAATTGTTTAAACCGTTGTTTATCTGTAAATCGAACCTCTTGCAGCACACAGTTCATCTGCAGCAAGGCAAAAGTGAATGAAACATAAGTACCAAACTACAACTTCTATTGGAAATTAACTAGATTTTCAAGAATCGCATGGTTGTTCTATCAAACTAAAGCTAATTTCTATGTCTCCATTTTTTTTTACTTTAAACTCGAAAGTTAGGATTATTTTCTGAATATGCTCATGCTAAAATTCAGCTCTAAAATTAACAGAATCAGTTTTCTAGTAGCGAATGATTGTCTAGTCTCTAGTGTACCTCTGTACTCTACCTTGAACACACAGAAATAGTATAAGACACTGCTCAGCAAATGAGATGAGCACATGGAGAGATGAAAAGTGAGCATTTCTGCTTTAAGAGGAAGAAATCAGGAGACAGAAGAGATACTTCATAGACGCAGACACAAATAAAAGAAACAGGTTTTGCTTTCTGATAAAGCGATGGACAGAAGAGGTATCTACAAGGCTATAGTTAGAGGACATGTGGAAAAAAGTTTAGACTTGCACTCTACATCTTGAGAACCAAGACGGCACCTGATCAGCTAGAAAACTCTACATTAACTATCCCAACGTACGTTATCTCCAGCTAAATGTGATAAGTTGAAGCAAATTACCAGGTTGAAAAGGTCTTCAGCGCGTCCAACCATGGATTTTCCACGCACAATAATTTTGCTACATGGATCATCCCTACCATACACAGAGGATGTAAGGGGATACACTAATATCCCTCCGGTCTTTCTTCCAATTAACTGATTAAGTTGTACAAAAGTCAAATCTTGCGTACCCATCTCTAGTAATGATTGACTGTCAAAACAGAAATTATATAGGAGTTAAAACGAATATAGCATAGGGTATCCACTGGCTTATACTGACGCAAATGATTACGAAAAGGATATACTCTGTAATAAACCACAACTGGAAAAAATCGTCGGTCAAACTTACGGATGATTAAGAACATAGCATGCCAGTGCAAACTAACGGAAGATTAAGAACATAGCATGCCAATTTCTAGGGTGAGACAAGACAAAAGTGCAATGAAGCTACTAAGAACATTGACACTGAAATTTGAAGCAAATGTTAGTAGGAGAGTATGTTACTAAAAATTGACCTTGATACTGCTATCACTAAAATGCAACCAAGAAATAGTATAACAGACCATGACACTGTAGCAGAAGGCTTGAAAGCTGCCTTTTGACATAGAATTTCAACTGAGCGTTGTTGAGAGCACTAAAGTAAAAGTCAAGAATAGTAAAATAGACATAGAGACTCTCTTGGACAAAAACCAAGCAATATGTAATTCTAAATGCTTAAAACTGCGTCAGACATCCGAAATTGTGATTTGGTTATCAATCAGGAGAACAGAGAATGCTTGGAATTATTTTGTAGCAATCTTTTTCATTAAATATTTTCACCATTTGCATTTTTGAAAAAATTAGGTGAATACCCAAAAGCGAAATATAAAGCCTAAGGTTAAATCATCAGATGTAGAAGTCAACAAGTTACCAGAAGAGAGGTATCAGTTGAAGAAGCTCATGTTTTAGTGAGCCCATATCAAAGACTACTTCAGTGTAGAGTATATCATTTGTAAAGAGATCATGCCGCAAAACCTTCACGCCATTAATATCACCAACCTATAAAGCACCATATCAGCATCAAGCTGAAAAATTGAAAGGAATCCAACAACAGCAGAGAGCTAATATAATGATCACCTCAGTGGGAACATATATAGGTTCTTTTGGAATGTCACTCAAGTTTAAACTTGGAACGCATTTCAGTGCTTCAGGAGGGTCAGGAGTCTCTTGCTTCAATTTCAACTCCTCTGTGGCACGCGCTAGTTCTGCAAGATCCTCTTCTGTCATACTTGCTTTAACTTTTTCTAGAATAATTTTCTCCTCCGCTTCCTCTTGAGAAGCTTTCTCTGGATCAGGCTGAGAAAACGTGTTTTTGTCAAAGAATTGTAGAAACATTAGAAAGCAATGAGAAACTCGGAAAAGGAAAATACCTGCATCTCGATAGTAACACAATGAGGGTTGTTCAAAATAAACTCCTCTATCAGAGGGGAAAAGACAGCCTTGGATCCTTTCTCAGCTATTCTAGCTTTGAGGGACTTTAATGGCTCCTCATACTTTAATGGCTCAAAAGGATCCATGTCGTATATCCATTTCGCCTAAAAATCCAACACTAAAATAAGAAACGGTACACAAATAATAGATAAGACAAACATAAGAAAAAGGCAGATAAACTCACAATTGACTGAAGCATAAGTGATAACCCACGAGGGAACGATCCTGTATTGTTTTCTCTCAGAGAAAACTCAATGGAATTCATGGATGCCTCAACAGCATCAGTGTCAAACCCCTCATCTGCCAAGTTTCTCAGAGTATTCATGACCAACTCTTCAACCTTTTGGACATTATCATCGGAAACACCTTTCAAACCTATACTGAATTGGGGCTGGAGAAGTTCATCTTCCATCCCACTATTAACAAGAGCTTCTCCTAAACCGCTTCCCAATAAGATTTTTCTCAATGGGGAAGCAGGAGTCCCAAGCATTAGATGATCCAAAAACCCAAGGGCGAGTTGAGTTTGCAAGTCCAGTGGCTTGTCAGAGAGCAGCCAGTTAAGGCACACCATACGTTTCTTCTTAAGGTCGCCATCTTCACCAGCAGGATATTTTTCAACAATTCTGCGAGGCCTAGAGAATAGTTTTTGTGGTTCAACCTTTGAAGTATCTCGAGCTGGACTTGCATCAAACATGTTCAAGTATTCTGCACAAATTAGTAAAACAGAAACAAGATCTGTAAAATAGTAACATAATGGCGAACATAAAGAGAGAAAAGGAGAATCCCCTACAGAAATATGGCTCTTTACCACTCAAGACGCAGAGGCGGTGACCTGGATCATCATCTCCATAGAACCATATCCTGGCATTGTTTGGGTGATAATATTGACGGTGGAACTCCTGAAATTTTCACCACATGAAGAATAAAATATCATGCATCAGGAGTCATACCTATCATTCTGTTGCAGTATAATATCTATCACGTTTAATTAAATGACATGAAGTACTTAACAAACCTTAAATTCCTCAAACGTAAGATTAGGGATATCTTTTGGATCACCTCCACTGTCAACACCGTATGTATTTTCCGGGCATAAGGCCTAATTAAAGAAAACAGAAGAGAAAACAAGTTTATGTATTCCATGAAAACCACTGTACCAAAGAATAATGAAAGCAGATTATCTAACAAGGAATTCAGGAGCAGATCTTGAAATGATGTTTAGTGAGAAACTTCAATCATATTTACTCTGACTGCTCACCAAAGTTATGACCAGTGTAAGAAACGAACAAAATATTAAATGCAGGCGCGCACATGCAAAGATAAATATTTACACACGCCCACACATTTAATCTGGTAAGCTATAAAACATCAAAAAAATAACAAAGCTAAATTATTCATACACTGCACATCCCTCGAAACCTGAACAGAAATTCACTCGTAGAAAGAGATTGCTAGAGGAAATTGTTCAAATAAATCAAGGAACAATCAAAACTTGCCTGTTGAGTAATCCGCCCTAGTATATTATCAGGTTGTGAATAGACACCTTTCATCTCATTAAAAACAACGCCTGATATGTGAAACATTAACACAAAAAAAGGGAGAGCAGGTTAATAAAAGAGTGGTTTAACAAACGGAAAAGATCAAAAGCAAGGTATGTAACTAATAGAACCTTTGTAAGATATGTCTTCTGAAAGATTGTTAAGCTCATAGTGCCAACCCTCCTGCTGAAAAGTGTGAACGTCATCCACACACTTGGGGAAGAAAACAGCGTCCAAGTATACATCGACAAGGTTGTAGAAATCCTAGCATAGATAGTGATGAAATGTGATCAGACCAAACTTAAATATATGTGAGCATAGAAGAAAGATAGGAGCTTGGGGAAGAAAAGAGTATTTATGTATTACCTTTGTATTTGTGGAAGCAACTGGGTAGCAAGTCCTATCAGGATATGTGAATGCGTTAAGGAAAGTATGCAAACTTCCCTTTAATAATTCGACAAATGGTTCCTTCAGCGGGTACTTTCTTGACCCACATAATACGCTATGTTCCAGTATGTGAGGAATGCCAGTGGAATCTTTCCTGCATCAAGAACCAAACTATTATCAAAACCACTGTCAACAAGCAATTAACAATACCGAGAGTTACAAGTTTAGCTAGCTCATGGTGCCAATTCCAACTGAAAGTGTACAACTATTCAACATTGGCTAGTTTTAAACTTGATTAGCTAGAATTTCCTCACTAGACTATAATATTTACCACGTCACTCTGAACACCTCATGAGTACCAACAAAGAGGAGGGAACCAACTGAGTTTCACAACGTTTTATAGAATTAAGCTCGCAAGTGCGACCTGAGGTGACTAATAAACGATTTGACCATTTTTGGACTAGTTAAACTTCCAAGAACGAAGCCTCATCTACCACAAATCTCTTACACACCATTAAGAAATCACCGAGATCAAACCGAAATTTCCAAGTCACATATACTAAAGATAAACTAGTAGGACAGATTCATGTGTAGTAGTACTACACTTACGGAGGAGTCCGGAAAACAATGCCAAACACCTTGTTCTCATCGTCGTTAGAAACAGACATCACCTCGCAACCGGTTTTCTTGTGTCTGAAGAGAACAGCCTTAGATTTACACTCTGAGATAAACTCTTCAGAGACTTTCTCAAATCCAAGCTTCTCAGCTTCATCTTGACCTACATTTGACAAAACCACTCATCAGAATGGCGTACAAATGACACTCTTTAAATCAAGTATGAGAAGAAAAGGTTCACATCTATCCTATTACATGAAACAACGCAGCTACAGTGTCCCTTTTGATCAAAAGCTCAGGAAATTTCTCTACTATAAGAGAGTGTTTGTGGAATAGAGTAACAACTAAACACAAATGTCACCAACGAGAAACACTTTGAATCCAACTACTCGGAAAGTAGAAACATTAGAAATTCCTACAGATTCAAATCCAGCTAAAGATTTTGATAGTCTCACCGGGAATTGAAGAAGGTGCGGATTGTGTAGCCACGGCGCGAATGGATAAGCGAGAGAACTGTCCATTGAGACCACGACTCGCACCGGAGCGCAGTTTAAAGTCACGGGGTAGAAAGAAACGACTTCCAGCAGCTTCTGGAGTAGAAAGCCGGCGAATGTTGCGGCCGACGGCGGTCGAAGACAATGACGGCGAAAAGTAAGAGCGAGGGGACTGGCGAAAGAAGCGGAAGAAGAGAGAGGTCGAAGCAAGGGATGAGGAACAAGTTATTGACCGGAGCATGTCTTCTCCGGCGAGAAGACTGTAGTACTTAAGGATGAAAATAATTTAATCCGACGGCGAGGAGTTTTAAAGCGGTTCGGTTCGAAATTTTAAACCGGAGGTTCAAATTTCGAAACCTTAAACAGACCTAACCGATTAATCGAATGTAATGGCTTAAAAATTCGTTTTTAAAATTGATATTTCCCAACAATTTAAGCATATACGATTGATTTTTCGAGGATAGTTTGATTTTGATACACAATGTTATTAACATTAGGTGCGTTTAATTATTATTTTGGTTCAATCTCTGTCAGCAATTAGTGAGTTTGTTGTTTAGGTGATCTGACTTTTCTTCACATGATAATTGTATGTTGAACTTTCCGAAATTTGACGATTAAAAACATAAACTAAGTTAACAATATGATTATTTGAAGGATTATTTCATCTAATCCCATGCTTGAGCATCAAGATTCAACTTAAGATGATAAACTCCACAAATTTCCTCATCAATTTCGAAGCGTTTTGAGAAATAGGGTTATGGAGATGGAAGCAGTGTCCTTCCTCTTCGTCTTCCACCACTTCCACGGTTCCTTTCCACTCACTCTTCTCCAACTTCGCCGCGTAAGCCAATCCTTGCCGCCAAAACACATCTTTCCCGGCCACCGCAACCAAAACCTTCTCACATCCCATCTCGGAAACATCCGACCCGGATCCAACCACATTTAACCACGGATCATTCGCCCCATCAACACTACTAGGGCTCACGATCTTTTCCCAAATATGTGTGATTCTACTCCTTATTTCTCTGTCTTGCACATCGTGTACGTCGATCGGATCTTTCCCCCAAAAACCTGGATGCACCATAACAATCCCTTTGATTCCAGGCTTAAGCTTCTCCTCACCAGCTCTTATTCCCATGTGATGTGATATATTGGCTCCGGCGCTATCTCCGGCGATAAAAACTCTGTCGAAATCGGCGTATTCATTAATCCAATCATCAGAATGAGAAAAGATCCACTGAATAGCCGACCATGAATCATCATAAGCCGCCGGAACTGGATGCTCTGGCGCAAGACGGTATTGAACCGACACGGCGAGGCAGTTAGCGGTTTTAACAACCTCCGTGATGTAGTTATGGTAAACCGGAGAGAAAGGAGATTGTATGATGTAAGCTCCGCCGTGAAAGTAGATAAGTAGAGGTAGTTTTTTACCCGCGGTGGCGAGTTTTGTAGATTTGTTGGGGAGAAACATACGAACGGAGAGGTTGTGCTCCGGTGAGTATACGACGTCTTTCGAAACGACGTCGTTTTGTGGGTTTAAAGACGAAGGTTTGATGTCGTTGCCGCTAAGTCGCTCGACCCGGCCGTTCTTTAGAAACCGGATGAATGGTAGATGATGCTCTGTTGTTCTATCAGATTCCATCTTCTTTGGAAAAAAGAGTGAAGAAACAGAAACAGAGTGGTTTGTATGAGATTTTACTAAAGAAAATACAAACAACTAGTAAGGATATGTATATACTGTTTCATCCAATCATACCCTGACAAGTCTATGTTAAAAAAAATGGTGATTAACTATAGTGAACTGAAAAAATCTATGTCTAAAAATCAATTAGGTATGATATGAATTGGCTTGGTTATATTTGATATGTTCATAAGTTACTTATGCTAACAAATCATTAGTTTTTTTTCGCAAAATGATAAAATCACAAGTTGCTTAACTTAGATTGGTTTCCATTTTTGGATATCAGACTAGCGGTGGACCCGATCGCGTATAAACAAAAACTCTCATTACAAATGTAACCAGACAATAACCCGAACTCAATCTTTTTCACTAGTCCCATTGTATTTATGAACCCGTCGTTACTTTCTTGACTCTGGACCTGTAATTACTAATTACTAATAGCCACAAAATTAATTAAGGCAACAATAGAATTCACATGGACAAGGACGAGTTTTTCTGTCGTTATAAATAAAATTTTGGTTGTGATATATATATATATATATAAAGCTATATTTCAGAGCTAAATTAATAATTATGATTATAAGAAAATGGTCGATAAGTTTTCGTCACACATCGATCATTGTGGCATACTCGATTATATATATTTTTGTCTACATATGTAGAATTAGGATGAAGATCAATAACATTATGCATCTATCTCCTTTGAACCCAATTCGATGATAATTTGAGTTTTTGTTAGGATACATGTATCTGCGGAAAACGTATTTGAAACTATACTGTGTTACTCTTGTTGGCTTTGAACAAAAAAAAAATATTGGACCACAATTCTCATATGGTCAGAACAGAGTCATTCCTGTAATTAATTTCTTAAGCATAATTATACAACCAAATCAAATTCAAAGGTTACATCAAAATTTATTTATTCGAGTCACACACTCTGAAGTCTAAAAACACAAAGAACAATTTTGACCAGTGATAAACTCCACAAATCTCTTCATGAATTTGGGAGCATTTTCAGAACTAGGGCTCAAGAGATGGAAGCAATGATCTTCATCTTCTTCCTCCATCACCTCCACCGTTCCTTTCCACCCACTCTTCTTCAGCTTCGCCGCATAAGCTAATCCTTGCCGCCAAAACAGATCTTTTCTAGCCACCGCAACCAAAACCTTCTCACATCCCATCTCGGAAAAATCCGACCCGGATCCAACTACATTAAACCACGGGTCATCCGCTCCATCAACACTATTCGGACTCACAATCTTCTCCCAAACTTGTGCAACTCCGCTTCTGATCTCTTTATCTTGCACATCGTGTTCATCGACCGGATCTTTTCCCCATATAGCTGGATGCACTATCACTGTCCCTTTGATTCTAGGCTTAAGCTTCTCTTTACCAGCTCTCATAGCCATGTGCTGAGATATATTACCTCCGGCGCTATCTCCGGCGAGAAAAACTCTGTTGAAATCGGCGTATTTGTTAATCCAATCTTCTGGACCAGATCCATCGGAATGTGAGAAGATCCATTGAATCGCGGACCATGTATCTTCATACGCCGCCGGAACCGGATCTTCCGGTGCACGTCGGTATTGAACCGAGACGGCGAGGCAGTTAGCGGATTTGACCACCTCCGTGAGGAAATTGTGGTAGATTGGGGAGAAAGGGGACTCGATTATCCAAGCTCCGCCGTGGAAGTAGATAAGTAGAGGGAGTTTGTCACCGGCGGCGAGTTGTGTGGATTTATGAGGGAGAAACAGACGAACGGAGAGGTTATGCTCCGGTGAGTACACGACGTCTTTTGACACGACGTCGTTTTGGGGGCTTAGAGATGCCGGGACGGTTTCGGTGCCCGAAAGACGTTCTATACGACCGTCTTTGTAAACCCGGATGAACGGAGGATGCTCGGATATGATTTCGGACGAAGAGTGTGAACAAATGCAACGAAGAGTGGTCGTAGTGGGTAGTCGGCGAATGTTGCGGCCCGAGACGGTGATGGTGGTCGGTGAGGAGTAAGAGCGAGGGGACTGGCGAAAGAAGCGGAGGAAGAGAGAGGGTGAAGCGAGTGAAGAGGAACAAGTGATTCTTCGGAGCATGGTTACCGGAATATTTTTTCCGGTGAAGAGGGTGCACTTTTTGGATAAGGATTTTGATGAAAATAGGTAAACCGACCGACGAAAAGATTTGCTGGTGGGGTTTTCTGTAATTTGATTAATTGGGTGGGACCAATAAATAATACCTCAAGAAACTGAGTATTTGTGTTTCAATTCGTGTTTGAACCAAAGTTTTTAAAAACAATAATATATGGGAAAATTGGAAATAAAGGATATCTACTTAAAAATTTGTCCATATATCCCCTTTTTTTGTAGATTGGTCAAATAGGTTTTTAAAAATAAAAAACCCAATTTTACCCTCATTTTCTCACAAATTTCATTTTAAAAATAAAACTTCCTAATTGGTTTTACAAAATTAAAATAGAAATAATAAAATCACAAAAACTCCAAATGAAAGAGAGTCTTTCACGAAGACCTAATAAAAGACTTGTTTGACGAAAAGAAGAAAAAAAAAACATCTGTTGGGAAATTCCTCTGTCTTCTCTCAATCGTCGCCGCCGGCGATTCCTCTGTCTTCTCTCAATCGTCGTCGCCGGCGATTCCTCTGCCGTCTCTGTGTCTGGCGCCGTCTTGCTTCCTCTTGATTTCAGCTTGAAGCTTCCTATTGGTTCGTCTCTCTCCTCTGTTGTCTTCTATTGGTTCGTCTCTCTCCTTTCTTGTTCTCTCGATTTAGTGTAATTTGCAAGAGTTTATTTCAGTTTGCATGTAGATTTGTTAATTTCTTTGAATTCGTGTAGTTCAGATTTGAAGTTTCAATTTTGTGAGTTTTAAAATTCCAAATTTCAATTGCATGTAGATTCCTTTGTTTGTTTTGTTCCTAGATTCCTTTCATGCGTTTCAAGTGTCACAACATCAATTATTGATTAAGTCTTCTATCTCTTTGATTCATGTTAATGTATATGTGTTTGTGAATCTCTTTTAAGACGCAACTGTAAATTTTGCAATTTAACATTAGCTTATCAGTTAGCAATAGCTAGCTATGGTTTTTTCTTAAAAAATTTCGGGTAGAGGAATCATTGGCTAATATCTATCTAAGGTTAGAAATAAGATTGATGCCAGGAAAAGAAACGCAGATTACTCTAATGGTCTAGAAAAAATTGCTCTTTCCATTCTCTTTCATTGTCATAAGAACCTATGTATACGCTGATCATGATAGCTGTGTTATAATTTCTGATCAACTAAACAGAGCCAAAGGTATACAAGCTAAATTGAAAATAAAAGCGTGGATAGCAATAGCGGATATTTGTTATGCATTGTGGTTTTCGATGGGCTGAAAGAATTTGCTTAGGCATGTTTTGCTTTGCTAGCATGTAAAAACGATAATTTAGTTTGACTGAGTTACTATGATCTATATATCCATATCACCATTGCTTAAGAAGGGAAACTGCTAGACTGGAATCACATTGTTATTTTTTCTGACGTTGCTTGAGTTTGAAAAAGGCTTAGCTTGAATCATTCTTTGATCTTAAAATAATCTCCTCAAACGTAGGAGTGTATTAGTTGCTCTATATATTTGGTTATGTTCTTTGAATTTGTGTTACTCGTTTAGAGATTTCAGTTTTTGTGTTGTAAAACTCCAAATTTTAATTGCTAATTGATTTATTAAGTCCTCTAGCTCTTTGAATCATCTTTGTGTATAATCTTGTAGATGTCTCCATTTAGTGAGATATACATGCCTCAAACTGTGATAATGGAATATGTAAAAATTTAGATTGAGGAAAGATTCACGTTGTTTAGGGTCTTATTTTTATATCAAGTGTTTTGTCTCTTAATAACTTTAAATATTTGATAAAGCTAGTTTGTTCTCTATTTTCAGGTTTTGGATCTACATTACATCAAAGGTTATCAATGGAAAACAATCTAGGAAGCACGAGTAAGACATCAGGTACTTTAACATACTAATTTTTGTTTGCTAACTGCAACTATGCACTATAATTAGTCATCACTGTGAATGGTTTTATTTACATATGTTTGTTTTTTATGTGCAGCCACTACTAAGGAGTTTCCCAAGCTCCTTTTCGGACATGGTAAAGAGCCTGAAGTTGAGAAAATTAACAACAGCTGCAGATTATCGATACTTAGGAAAATCAAGGATGCTTTGCCACTAGAGTATAAGAAAGTGAAGTCTGATCCTCTGTTTGCACAAGTCTTCGCCATATACGAAAATGGTTTACATTATTCGGGTCGTCTGGTGCACAGCCTAATGTGTAGACAATTGGTAACAAGAAAACAACATGAGCTCTGGTTTGTGTTTGGAAACAAGCCTCTCCGATTTTCTTTGCAAGAGTTCTACGCAGTGACTGGGCTGAAATACAATGATGATTTCAAGTATGATTTAGATACTTGGAAAGATGATAAGGGGTTTTGGAGCAAGTTGCTGAAAAGAGAGGAGAAGATATGCATTAAGACGATGATGTCTACGCATCTAGGAGTAGTTCACAAGTGGGGTAAAGTAGATAGGATTAGATTTGTCTATTTGTGTGTGATTGCTGGTTTGGTAATTGCGAAAGATGAGAAGAAAGCTATTCCAGTACAATACATCAAATTGGTGATGGATCTTGAGAAGTTAAGGGCGTATCCTTGGGGTTTACATTCGTTTGACTATCTTGTCGAGTCGATCACAAACGCAAAAAAGGACTTGAAGAAGACTAAAAGCTACGCCCTTGATGGTTTCTCAATTGCACTACAGATATGGGCTATGGAAGCAGTTCCTAAAATAGGAGGAATATTAGGAGTGAAGCTTAACAAGAACTTGGGAGCTTCTCTTAGATGTTCTAACTGGAAAGGGGCAGCAAAAGTTTCTTATCAAGAAATTATCGAATTAGAGACAGGAATGACAGCAGAGGTTAGTAGCTTAATTTTCATACATATATACTCAACAATTCATATGGGTTTGCTGCATTTCTGATAAGTAAATATTATTCTGCAGGATATTGTATATCCATACATTTCCATCACAGGAAATTATGATGTATATGAGTCAGTGGATTTCCTGAGGCAAGGTGAGAACAGTGATGTTGCTTTGAAGAACTTAAACGCTTTGATAAGAACTGGTTATGATTTTTCTGACTTTGAGTGGGATGCTGTTGAGAGTCCTGATGTCGAGGAAGAAACGATAGATGAGGATTTAGTAGAAGATGGCTATGTGGAAGGTCAAGGTGAGATACATACAAATGACAAGGAAGAGGCGAATGTCACTGTTGAAGGTAGCCTACTCTCTGGTTTGCAGAGTAATGAGCATGAAATGGCGACAAGTTCAAAGAAGAGAAGGAGTAAGGACGGTGACCACGGTGCACAGACAAGGAAGATGAAACTGTTATGTCAAAGAGCTCCAGCCGCACCACATGGTTTTGATGAAGAGATGAAAACATTCATCAGAGAAATGTTTGAAACTTCTTTCAAGCATTTTGGGCAAGAAGTAAGCAACAAATTAGGAAAGATAGAGCTAGATGTAGCAACACTCAAGAAAGCAGTGATCACTATGGATGAGAATTCGAAAAAAGACAAGGCACCACCATTCGGTAATGGTCAACCAGTGGTACGTTAAAAATAATAACCAAAGCTTCTGTTGTTGTATTTTAGCATTGTATGACATTGTAATTCTGTTATATGTTTTGTGTTTGTAGCTTTCGTAAGAAGTAAAAACTTATGTAAAACCTTGTAATTAGGCTATTTAGTAACTTATGCATTATAATATTTAAAGGCATGTATTGTAATTTCAGACTTAGTTATTTTGTTTGTTTTTGTTTTGATATTTACATTGACTGTCTTTGCAGGACGATAATTGTCTGTTTCATGAATTATTCACCCGTCCGGGTGAAATAGACCTTAATATGGATTCGCAAGATCCAGATTTTCTGCAAAAAGAAATGGGACATCTTTCTCAAAAATCACAAGCACCGGGTTTTGATCCATCACAGGGTATATTTTCACAAAACCTCGAGAAACAACAGCGCAAAGACGACAATGCAGAGTTTATGGATTGGAATGATAAGGGTGATTCGGGTAAATATGACGCTGACGCGGTGTTGGTATACTTACCTGAAGCTAGATGGACTGCTTTTGAAGCATGGTTTAGGAACGTAAAGTAAGTCCTATGATTCTATTTTTATATCTTTTAAATATACCTGATTGTATAATTGTTTATTCTTTTTGTTTTACCTTCATTACAGTCGTGATGTTCCAAAACTTGGTCCATCTCATCTAACTGATGCACTATTTAAGCGTCTGATTGATCAAAAAGAATGGCTAGGCAACGATGTAAGTTTTACTAATTTTTTTTTTCATGACTGATTATGTATTCATTTCGATAAATACTAACTTGTTTTTAAAAATAATTGCATCGCAGGAAATAGATGCAGTACTGTACTTACATCGGGAATCCACATCTTTACGCCGACTGAATTCAGCTCGTGTTGGGTTTATGAGTTGCGAGTTTAGCGCGCGAATCAAAAACGAATACCCAAAGTTCATGAAAAATAAAAAGACCCACAAATGGGATAGTCGGCTTATTGATTTCGTCACCGGTGAGTCCCCATCTCATGGAAAGACGGGTAAAAGTTGGGCTTTGGATTTCAACAGAATTTACGCTCCGGTAAACGTCAATAATAGTCACTGGATTTCTATTTGCGTCAACTTTGTTTTAAGAACTGTTGAAGTCTTCGATTGTTTCGGCAACAACAACAGAAGAAACGTGGAAATGTTTGCATACATCATCCCAAGGATTGTGAAAGACGTGCACGGGAAGGTATATGGAAAAGTCCCTCTATTGACACAATATGAGATAATAAACGTCAAGGTGCCTAAAAATCTGAACACTACTATGTGTGATTGCGGAGTGTATGCATTGAAACACATTGAGTGTCATATGCTTAATCTAAGCATGGATTTGATAAACGATGGGAACATCAAAGAGGCGCGCATGAAGATTGCTGTAGACCTTTGGGAGGCTGCTCATGATCCTATCTTAATTGAGCGAATGAAGAACTATAAACCTCCACATCAATCGTCGGATATCCTTGAAATTGATTGAGATTAATTAGCATTATGGTGTTTTTTTTTTATCGTGCAAACAGATTATGTCCTACTCTTGCGACATGTATTTTGTATGACCTTTGTTTTTTTTTTCCTAATTATTTAGGCGTTTTATGAAAGTGAGTTCCTTGAGTTCGTCTCTAAAATCTCCTATTAGCTCGAGCAAGATGATTTTTTGTTCTCCACTCCTTCTTGTGCTTATCTGTTTTATACGTGTTCTACTCATGTATAATTTGATCCATTACAAACTTGATTATGAACACAAACATTAGAGACAAACGCAGGAACAAAAAATGATCATAAGTAGAAGTGAATCCATAGTTCAAAACTAAACCACAAACTTAACTAATACTGAATCCATAAATCAAAACACAAAAACAAAAATATAAGTATAAGTGAATGTAATACTCAAAAAAGCAAAACGAAAATTATTAGAATAAAATCAAAAACTAAGAACTGAACCCCGCAACCTCCCATGGTAGTGAATCGGAAAAACATGAAGCTGCTCATAATTTGAAGTTGCTTTCTAATCCTGTAAATTAAAAACAAAACCGTTAGCAAAAGACAATTTTTAAAGTCTCTATTTAAGATTACAACCAGTAGTTAGAAAAACCTTAATCATATAGCTATGTCACATGTTGTTCGATTATGGCCTTCTTTTCCACAACGACTACACCTATGTCTCTTTGACAATTGTGATTGTTGTGACGCTTTTATCTTGTCTTCAGCCGTTTCATATCTTCGTTTTCTTCGTCGACCAGGTTGTCTTCTTGTTTCAGGTGGTAACACAATTGCAGCTGCAACCTCCTCTGGGACACGCCATTCTTCTTCGGGAACACCAATTGGATTAATAGTTTCCTCGTATAACGATCTCCAAGTGGCAGTGGTATACACATCATCAGCATATGGGTATATACACTTGCCTATCGCATAAGCTCCTTTTATAGCGTGTCTACAAGGAAGTTTCCCTATCTCAAACTTCCCACATGAACATGTTCTTCTTTCCAAGTCAACGACGAAGTCGAATCCGTTTGCTTTAACCTGTAATCTGTTACTAGTAATCGGATAAACTTTAAAAAATTTACCTTTCTCTATTCTTCTAGAAATCTTTTTCTCCACCTCAATAGTCAACGGATCTTTTTGCTTTGCACTTAATACTCTTCGCTCATAAAACCAACGTGTCAACATCTCCCTAATGCTGTCTAACAAAGGAATTATCGGATACTCTCTAGGTGATCTCAAAGCAGAATTGATTGATTCTGCAGGGTTGTTGGTGTTAATGTCGTATCTAAATCCCGGAAAGTGGCAGCGAGCCCATTTTTCAACATTAGCATCGTCTAAGTATGCACCAATCGCTGGACTGATGTTGCAAATATCCTCGAACAACTTCTCAAACTGAGTAACTCTATAGGATTTAGACGCTTTTACAACCATACCAGCCACACCCCTTCCACTGTGATATGTAATAACATTACCGATCAAGTGGTGGATGCAAATACCATGGGAAGCTAACGGATAGATTTTTTCAAGCGATTTACTGATCGACAAATGCCTATCTGACACAAAAGCTAAACCTTGATCATCCGCTATGAGTGTCTTAAGTTGCAAGAAAAACCACTCCCATGATGCATCATTCTCAGAACGAGCAACGCCAAATGCGATTGGATACAAATTAGAGTTACCATCTACGGCTGTAGCAACCAGAAGAACTCCTTTGTATTTACTCTTCAAAAACGTACCGTCAACAACAATCACTTTCCGAATTGACTTGTAAAACCCTCTAATTGACTGACCAAAAGATATGAATAGATATTGGAATCTACCATCACAATCAACTTCATAATTTGTATACGTACCGGGATTAGCTGCTTGTAGCATGTACAAGTATTTTGGTATCTTACCATAACTTTTCTCAGGAATTCCTCTGACTTCATTAACTGCATACTCACGAGACTCCCACGCCTGCGAATAATTAAGCTCGTGTCCATACTGTGACCGAATAAGATTGATGATATCATTCGGTTTAGGTCCTTCCAACACACCTTCATAATTATGCATAATGATATGTCCAATCGTTTTTGCTGAAGGTGTTCGACAGAATTTACTTTTCTTGGAAGGAGCACATGTATGGTTACCCACGTACTTGTTGATTTTTAAATACGAAGACCGCTCTAAACGCTCAGCTCGAAGTCGCCACTTGCAGCCAACATCTATGCATCGTATACACCACAGTTTTCTATCAGACTTTGTAATCATGTAGTCACAGTTATACTTCATCGCATACAATTCCATGGTTGACTGTAACAATTCTTTGCTTCTGAAATACTGACCCTGGCTCACACAAGAATACTGTGACGACGATCCGAGTCCGTGACCAACAATAGCATTTTTTGGAGTTTTGAAACTATCGGCATTCTTTCTAGTTTCTTTCACACCCCATGATGACAAAATATTGTCGACATTAACATCATCATCTCCATCGTCGACATTAACATCATCATCTCCATCGTCGACATTAACATCATCATCTCCATTACTTGCAGCGTCGGGTTCCTTATTCAGATCGAATTTTTCTTTATTCCTTGTATCTTTATCTCCACCATTGAACGTCACACATAACTTGATCGTATTTTTCCTTTTACAGTACGAAAGGAAATTACTAACCTGTCTGTTATTCATCATTACAACAGGAGGACAATCCAAGCTAAGATCCGTGGGTAAGTAACTTAACTCCACATCAACTGTACTCTGTTCTATTCCATAGTCTTCTGCAACAATCGCTTGTAACTCTTCAAAAGTTGTAGTCGTTTCCAAACTCAACAATCTCCCACGATTTTTTTCATCAATGATAAATCTCCACTCTTTCTTGTTATACAATCTCCACACACCACTCCTTACATAGATGTACATCGAGAAATCGTTGATCAAAAAAGGGAAAATTTGAAGGAAAACGTGTTCTTAGCTTTTTAGAAACGAAAGTGGTGGACTAAGACGTGTAGGATTAAGACGTGTAGCTTTTTAGGGTTTAAAAAACGTTTTAGGTTTTAATCTTAGTCTAAAAACCGTAGATAAAAACTTCTACATCTTGTAGATCGTAATCTAAACAATTAATATTCATTTAAATCGTAATCTAAAAAAAATATTTTATTTCCTTTTCTGAATATTTACTTTCTATATTTAGAGCATTCTAAAAATTTCAGAAAATCAAATCTGCAATACCGTAGAATTTACATTCTAAACGTAGATTACAATTTCTAATTATGGCAGAAGATGTAGAAATTATTAGAACGTCTATTCTAAAACATTTAGAACATAGAGGAAAACGTAGAATGCATGTTCTAAATATTTTAGATTATTGATTTTCGGATTTCTAAAATTCTCAGAACATAAATCTAATCTGAAATATGTAGAACATGTACAAAAATGCAGAATACACATTCTGAGTTTCGCAGAACTCTAGAAAACGTGTTCTACCAAAATTAGACGAAACTTTATCTATCAAAAAATCAACTTTTTGTAAACCAAATCTAAAAAATTATACTTCAAATCACCTCTACTCTTGTATATCTACCTGTTTTTATGATTATTTTTTTTAAAAAACAATTAAATTAGGGTGTAGGGGTAAAATCGTCCAAACTGACAATCTCACAAAAAAGGTGTATATGGACAAATTTTTAAGTAGATATCCCTTATTTCCAATTTTCCCATAATATATATGGACAGACATATATTCTTAATACATAAATATTCAAAATGTTCAACAGAAAATTACTTGACCTCAAAAATAAAAGAAAATTATTTGCACTACTTGTTTCTATAAAAAAAAAGTTCAGCTATATTATTGCTGGGTTTATAGGGACGAACACAAAATATGTCACCCACCCTCTTTTCTCTCTCGAGTTTAACCTAGCCGCTGAGAAGAAAGTTTCATTGTCGTCTCCGTTTAGGCCTCTCCGGCCTTCGGCGCTCCTCGCCGTAGCTATGAGAGGGTGGTTTAGATGCTTTATTTCGTTTCTCCATTAGTGCTATCGTGTGAGAACCGAGAAGATCAATGCTAGAGCAAGGCATTGAGAGAGAGGAAAAAAAAGTACTATGAATGACTTGCTCTAGCATCGATCTTCTCACAAGTTAGCACTTAAGGCCATCTTCAATGGCATATCAAGGGGGGGGGGGGGTGAACTTAGCTTTTTTTAATCCCAAATAATGGCTTGTTGGGCTTAAGATCAGCCAGCCCGCTCTCATCCTGGATCTGTTCTTCAAGGAGTTGCGGGGTGACGTGGCGAGTTTCTATTGGGCGGAAGAATTGGGAAAGGAAAGAAAAATTTCATCGAATAGATTCAGCGAATCACAATCTTCAACATCTGGTCCTTCCATGATGCGGAGGATTCCGTTTTCGTAAAGATTAGCCTTTTATCCAATCTTTAGGGTTTTAATTTTCCTTTCTGATTTTGGATTTCAATGGCGCTTTTTTGTTGAAGTCTGTAGGTATAAGCCTGTACCCCTCTCATTGAGTTCTCTCTGTACATGTCCTTGCCGTTCCACTCAGAGAAAATCTCTTCTTCTTCCCCATTTCTCTGAAAAGTATTTGAATTTGCGTCTCGTCGATCCCAAACCATTGTCTCATTCTCGATGTAATTGGATTTCTGTTAACCGGAGAGTTATCACGGCCGTTGCACGAGCTGAATCAAATCAAATTGGTGATGATGGCAACTCAAAGGAGGTAACTTTATTCCTCTTTCTTACATTCATTCTGTTAAACCTCTATAGCGTCTGTGTCTGAGTAGGAGAGAGAGAAGTTTTATCAGAGGATAGGCAATTTTAGCGTAGTTGTAAAGTTTCCCGATGGTGTTAGCTTAATAGTACTAAAACTCGTGTTAAGAACTTGAGGTTTTACGGGAATTTCCATAAAGAATCGTTCTTGTGGATTGCTATGAAATGCTGAGAAACTTATCTTGGCATTGCTGCAACTCTCGTCTGTTTAGGAACACGGCAGAGATCAAGAATTGCAAAATGTTGAAGAAGATTCAAGTTTCGATTCTCAGGAGCAGAAGTCTAGAAGCCAGTTTAAGAAAAGAGTAGTTTAAGGTGAGTCTTGTTCCGCTTAACAGTGAGGGGGTCATGAGATTGATATGGAATCGAAACTGAAGTTTCAAGGTGGATGTGATATATGGATGGTGAGATGTGTTTGCAGTGCTAGAGATGATGATGGTGAGAGAATGATAGCATGTGATGTATGTGAGATATGACAGCACACAAGATGTTGTGGGATTGATGATACAGATACTTTGCCTCCACTTTTTGTTTGTTCTAATTGTTGTGAAGAATTTGCAGAGCAACAGAAGAAAGTGTTGCAGCCAAAGTATGAGTTTCCAAGTGCAGAGAATGTGTTTCTGATTGAATCAGGTGATGATTACTTTGGAGGAGATGAGAGATCTCTTGGTATGATTTTTCTTGAAGAAAACTTTCTCTTACAAAACCCCTTTTTGGATCAAACATTGTGGATAAATCAATTCTTTTGTAAATGAAACATGATTGTATATGATTTTGTGTTGTTTGATTGTCTCATCAATCTGATACAAAGGGAGAGTTTTTATAATTGTAATATGTTTTAAAAGTTTTTTATTATTATATTATTAAATCTTATGATCTTAAACATGTTCTTCCACTAATCAAACTTTTTAACAAAAGATCTTAACTACTGATCTTACATTTTTTTAACAATATTTTTATTTTAAGAATACCCAAAAGTGATCCCCATTGAGGATGCTCTAAGAGTTCCTTGGTAATGCTGCTACAACAGTCAACAGGGAGGGTGGCTACTTCATTGCACTTCAATACATATAAGAGCAACAACAATGGTGATCCTTAGAGGGCTCTAAGCCTAAGTTTTTTAAAATTAAAAGCCCAAATTTAAATTAAAACTGATCTAAAACGCAAGAAACGATCCTTGTTTTAGAGTTTTTTGGGCTGATAAGAGGCGCTGACGTGGCACCGAGATTGGTTCGTAAATGTGAGAAAACAAAAAAAAAATTCCTTTTCCGATTCATTTTATTCTCGAGACTCTCTCTCTTCTCCTTGTTTTCTAATTTCTCCGATGGCGAAATTGAGAGCAAATCGTGTTGTTCTTCATAATCCGGCGTCTAGGTCATCAAATTGGAAGAGAAAGGTGAAACAAAGTCGTAACCAATCATCCGTGATGATCAGCTCTACTGTCGGTGGTCACCAACATAAGTTCGGTGGACCAAATCAGTGCGTTCGGCAAATCAAATCGGATAGTTAGGCGATTCCATGCTCCAATCGCTTAATCACGGTATGAATCTAACTGTTTTATTTGTTACGGTATGATTAGATTAGTGTTATTAGATGTTATCGAAATTATGGTTTTTGAATTGAGATTTGATTCTGGGTTTATCGAAACTAGATGTTCTATGAGTTCTGTGACTACGGTTAAAACATTTGTTGGGTTTTCCAGAAAACTGAATACCTTATTCAACTTTGTTCAATGTTAGTGATTGTTTATCTTAGAGTTATTGTCTTTCCATGATTTGGTTGCTTTGTTCTTGTATGTTGCTTTGCTTAATTAGCTATCACTTTTGTAGGTTTTCAGAGAAAATTTGCTATCCAAGGATTTTGTTAATATCCACACACCGAAACTCTTGGCCGGTAGTAGTGAAGGAGGTTCTGCTGTATTTAGGTTGGAATACCAAGGACAGCCTGCTTGTCTAGCTCAGTCTCCTCAGCTTCACAAGCAAATGACAATATGTGACTTGCTGTTAATAATCTAAATTCTACTCAAGTGTTTTCTAGTCTGTGACAGTACTAGTGCTAATATTTCTCTTGTTTCTGCAGATAATGGACCTTGTGGACGAGTTATTTGTGTTTATATTCACTAGTTTAAATAATAAATGCAAAAAGGAACTTGAAGCTATTGGAAACAATACCCATTTAAACCTTTGAAGGTAAACCATATATATATCTGCAGTATCATGATGAGCAGCAAGGAGTAACAGAAACATAGTTGTCGTATCTTTTTGGATTCTGATAATTGGCGCTAATATGCATGCAGTTTCTTGAAAAGACATTGAGGTTAACGTTTGAAGAAGGGGTTCAAATTCTTAAGGTATGACTTGTATTTTCTTTGTATTCTATCGTTTTTCGAATGGACTATCAATAATAATTGTAATCTTGATGTGTTGACAGGAAGCTGGTGTGGAGATTGATCCTCTTGGCGATCTAAACACTGAATCTCAGAGAAAACTTGGCCAACTTGTACTGGAAAAGTAATCCATCACTTATTTTAGTTTTCAAAATGATTTAGTTATTTATCTCAGAGTTACAAAGTTGTTAATTTAATTTTTTTTTTTTTTTTTTAAGAAACCCACTTAAGGATTCTACCATTGGACAAAGAAAATTTTAAGGATTCATAAGAAACTCTTAATTTTAAAATTGTCATAATTTATGATTAAAAAATGTTTAAGAGTTCTTTTAAGGATTCATCCATTGGGCTTGCTCTAAGTATATAATTGATCAATGGCGAAAAAAAAAAAAAAATTGTTCAACGACATTTTGCGTATTTCTTTTTTGACACCAGAAAAAGACGATGACATTTGGTCTCGCCCTTCGTGTCATGGTACTTATTGATACACGTCGTGTCAATCGAGGAGAGAAATTTCCTGTGGACATTTAAATTGGACCATAGTCGCGTATGAACAACCTTTTTCTCAAAGATGATTTCCCCCCTAAGAATTTGTAACAACATTAAAAAGAAAAAAAAAAACTAAATTAATATCTTACACAATTTCTATTAGGTGAAGAAAATAATAATACAAATTTAACAGGATCATATAACTCTTACACAGTCTGAAATTCATGTGTGTTTACGTCTTAAAAGCAAGATTACATAAACTATAATTAAATTCAAAATACCACACTTAAAATCATCAACAACATTTACACAAAAAAAAAAAAAACATTCATCAACCAATAATAAACTCGACAAACTTCTTCAAGAATCTCAAAGCCTTATCAGAACTAGGTTTCTCCAAATGAAACACATGTCCTTCACCTTCTTCCTCAACCACCTCCACAGTTCCTTTCCACTCACTCTTCTCCAGCTTCGCCGCATAAGCCAAACCTTGCCTCACAAACACATCTTTTCCGGCCACCGCAACCAAAACCTTCTCACATCCCAATCCAGAAAAATCCGACCCGGATCCGTTTACATTAAACAACGGATCATCCGTTCCGTTAACACTATTCGGACTCACGATTTTCTCCCAAACGTCCGCGATTCCGATTCTCGTTTCTCTATCTTGAACATCGTATTCATCAACCGGATCTGTTCCCCAGAAAGCTGGATGAACAACACCAATACCTTTGATTTTCAGATCTAGATTCTTCTCTTCACCAGCTTTCATCGCCATGTGATGTGATATGTTACCGCCGGCGCTATCTCCGGCGAGAAAAACTTTATCGAAATCGGCGTGTTTGTTAATCCAATCCACAGGACCAGATCCGTTAGAATGAGAGAAGATCCATTGAATCGCGGACCATGCATCTTCATACGAAGCTGGAACCGGATCTTCCGGTGCACGACGGTACTGAACCGAGACGGCGAGGCAGTTAGCGGATTTGACAACTTCAGTGAGGTAATTGTGGTAGATTGGGGAGAAAGGTGATTCGATGATCCAAGCTCCGCCGTGGATGTAGATAAGTAGAGGGAGTTTTTCACCGGCGGTGAGTTTTGTGGATTTGTGAGGGAGGAAGAGACGAACGGAGAGGTTATGGTCCGGTGAGTATATAACGTCTTTTGAAACGACGTCGTGTGTTGGATCTAGCGACGCAGGGATGGTTTCGGTGCCCATGAGTCGTTCGACACGACCGTCTTTGTAAATCCGGCAGAAGGGAGGAAACTCAGAGGCGATTTCAGATTCCATTGATTTTGATTATTATGTGAAGAATGAAGTTGGAGTTGGAGTGAGACCATTTTATTAGAGTCAGTGACTACTTTAAATATATACTTTTAAAATGAATATTATTCTCTGCATTATGCGACGCGTAGCATTGAGAGTGGACACGTAGCCTTTTTCTGTGTCTCTTTCTAATTGTGTTTTTATTTTTTTGGGGGTAAATTAAGGATAATGACAAAAAGAAAAGCAGATGGATTCTTCTTATGGAAGGTTTTGATTACTTGTAAGTTACAACAGCTAATATGGGCCAGATATTGATTGACAACTATCTTCAAAGTTCAAAGGACCAAATCTTTCTTGTCTTGACCTTTTTATTGTTTCAAAAATTCTGCTATTTCAAGGAATAAATCATTAGAAAAATTCTTTCCAATAGTACTTTATTCAAACATTTAAATAGAGTTATGAATAGTATTGTTTAAAATACAGTGTAATACTATTCATCACACTATAACACTTTTTTTTATAAGAACAAAATACTATTACAATATGGGCTTCCAACTCAAAACCAATTGGCAATAAGTGGAGTGACTCATATCCCTTATATATTACTTAGGATCCCTTTTAACTTCCGATGTGGGACATTATGTCCTAATACGCCCCCTCGAGATGATGGCTCTTTGACCATTAATCTCGGAATGTTCGGACTTAGATCGACGGCATCAATTTTGGGTCTTGTCGATGATTGGGCCATTTTTGGGTCGGATCGGATTGGACATGTGTGGATCGGGCTCTGATACCATATTAGAATATGGGCTTCCAACTCAAAACCAATTGGCAATGAGTGAAGTGGCCCATATCCCTTATATATTACTTAGGATCCCTTCCAACTTCCGATGTGGGACATTATGTCCTAATAAATACCTCCTTGAGTTTTTTCTTAAAAAAATATTTTTAACAAAATTACAAGTTTTTATATTATACCCGATTTAAAAATTCCGGCACGTTTATAGACGAATAAAAATTAATAAAAAACAAAATCTTATTTCCCACAAGAAATGCATTCATTGATCATTTGTAGAAAAATTACAGTTTTATTGAAGCTGAAACCATAAAACCTATTATTCTGTCGGTTCTTTCTTATTTTTGTGGTGTGGTGTTGTGTAATTGTACTTTCACGCGTAACACTTAGATTTGATATTAAGCGTAAGATTAAAGAACTCTCTCTGCTTACTAAACGCTTTCTTGCCACCAAAGAAGAAGAAGAAAGGAAAAGCTCCAATCATGTATCCTGAATCTCAAACTGGATTTTGCCTTGTGGATGTTTTGTCTACAGTCTCGACGTTTTCTGCTCAAATGCGGGATCAATGCAAACGACAACCTAAAAAGATTTGAATAACAATAGATTCTGGTTAACATCAAGCTATAATTGTAAACACTATAACATGTCATGGCTCATAGCATCGAGTTTATATGCGTCCACATAGACTATACAACACATCACACATTACATAATCATATTTGCAATGTAGGATTGTAGTCCTATTATTGTTCCAAGTAAAAAAGATGCTTGGTTCTTATTCAAACTATTCGGTTAGTAAGAAAAAGATATCTAACCTTTCCGGTGCTTTTACCCGAATGCAGATATTCAACAGCATCTGCTACAGCATTTAGACCTATAAACTTTTTCTGATCAATCCCAACCTGCCAAAGTGGAAAAAAGAAAGTAAAGTGGTGTTTGGAATAGTTAGTGAAGAATCAATTTGGTGTACAAGAATGAATGTAAGCAAAGAATTCAAGAAAAATATAACGATGACTATAATGCATTACCTTAAGCTTTCCGAGAGAGTAAAGATTGAATAACTTGTCAAGATTTTGTTTCCACAGTTGACTGTATTGCACCAGAAAGAAACCAGCCTGAAACAATTGGTGTTTGTTTAGTTGAAATCAACTTAAGGTATATGCGTTTCCTAAATCAACATTTTAGATTTAATGGTTTGAGTTGAAACAACATTGTCAAACTCTAGATAATATCATAGATGCCAAAACCCAGAATTGAATGCAAATGGGAGAGACCAAAGCAGATCACACAACCGTTTCAACATACCACGGTTTGGCTTTTTGCTAAAAGTTTCTCGCAGAGCCCTGGATATTTTGCGGGTTCCCATCCCTTCTCTCCTTGATACTGGAAAAAAAGGAATCGGACGTCTAGAAGTTTAAAAAGCTGAATACAACAGAGCTGGTGAATGGACATAACTGATCAAATAAAAGACGTATAGAGAGTGATATGATAGTGAACCTGAGAGATCATTCCAATCACGATGAGTCTTCCGTAAACAGCAAGAGCATTCAAGCACATGTCAAACATTTGACCACCTACAGATTCATAGATGATATCCACACCCTTTGGAAACTCTTTTTTCAAGACCTGTAAAGATCAGACCAGTATGAATAATCGCCACTTAGCCACATATACTAATAAAAGTTTCTACACGAGACCTACAGTCTTGATATTCTCGGATTTGTAGTCTATGACTCGATCGACCCCGAGCTCTTTCAATAGCTTGGCCTTCTCTGATCCCCCGCAAGTAGCAATCACTTTATTTCCTGATAACTTTGCAAGCTGCATAGAGAATCTCTTTAACATCTATTTTTCAACTGGCATAAATACTTCCACAAATGAAACAGAAATGATATATGATATATATATATATATATATATATATATATATATATATATATATATATATACTATGGTCAATACTTTAAACAACTACAGGACATACAACTAACATAGTCTCATACTGTCAACTTTAGGTTTGTATACCTGGACTGCAAATTGTCCAGTCCCTCCTGCAGCAGCAGTCACAAGTACTGTTTCACCTGATTTCATTTGTCCTGCCTGTGAATTCCCATATGATAAAGAAAACGTCAGACATAATTGAACTAGCAACTTACGAATTTCATATAGGAATGGTTCCAGACATGCAGTTGAAAATAAAGAATAATCTGTTGCTTGGACTAATTATTAAGACAAAAAAAAAAAAGGAATTTGAAATTCTGAAATGAAGAACGATGAAACCAAACAGTTAATAACACTGTCAAGTCAGAAAGTACGACCTTTTCAAGGGCGATTAATGCAGTTAATCCCGAGGTAAGCATGGCAACAACTTCTGGATCTGGTCTTGGAACAGGAAGCACATGCTTAGAAGATACCTAAATCCAAAAAAGACAGGTTCACATGATCACTGAAGCCTTCAAATTTCACAAAATTTTGCTCATATGATTTAGGAGCTCTCATACTATCATGAATTCAGAATATGCTCCAAATGTCATAACAGCAGCTGGAGTCCCAACTTCCAAATTCTTAACAGATTCTCCTACTGCTGCTATTAGTCCAACTCCCTGGAAAATTGAAGCAAAATTGAATTTTGATGTTAACCCGATTAAGTCTGGCCCACTAAAAGTTTTGAGATATACCTCAAATCCAGCATCAAAGGGAAGCTTAGGTGAGCCGCCGGTAAAGTAACGACCTGAGCTGAAGTTTACCTGCTCATGGTATGCAACAAGGACCAATTAAAAAGTTTGCATTTCACAACAAGGGTGAGTTACCTAATAACTGAGACAGAGAGGGAATCTAAAAACAGTTAAAAGTACAACGATAAGCAAGACAACAACAAAATTTGGAAACGGTAGATGGTAATAAAGATCTTACATCACTTGCGTTAACACCAGCATAGATGATTTTCAGGAGAACTTGGTGTGGTCCAATGGGTAATTTTAGTGGTGCACGGACTATGCGGGTAGCGTTGCGGAATTTATGAGACAAGGTGTGTACAATTCTGAAGGGGAGAGTAAGCCATCAGTATGTGTAGTCTAAGAGGAGATAGAAATACAACATTCCTGACACCTGTGTTCTGATCTCATATAGTCACATATTAACTTACATTTTCTCAAAGCTTTGAGGAAGTTCAATTTTGGAAGATACTTTAAACGAAGGTCTTTTTCTGGAACTTGAACCCACCAAGTACTTTGTCTCTTCCATTGGAGTTGGCCAATACTCCAAACCTCTGCGGTTGGTAATCCATAGACATGCCCCGGCCTTCTTCTCATCAGTTATAAGCTCAAAAGCACCTAAAGCAAAAATATGGCAAACACATGAATGAAATGATTTGATCTCATACTGGTATCCTTCCTATATTGGAGCAACTTGCAATGATTTGAACATTTACCAATCCATAAAACAGAGATACATACAGTTGAAAACGTAAGAGCATTCATGTGTTCCAAATCTTTCTGAACCGGACTAATTCTCATCAGTCTACTAAACTAATCAACCATGTCGAAAAATCGTAAAACAAAATAATTTCCTCGATATGAAAACATAAATCAAAAGCCTGAACATGTCCGGCAGACATATGTTAGCCGATACCTAAGATATCTAAACCCAAGTCTATGTTTCGATATGCGTACACACCTTTAATCAACATGTCCATAGACATGTAACCACCTATTGCCTGAAGTATTGAAGCATCAATAGCTTCAGCTAAGTCTGTCTTGATAAACTGCACAGCAAAAGTGCAGAAGCAAAAATTTAGACAACACTCAGCTAAAAAGTATTTCAATTGCAAGAAACACATTCATAACAGAGCTTTTTGAAGTAACAAGTCATTTTGATGAGAACGAAAATCGAAACCCATATGTCTCACGCATGACGCCGTAAGTTTCATCATGTCAGTGGCTACACTTATTTATCAAATATATTGTACCATTTAAACTAGCTCAATAGGAGCATTAATAAACATTTTGGGAGACATTCAGATATTCGTCTTACTTCAGGGCAAAGTACATTGATGCGGATCCCTTGACGCCTGTAATATGCTAATGATCTAGTGAATAATATGACACCGGCTGTAGAAATGTAACATACGGGATAAAAAAAAGTAATTATACATCGTATTTTATTCAGTGAACAAATGAAAGAAACAATAACACACAAGTAAGTATAAAACCTTTAGAGGCAGCGTAGATAGGATCAATGGGCATTGGATAAAGACCCGCAGCTGATCCCATGTTAATGATAACTCCAGGCTTTTGTTTGGCTTTCATAGCTTTGATCTACACAAAATTGGAAAATCATACTAATCAGAAGTTTCATATAAAACAGAGAAAATAAAAACCGAAGTGAGACATACTGCAAGTTGTGTGCCTTCGATTACTGCAATGAGATCGACATTAATGGTGTGTTTCCATGATTTAGATCCATCAGTGTCATCTTTATCAAATCTTAGAGGAGTGCTAATCCCAGCATTGTTGATACAAATGTCAAGTGTTCCAAATGTGGCTAAATGCTTATCGAAAGCAGCCACGAGATCTCCTGCTCATAAATCAGAGAATTAATACACCAATAAATTTTTCTGTTTCGTCATTAAGCTACTAACTATACACTCACCTCTATTAGTGACATCACATTTCACAAAGATAGCAGAGGGAGAGCTTAACCCGGGATGATATTTGGCATTTGCTTTTCGAACAAGCGAGGTAATCTCTTGTCCTTTCTCCTCCGAAAAATCAACCACCGTAACAAACACTCCTTTATCCGCAAGAGCTAAGCAGAGAGCTCGACCTACACAAAATTGAACATCTCATCACCACTGTATTACTTAGTTTTGTTACTTAGTAAACAGAGAGTGACAATAGTAATGATGTGCTTTTTAATACCCAAAAAAAAAGTACCGAGCTTTCTTTGTTTCATCTTGGTAAAAAAGCTTTCAATACATATTTGCATAAGAACCAAATCCAGTGAGAGTAAACAAAATTCATGCGTCACACACCAATTTTAAGATTAGAAAAAAAAACAGACACACAAATTTCATACGTAAATCTAATAAGAATAATCCAGCGTCAGCGAATCTAACCAATTTAAAAAAAAATTGTTTTCACCAAAACACGAAAACTAGCCAGTAGATTTCATCAATAACAAACAAAAAATCAATTGTTGGAAGGAAATGAAATGCTTACCGATCCCAGAGGCACCGCCAGTGACGAGAGCGGATAAACCAGGCTTGATCTCCATTGATTAATTTACACTGAGCTGCTTTCGATTGATTTAAGGTTTCTTGTCTTCAGAGAAATTGGAGCAGAGGTAGAAGAAGATGATGATTGATTGAATTGTTTGATCCTCGAAACTCGAAAAATAATCAAGAAGCCACCGAGTGTTCTATTGTGACACGTCTACAATAATTACGGCATTTGGTTTGCAGAGACCCGGTTAGTCCTAACCCAAACCGGTCATTCCACTGTTTGAACGGAACAGCTAGCTATTGAACAGAAATTCAACTCTTACCTTTATAAGCATACTAATTACTAAATAAGGGATTTAAAAACAAATAATCTGATTTTCTTTTCAAATAATGCTTTTGATTACGACATAAAATCTGATAGACGATTATTTTCTTCTTTTTGTTTTTGATTCTCTTCTTTTTCTAGGCTGTTTTCTACTATTGAAATTTATTATTACCTTTAATTTAAATTTCTATAACTACAGGAACTTGTAACACATAAAAATATGGTCAAGCTAAAAACTACAAGAATATGGCACCACGCAATTTTTCTGTTTACAAAATCGAGCAATACTTGGGTTCACCCAGGAACTATGTATCTTTCTACTAATTTGGTTACAATGTAAAGAATGTGTCTTTATATTCTCCGCTGTGTATAAAGCCTTAATATATAAATATTATTGACAACATAATAATTGTGACAACAAAGCGCCTGTAGCTCAGTGGATAGAGCGTCTGTTTCCTAAGCAGAAGGTCGTAGGTTCGACCCCTACCTGGCGCGTCATATTCCCTTTTTTTGTTTCCCCATTTCATTCTTGCCATGTTTGACTACTAAAGTAACTCTCAAGAAACAAATTGGTTTGATCGAATTTTATTTATACTTTGGTTATACTTCTTTCAACGAATAGAGTTAAAACACAGAAGACAATCTTCTTTTCACCATGACCTCTAGCAAACACTAATCATCATCCTCCGAATCTGCCATTGATGTAAATTAAAAAACGGAATCACTCAAAACTTCCAAAGACACAACATAAGTAAAGATTAGTTATCAAGATGCGTATGCGTGATGATTAAATGTTTATGTAACAGATTCTAGCAACCATTGATCCCTTATAAGCAAAACTTTTGATCTAAAAACAAAAAATACTGAAAGAAAAGTGGTACCTTATCTTATGTCTTCTACCACTTCTCCTCTGTTTTCAAGTTGTCTTATGATCATTGCACAAATGAGATACCACCAATATATGTGGATAACTAATAGCATTAGTAACATTGTATTGAAGGCATAGTACATCTATGAGCCTTTAACTGATGTCATATCCAAATAGCCTAGTAGTTTCAAGCTGAAAAATGGAATTTGTAAATATCATATAGACGAAATCGATCAAGAGTAAGAGATGTTATATCCTTTGGGAGTAAGTAAATTGTAGCCCTGATGATCCAAAATGGGAAAAATACCAACCGCAGCAAAAACCAAGAGATAGCAAACAATCCAAAACACAAACTTGCTCCAACTTTCTTTCCGGAATACTTGAAAATTTTAGCAGATTCCATAAACACGTCATGAATGGCTAGGATGATTGATCCAATTCGAAAAAACCTGCATATGAAAAAATTCAGTTGCTCTATAGCCCTTTTGATCTATATCTGGAACTACATAGGCACAAAACTAGCTACAAGCTAGCAAATGATGAAACTTTTCAGAGTCAGGTAGCCCCTATTAACTATAGAAACAGGCTCAAGTTCATTTCAGTTCACAGAAATTTCTTGTTTCCTAAGCAAATCCATTAAAGATCCAAGTGTATCTGTGCTATTTAAGTTAGAATCCAATCTTAATAGACAAATCAAAATCTGATTACGCCCGTGCCTATGTAGGCAAATTAGAAACGTTTGCTTACGGCCTTTTTTTTTAGAATTAAAGTATTAAGGTTCTTAGTTTTTGTATTAATTTTTTTTTTTGTCATCTAGATTGTATTGATAAAGGGTGTTACAACAACAGCTTTGTCACAAACCACAGGCCAACAAGTTAGTGTTACAAGAATTTACACTAACCACCAAAAAGGACTAACTAAACATCACATTAGTAGTCAAATGGGAGACAGAACCCCATAAACATCAGAGACAGAGGTAGCCCTTTTCTCACTCTCAAACAACTCACAAAGCCATACCGGACCACCTGTGGCCACGTATGATTGAGCAAATACCTCCAAAGAAGCACTTTGAGCAATGAGAAAAGCACCTCTATTAGATGAGGGGTCTTCAAAAATTAATCTCCAGTCTTGCAAAAAATCCATTCTTACCATGATTTCCGAGTAAAGATGACTAAAGGATGGCCATGCTTTCGGTCTCTCGACAATCTTGGGAAAATCCATAGCAAAGATAACTTTGTTCAGCTTATGGCTATGAATACTATCAATGCACCAAAGTAAACATTGAGTATCAGCCTCATCTCGACTTTCCACATTAGCAAAAGCCCTTCTACTATGAAGAATCACCACCCCTTCTTCATCTCGGATTAAAAAGGGGTAATTAATAGTAATAGTAATTTTAAATGCTTTAAAAAAGGAAAATCAGAAACAAATTATAAGCTAAAATTAAAAAGATAACATATTAGGGTATTAAACTTCTTCTTATGCCAACTTGAGGTTACTTTACAATTAAGGCATTATTTTTACATTAGTTTCCTAGACTAATTTATTTATTTTTTTGAGATCTCAAATGTCTCAATAAGGCAACTTCAAGATTGTTAATCCTTTTTATTTTTATTTTTTCATTACGTGGATTATTTAATATCTCTTACCGAGTTCTTCTTTGGTTGATCATTTTTTAATCTTCTTTTGTGTTTATACGTACTTATTAAAAATTTTATATATTAGACACTACATTTTTCGCTTATGGTCTTAAAAATCCTAGGAACGGCTCCACTAAGTAGGAGGAGCTAATGAGGATGATGGTAACTATGTGATGAGACATCATAACAGCAAAGTCCTTTCTTCTGGTCTCCCACTCGAGCAACGCAGCAACACTATAAACATAGAACCCGCATTGGCACATATAGAAAAACTCTAGAGAAGACCTACAAAAAAATGATTAACTTGAGGTTAATCATGAGCTAGGAAATTATTCACTGCTCTAATCACTCACATGTTCTAAGAACCCTCTACTAAGAGTGGGAGACATGACGTTGATGCTTATGAAGCTCCATGGCCAGTGCAAACTTCTAAATAAAGAAGTAAAAATCAACCAATGAACCTGTGAATTGATTACTCACTTGAGCTCTTGATTTGGCCATCCATCAAAGTAGAGTTTTATATCTCCAAACCACGGCTCTGGATCAACGAATTCGAGAACAAAAAACTCACAACCAGCATAGTACAACAATTTCCACAGGGACTCTTTGCATTTCATAATTTTCACACGAGTGGCATCGTTCGATTTTAGTGGAGAAGAACCAGTACTCAAAAGCCAAAAAGCTAACCTCTGAAAGATTCAAAACAACGAAACACACTAATCAAGATCACAACAATTTCTTGTAAAATGTATGCGAAATACGGATACATAATAACATTGATACATTGGCTCCTCCTAAATAAACCTATATGTTTTTGGATAATCACATCAACACATTAAATTATGCTCTCAATTTAATTACGATGATATGTAAAACGATTCGAAGAAGAAAGTGTTTCTTACAGGAAAGACGAATATATCGAGGAATAGCCTCGAAAAGAAGAAGAATCCCAAGGCAAAGTAGAGAGCGGTTTGGAAATGCCAAGCCGCAAACGGAGCTTTAAGATTACCGATACAGATTCCATGTCCCGGCGACCAACAAGACAGGGAAAAGAAAAAAGTGATGGTCCAGATGGAGTCGGCTTAATGGGTCATAGTGGGCACGGAAGGCACCGGCCCGTTATCCTTCCACCGTCGAGAGAGGAAGGTGGACGCTGCACTGTGAAACCAGCCTCACGCAGTCTCACGAATATATCGAGGAATAGCCTCGAAAAGAAGAAGAATCCCAAGGCAAAGTAGAGAGCGGTTTGGAAATGCCAAGCCGCAAACGGAGCTTTAAGATTACCGATACAGATTCCATGTCCCGGCGACCAACAAGACAGGGAAAAGAAAAAAGTGATGGTCCAGATGGAGTCGGCTTAATGGGTCATAGTGGGCACGGAAGGCACCGGCCCGTTATCCTTCCACCGTCGAGAGAGGAAGGTGGACGCTGCTCTGTGAAACCAGCCTCACGCGGTCTCCTCCGCTCTAAGAAACAAGAGCCCCGAGCCTTCGCTCAAGACACAGGTCTCAACTCCCGACTTGGAATGGGCAGGCCAGTAGAAAGCCAAACCAAACCCGGCCCAGTGAGATCGACTCAATGTTCCATCACCTTTGTTGTCTCCACTTGGATCACAAGCCTGCTTTACTAAGCTCGACGTTCAATACGTGTCTGCTTAACTTATATATACAAGAGAGAAATGTTTGTTCCTTCCGATGTGGGACTTTTTTGACTTGTAATACATCTCACACATGCGATGCATTTTCCCTTCAAATATTTTTGTTGGCAAATTTTTAAAAACAATCACAAAATTTATCTAAAAATCTTATTGGCTATTTTTTAAAATTATTGTTTACACAAACGCCAGAAAAGTACTTCGAAATTGCATTGTAAGCAAAAAAAATAAAATATACATTTGAGAAAAAGATATATTATATTAATATGAGATCTTATCCTCTCCAATTTTTATAGAAATTCAACAAACAATTTTGTTGCTTCACTCTCTGATGTCTTTGTTGATCATATGACGAATTTGAGCTAAAGTTAGGTAATCTAATAGTAATACAGTAAAACCTCTATAAATTAATAATATTGGGACCAAAAAATTCTATTAATTTATACATGTATTAATTTATCGATAAATTAATAATTAATAATTATTAATTTATAAAGAGATTTTTCGAGTTTTGTTTAAAATATTATATCTGAAAAGTAATTTTTTCTTTATAATCAATATCTTTTTTAACCAAATTACAAATAGAAAATAAATTATTAAGGTTAGAAAATAACACAAACTTTTTAAGATGTAGTAACAATATTAGAATTGAACTCTACCAAAAATTAATATAAATTTTTCTATAAAAAACAATACTAGATTCATATTTTACTAAACATTTTACATAAGATATATTTAAATATATATTTTGATAAGTTTATATAATTATTAATTTATGATATTAAAGTGATCATATGTTTATATAGGATTTTCAAAAGAGTTATTATCTTATTAATTTATCGATTTGTGTCATTTTTTACACTGGTCCCAACTCGAGACCGGAAGAATTTATTATTTTATAGAGATTATTAATTTATCGAATATTAATTTATAAATGTTTTACTGTAGTGACAATCTCAATAAATATTTTTTGCACTTGTGAACGGTTGTGTCTTTTAATCGTAACTTTTCGTTAAAATATTTACGGTTATTTTTTTCAGTTGTGTGTTTATATCACATCTTTTATCTTTTTGTTAAAATATTTACGGTTGTTTTTTTATAGTTATGTTTTTTTATCGCAACACCTTTTGCACTTCTGAACGATTATGTCTTTTCATCGTCATTTTTCGTTCGTTAATACAGTTATTTTTTCGTTTGTGTCTTTTTATCACATATTTTCGTTGAAATATTTACGGTTGTGTCTTTTCATCGGCACTTTTCGTTAAAATTTATACGGTTATTTTTTCTGTTGTGTCTATTTATCGTATCTTTTTTTGAAATATTTACGGTTGTGTCATTTTATCGCAAAGCCTTTTGCACATCCAAACGGTTATGTCTTTTTATCGTAATCCTCTAATTCTTGATCTAACCAAACTTTTTTGGAATGATTATAAGAATAGAGAAGTTTTAATCAACTTTAAATATAAAATTCTAATGAAGATGCCAACAATTTTTTTCTTCGAATTGGGCGGATTATACAGTGAATTTTTTTATTTAACAATTTTATATGTTAACATAATGTTGTCTACCTTAGGGTAATATATATGGGTTGTATACAACAAAATATTGATGTTGCGTTAACACAATTACAAAGTCCAATTTTCCGAATATGAAAAGACATCCTCAAGCAGTATGGTTATCTACTATATTTTTCATATGTGTTTGGCGCTTTAAATGTGGTAAACGTCAAATAAACCGTTTCAAATAGTATAATCTAGAAATCATCTCCGTTATTAGAAAAAAGCAATAATTCCAATTCGTCACATGAATATTCAAAGAATAAGTTATTTTGCTCAGTTAATTTATTAATATAAATATAAATTTATGAGATCTTGTAAATGTTTATTTGTTTGTTATAGATGTAATATACGTAATCAAATTTTGTATTTTCGTGAATATATATAATGAAATAAATATTAATTTTAAAATTTAAAGAATAGTGGACTAACAAAAAAAAACCAATTCTCGGGCCAAGTTCGTAGTCACCTACAAGTCGTGCCGACTCCATCCAAATTTTTGGGTTTTGACTCGTTAGACTTTTGGATCCTTACTTGAACAACCTCCATTGTTTCTAGTACTACTCAAACTCACAATGAGCAAACAAAACACCGAGAAAAATTAAAACTTTTTTTTTGTTTTTCCGGATTAAGGAACAACGAACTATTTTTGTTAACGAAAGGAGATGATGTAAATAGAAAATGTTCAAAATGAATACAAAAACAAATTGGTCAAAATGAGTTCCCCGCAATTTCGCGGGATTCATAACCTAGTAAAAGATAGTTGCACAAAAAAAAAAAGATAATAAGAGATGAAGAACATTTTGTAGTGTGTAGTTATTTTTGGTTTAACCTAAATAACCACAACATTGATTGTTTGAAGCTTATTTACTGATTTGTTGTTTTGTTGAGGAAAAAATCTTCTTGCAGAATTACTGTTGTAGATTCATGTTGCAGAGGAAAGTACACATCTTGTTGGTGGTCTCTGGATTTTTTTTTGCATTCTCTGTTGTGTATCTTCTAAATCTCTAGCCCATTGTTCAAAAATCGAATCATCCGAATCAATATCGTATCGTAGACCAGTTGTAGGAGGATCTGATTGTGGTGTTTCAGCCAACGGTGACGGATCGATGAGAGAAGAAACTATTTCTCCTATAGAAGCCAAATCATTAGTTCCATTAATCCACTGATCACAAATTTGATCTTGATCATTAGGCTTCTGCAACTTTGTTACTACAAAAAAAAAAAAAAACATATTTCAAAAAACAGATCTTTCGATTTAACTAATAGTCTTAACTAGAAAGAGAGTGGTTTCTCTGTAACGACGTACCCGATGCAGCAACCGGATCGATTAAAGAAGGGAATGCATCTTCTATATCAGCAAAATCATCAGACACAAACCATTGATCATGAACTTTATCTTGATCATCATGATGATCATTAAGTTTTTGCAACTTTGTTACTACAAAAGACATAATTAAAAAAAAAAACAATGTCTTCATAAATTGAATCTTAAGGACAGACACAAGGGTTTTAGCACAAAAAAAAATAGACACAAGGGTTTATCTATAATTGAGTACCTGGTGCTGAAGTGCTAAGATCAATTAGATATTTTTGCTGAGCTAGCAAATCATTGAATTTAGCTATTTGACGAGCCAACTCGCATCTTTTGTTGTATTCGTCGAAGAAATTTGGGCTCTCTCTTTGAAGATGTTCCCAAACTGACAAAAAAAAAAGAAAAGATAATAGCTTTTTTGGATTAGATTTCTCTGAATTTGAAACCAAATATGTATTTTATACTTACTTGTTGCAGTGATATGATGAAGAATCTTGTCATGATTATAGAGATAAGTCATGGTTTGTTCCAAACTCATGTACTTTTGAATACACCATTCGATTTTTTCCTTGACCTGAGAAACACATGATTTTTATTGTTTCTAACAAGTCAAAACACAGAAACGAATTCTTAAAGTTGTAAGGGAAAAGAACAAAGTCGAACATACATAATCTATGGTTATCAGAATATTCTGGTTTCTGCTCATAACTCAACCAAGAGAGATTGTTTTCACACAAGAAAAAAGGGAAGCAGGTGAATAATGAACTGAGGTTTCAGATTTTTCGTTGGTTATAAATAAAAAATTAAAGTCAGAGGATTGCACGAAGGAGAGAATATAAGTAACTCTGTTGTTTATTGATTGGTCGATTATTAAAAAAGAAAAAATGATTGAACGATTATAAGATTCTCAGGATCTCAAATATTTATTTTTGTGAATATTTTAATTTTTTTTGAATATTTTCTCTAATTTTTAGGTCCTCAAATATTTGTACCCAATAGAATTTATTACCAGAGAAAGGTATGTCACGGAGCCAGGAGCCTACAGTCGCTAACCATGTTACAAAATATTTTTCTAATCTCAAATATTTTTGTGAATATTTTCTCTAATTTTTTAACCGCATATTCTAGTAACAAACTATTAAAAAGTTTAAAAATTAATTCCATATCTTCTGAGAAAAAAATATCTGTGTAATTTTTTGCTCATGGGTTATTATATAAGAGAACTTGACAATCTTCTTTCTTGCGACTTGTCAGACTAATTGTGTTTACGCATCAACCCAAGAAAGATTTAAAGATTAATTAACAAACTCTCAAAAGACTCAAAACTATCAAATTCCTCTAAATCTTCAAAACTGAAATATGTATTATTTTATGTTTCCGAAATCGTCTTTGTTTTCGCAAATCAATTAGGCTGATTTATCTCACCTAATTATTGGGTCTTCCATGGTCACCGCTTGTAAATACTCAAAAAAAAAACAGAAAAAAAACCTAAATTAAACATCCAAAATCATCATTCCCAAAAGCAGAATTTAATTCGATATTACTGTTATTGAATTTAAAACAAATAAAAGACCCGGTTTACTTTTCAAACCAAATTTACAAAATGTGGTATGTGGTTGAGAACAGAACCACTTTGACTGTCTGTGCTCATTTCACCGGAACATGGCAAAGCTTTAATGAGTCATGATGGGTCCTCGACGACTATAAAGAAACACGCTTCTGAAATTTGTCCCCTTCTATTTTGTATTTCTTCAATTTCTTCGAAATTTCTCTTCTCTTTACGCGTTTTTTTGCTTCACTACAAAAACCAAAGGAGCTTGCTTTTCCAATCATACATTCTTCAATACCATTCTAATTAAGAATACTATCTTCAAGTTCAAGCATTTGTGATCTCTCATGGCTTCTTCTTCTTCTTCTTTGTCTTGCATCAAGAGATACCATGTCTTTTCGAGCTTCCATGGTCCAGATGTCCGTAGCGGGTTTCTCAGTCATTTACACAATCACTTTGCAAGCAAAGGTATCACGACTTTCAATGATGAGAAGATCGATAGAGGCCAGACGATCGGACCTGAGCTCGTACAAATGAAACCTTAAAATGGCGCAAATTCTTCTATATTTGGAGGACCAACTACCACGGGGACGGATTCTGAGATCAAATGTTGAAAAATTACTTAGCTTTATATAAAGTTCTAATGAGATACTTCTGGAAACAAATACTTCCTTTTTCTAACGACATCACCAACAAGAACTTGTAAGATATGCTCACAGAGACAGACGGAATCTAAAACATACCAGCAACTAAGGATTGAAAGAATTTCTCGGTGACATAATCCTCCTCGTTAGTGTTCTCAAAAGCCAAACTGAATTTGTATCGCTTAAGAGCTTCAACCTTGTCAACTATATGAATGTTAAAACAACAGATTACATCAAACTGACAGCTCATTGTTTTTCCAATGTTTAATTTGAACAGTTTGTCTAATTTCCTTATGTTACCTTTTCTATCCCGGTTCCGATGACAACCACCATAAGAATCAATCTTGATGTTAGTCTTCATCAGGGCTTCAAGTGCTTGTAGGCGAAAATTCCGAGCACCACAATTGGAAATAAAAGCAGCTGCGATAGCTTTCTCGGTCTTAGGCTGTGCTGGAGCCATAATATCATACTCCGCCCACGAAAAATACCCAACAGGAACATCTGATGATAGACTAGTGGTCATCACTTATAATAACCTCTCCTGATGAACAAGAACATTACATTTATACACATCCTACCAAAAGACACGTCATGAAATACATTAAGCAACTGTTGAGATTGTGCTTACCCACCGTCGTGCCTGTGCAATATCATTTTCTGGATAGTACTGTGCTGATTCCATGGAACGAATTATACTAAGAGTTCCAGGTTGATGACCTAATCCAAACGCAGCATCTGGTTTTTTCCCTGAACTATCTCCAAATGTACAATCCACAGAACACCATTGAAAGTCCTACCAATCAATAACCCATTCAATATTTAGTTCTTTTGACTAATCAATCACTCTACTATATTTATCCCAAAAAGGAATTATCAAACATGAGATTAGCCAAAGTAAATGAACTATTTTGATTCATTTATGTTTTACCTTTTCACCACCAGAGATAAAAATTGGATCTTTAGTGAAATCTCTAGAATAAGTAACTGAATCTTCTCTCATCAACCACTCCTTGCAGCTATCAGTAAACAATCCGATCGGATCTCATCGGTGGAGACTGTGAGAGTGACGGAGAGAAGACCTACAAGAAAATGATTAACTTGAGGTTAATCATGAGCTAAGATATCATTCACTGCTCCAATCACTCACATGTTCTAAGAATCCTCTACTAAGAGTGGGAGACATGACGACGTTGATGCTTATGAAGCTCCATGGCCAGTGCAAACTTCTAAATAAAGAAGTCAAAATCAACCAATGAACCTGTGAATTGATTACTCACTTGAGCTCTTGATTTGGCCATCCATCAAAGTAGAGTTTATATCTCCAAACCATGGCTCTGGATAAACGAATTCGAGCACAAAAATCTCACAACCAGCATAGTACAACAGTTTCCACAGGGACTCTTTGCATTTGACGATTTTCACACGAGTAGCATCGTTCAATTTCAGTGGAGAAGAACCAGTAATCAAAAGCCAAATAGCCATCCTCTGCAAGATTCAAAACAACAAACAACGAAACACACTAATCAACAATTTTTGCAAATGTATGATAATCACAATTCCATTACGGTTGTTACATTTCTTACATGAAAGACGAATTTATCGAGGAATAGCCTCGAAAAGAAGAATCCCAAGGCAAAGTAGAGAGCGGTTTGGAAATGCCAAGCCGCAAACGGAGCTTCAAGATTACCGACGTCACCGTCGCGTGACGATACAGATTCCATGTCCCGGCGACACAAAACCTCGAATTTCACGGAGAACTCATCAAACACAACCCGAAGAAGTTAACGGAAGAAGAATGGCGAGGAATTTGGAGCGGTTGGGAATTGAAAAGACGGAGAGATTCGGAAAAAAACAAAAAAAGTGATGGTCCAGATGGAGTCGGCTTAATGGGTCATAGTGGGCTCGGAAGGCACCGGCCCGTTATCCTTCCACCGTCGAGAGAGGAAGGTGGACGCTGCTCTGTGAAACCAGCCTCACGCGGTCTCCTCCGCTCTAAGAAACAAGAGCCCCGAGCCTTCGCTCAAGACACAGGTCTCAACTCCCGACTTGGAATGGGCAGGCCAGTAGAAAGCCAAACCAAACCCGGCCCAGTGAGATCGACTCAATGTTCCATCACCCTTGTTGTCTCCACTTGGATCACAAGCCTGCGTTACTAAGCTCGACGTTCAATACGTGTCTGCTTAACTTATATATACAAGAGAGAAATGTTTGTTCCTTCCGATGTGGGACTTTTTTGACTTGTAATACATCTCACACATGCGATGCATTTTCCCTTCAAATATTTTTGTAGGCAAATTTTTTAAAACAATCACAAAATTTATCTAAAAATCTTATTGGCTATTTTTTTAATTATTGTTTACACAAACGCCATAAAAGTACTTCGAAATTGCATTGTAAGCAAAAAAAAATAAAATATACATTTGAGAAAAAGATATATTATATTAATATGAGATCTTATCCTCTCCCATTTTTAGAGAAATTCAACAAACAATTTTGTTGCTTCACTCTCTAATGTCGTTGTTGATCATATGACGAATTTGAGCTTAGGTTAACTGGTTAGGTAATCTTTTTTTTTTTCATCTGTAAAATATATATTGATCAAGAGGAGATACAACATTTGAGCAACAGGTGCTGATATCAAACCAGAACACATATACCTCAAGCTATACAAAATAATGGCTATTCTAAAGGTCAAACAGACCTCAGCAAACAAAAAAGTCAATAGAAAATATTAAACAGAGGAACACCCCATCTCACTAACAAAGAGAACATGTAGCCAATCCGGATGACCGGTAGCTACATAAGACTGAGCCAAGTTGTACTTCGTCACACTTTGGACAATGAGATAGGGTCCTCTGTTCATTGATCTCGATTCTAACACTACCACCCACTCCAAAAAAACTTTCAACGCATTCTCCAACTCTGAGACCTGCATTTTGAAAGAAGGCCATGCTTTAGGCCTGTTAATAGCACTCAACTGGTTAGGTAATCTAATCTAATAATAATAATCATCTCAATAAATGTTTTTTGCACTTGTGAACTGTTGTGTTTTTTTTATCGTAACTTTTTGTTAAAATATTTATAGTTATTTTTTTCGGTTGTGTCTTTTTATCGCATATTTTCTTAGAAATATTTACGGTTATTTTTTTACTGTTGTGTTTTTTTATCGCAATATATTTTACACTTCTGAACGGTTGTGTCTTTTCATCGACACTTTTCGTTAGCTAAAATATTTACAGTTATTTTTTTTGGTTGTGTTTTTTTATCGCATCTTTTTGTTAAAATATTTACGGTTATATTTTTTTATCGCATCTTTTCGTTGAAATATTTACGGTTGTGTCTTTGTATCGCAATATTTTTTGCACTTCTGAACGGTTGTATCTTTTCATCGGCACTTTTGTTCTTTAAAATATTTACTTTTTTTTTTTTTTTCAGTTGTGTCTTTTTATCATATCTTTGATATTTTGTTGAATATTTACGGTTCAGGGTTTTTTTTATCGCAACACCTTTTGCACTTCTGAATGGTTGTGTCTTTTCATCGACACTTTTCGTTCGTAAAATATTTAATGTTATTTTTTTCGGTTATGCCTTATTATCACATCTTTTCGTTAAAATATTTACGGTTATTTTTTTACAGTTGTATTTTTATATCGCAAAGCCTTTTGCACTTCTAAACGGTTGTGTCTTTTCATCAGCACTTTTCGTTAAAATATTTACGATTATTTTCATACAGTTGTGTCTTTTTATCGCAGAGCTTTTTGAGCTTCTAAACGGTTGTGTCTTTTCATCGGCACTTTTCGTTAAAATATCTATGGTTATTTTTTTTCTGTTGAGTCTATTTATTGTATATTTTCTTTGAAATATTTATGGTTGTGTCATTTTATCGCAAAGCCTTTTGCACTTCTAAATGGTTATGTCTTTTTATCGTAATTACTTGTTAAAATATTTACGCTTTTTTATTTGTTATATCTTTTTATTGCATATTTTCCTTGAAACATTTATCGTTGTGTATTTTTATCGCAAGTTTTTGTTAAAATATTTTTCGCAACTTTTCGTTGAAATATATACGTTTTTTTTACGGTTGCGTCTTTTTATCGCAATACATTTTACACTTCTTAACAGTTGTATCTTTTTATCGTAACTTCTCATTTAAATATCTACGGTTATTTCTTTCGGTTCTATTTTTTTATCGTATCTTTTCATTGTAATATTTACAGTTGAATTTTTTGGTTGTGTTTATCGCATCTTTTTGTTGAAATATTATAGTTATTTTTTAACAGTTCTGTCTTTTTATCGCAATAATTTTTTGCACTTTTGAACGATTGTGTCTTTTAATCGGCATTTTTGATTAAAATATTTTCGATTATTTTTTCGGTTGTGTCTTTTTATCGCATCCTTTCTTTGAAATATTTACGGTTGTGTCTTTTTATCGCAATGTCTTTTGCACTTCTAAACGGTTATGTCTATTCATCGCAATTTTTTATTAAACTATTTATGCTTTTTTCGGTTGTATCTTTTTATTGCATATTTTCCTTAAAATAATTACGGTTAACAAGTGCAATCTCAAATTATTGGTGGAGGTCCACTGGGAGAGATCGTGGGATTCATTAGATTGCTTGGGAGAAAATGTGTATGAATAAAGAAAAAGGAGGTTTAAGCTTTCACTCTCTAAACACGTTTAATGATGTCATGGTGGCTAAACAGTACTGGCGATTAATTCAATTTCCGAACTCTTTAGTAGCTCGAGTACTAAAAGCTAGATATTTCAGGAATATTCATCCTTTACAAGAAAAAAAAAACAAACTCTCCATCGTTCGGATGGAAGAGTATTTTTTCAACTAAAAGACTGGTTGAAATGGGAGCAAGATGGTCCCTAGGTTCGGGCTACAACTTATCGGTTTGGCGAGATCCTTGGATTCCTGATGTTAATCCTCATCCCGCAAATGGAAGGAGAAAATTATTACATCCAAATCTGATGGTTAACCATTCAATTAACCCGGTTTCTAAAGAATGGCACCTTCCTATTTTACATGAATTTATGGATCCGGTGGATATTCAATTAATTCGAGGACTGGCTATTAGTCAAGTTCATAAGCCAGATAGGCTTATTTGGCACCATACAAACTCAGGGAGATACACAGTAAAATCAGGCTATAGAATTGCCCGAGGGATGACTGAAACGATTGAATGGGGTCCAAATTGTAAAATATTACAAGCACAAGCTTGGAAAGTCAAAGCTCCTCCAAAGATTAAACATTTCTTATGGCAAATTGCTTCGGGATCCTTAGCAGTTACTTCAAAATTAGCACATCGAGAGATTCGTTGTGATATTACCTGTAAAAGATGTAAGATTGCAGAGGAAACAATAAATCATGCCTTATTTGAGTGCTCACACTCTCAAAAAATCTGGGAATTATCCGAAATACCTATGGTATCAAGTAGTTTTCCTCTAAGTTCGGAATTTTCAAATCTAGATTATCTTTATTAGAGACTACCACCTCCTATAGATGGGGGGAGAAATCTCACAGTTATGCTTGGATTTTGTGGTTTATTTGGAAAGATAGGAATAGATAGGTTTTCAAAGGAATACAATCTTAACCCACTGATATTTTGAATCACGCTATGAGTGAAAAATTAATGTGGGAAGAAGCTCAGCTGGAACCGATGGAAAATAACACTATCACGGGAATTTTGGAAATCCCAATTCAATCTATAAGATGTCGGATTGATGGTTCTTGGAAATCTTCGGATCCAACTATGGGTATAGGATGGTGGTGTTTTCAAAGAATTGATCAAACATTGTTGCTTGGTGCAAATTGCCTTCGGAGATGTCCTTCCCCCATTCACTCGGATATGGAAGCTTTACTTTGGGCTATGAAGAACATCCTTTCAAGAAGGATTGATTGTCAGGCGTTTGAAACTGATTGTTCAGAGTTAGTCTCGATGGTACATTCACCTGAAGAATGGCCCGCCTTCTCCAATCTGCTGATGAGTTAGATCTGCTCCGCATCTCTTTTCCCTTATTCTCGCTTTCTCTTATTTCTCGTTTATGCAATGTTAAGGCGGACTGCTTAGCCCGTACTTCTACACTTTTATTTTCTGATGTAACTTTTGTAAACTCTTCTCCTCCTATTTGGGCAACCAATCATGGAATTATTTTTTAATGAATGTGTGGTTGACAAAAAAAAAAAAATAATAATAATAATAATAATTACGGTTATTTTTTTACGGTTGTGTCTTTTTATCGCAAGTTTTTGTTAAAATATTTTTCGCAACTTTTCGTTGAAATATTTACGTTTTTTTACGGTTGTGTCTTTTTATTGCAATGTCTTTTATAATTCTGAGCGGTTGTGTCTTTGTTATCGCAATTGCTCGTAAAATATTTACGGTTATTTTTTTTGGTTGTCTTTTTATCGCATCTTTTCGTTGAAATACACGGTTATTTTTTTGTTGTGTTTTTTATCGCAACTTTTCATTGAAGTATTCAGTAAAAAAAATTCGGTTGTCGTTTTATCGTATCTCTTCGTTAAAATATATACGGTTACTTTTCTTACAGTTATATTTGTTCAATTACAATTGTATCTTTTCACTTTACAGTTGTGTTTTTATAGTTGCATTTATTCATTTAAAGTTACTCTTCATAATATTTCATTGCATTTTTTTCGTCACAACTTTTCGTATTGTCTATTTATATGTTTGTGACTTTTGAACTCTATATATGTGTCCTTCTTTCTAAGTAGTTCCCAAATTTTTATACTTTGACATAAATTATTAATTTCATAATGAATCCAAAAAATAATTTGTACAATAGCTCTAAATTCTTTACTCTCTAAACTATTTCAAAATATACATCGTTTTAATATTAAAAAAAAAAGTTCCTCTAATTCTTGATCTAACCAAAAAATTTTGGAATGATTATAAACATAGAAAAGTTTTAATCAATTTTAAATATAAAATTTTATTGAAGATGACAACAATTATTTTCTTAGAATTGGGCGGGTAATACAGTGAATTTTTTTTAATAACAATTGTATATGTTAACATAATGCTTTCTACTTTAGGACAATATATATGGGTTATATACAACGAAATATTGATGATGCATTAACACAATTATAAAGTCTGATTGTCCAAATATGAAAAGACATCCTCAAGCAATATGGTTATCTACTATATTTTTCATGTGTTGGGCGCTTTAAATATGGTAAACGTCAAATAAACCGTTTCAAATGGTATAGTAATCTAGAAATCGTCTACGTTATTAGGAAAAAAATAGTGATTCCAATTCGTCACATGAATATTCAATGAATAAGTTTTTTTGCTCAGTTAATTTATTAGTATAAAAATAAATTTATGAGCTCTTATAAATGTTTATTTTTTTCTTATAGATGTAATTTACGTCATCAAATTTTGTATTTTCAAGAATATATATAATAGAATAAATATTAATTTTAAATTTTAAAGAATAGTGGACTAACAAAAAAAAACACCAATTATCGGACCAAGTTCGTAGTGACCCACAAGTCGTGCCGAATCAATCCAAATTTTTGGGTTTTGACCAGTTAATACTTTTGGATCCTTACTTGATTCAACCTCCATTGTTTCTACTACTACTCAAACTCACAGAGGGCAAACGAAACAATAAACAAAGAGAAAAATAAAACTTTCACTACAAGAAATATCTACATTATTAGCAAGAGATAAGAGCTATTATATGTCATTAATAGCGTTTTCATAAACGCTGTCTTATGCCCCTGTTATGGTAGACCCCCTACATACGATAGCGTGTTTTCCGTATGTTATTATAGAGCATTCTACCATAGCATTAGGCAAACGCTTTGATATAACGACTTTTTTATATAAAAAAAATTATGTATTAAGTCATTTTTCGTGCTATTATAGGTACTTTCTACCATAGCGTTATTAAAATGCTTTAATTTTTTTATAGCACATTTTTATACGTTAATACATCATATGCAATTAAAATATATATATTTGAAATCCAATTACTTATATGCTACAAAACCAATTTATTAAAAGCATGTTTCTTTCCATAGATCATCAAAAGATACATAGTTTAGTATTCAACACCATTTAAAACAAGGTCTTAAACAAGAAAAGTATTGTAATTCATATGGACTAAACGAAGAACTCCATTGATTTGCTCTTTCTCTCCCTCCAAGAACTTAGGTTGATGTCCACACTTCACTGCCATCTCCAAATCCTCTATAGCTTGGTTCTTTTCTTTGTCGTTGGTTGTCTTTGTATAAGTAAAACAAGTAAGTTTTTCAAATGCTTCTACTAGATAATGACTATGTATAAAACCGTGAGGAAAGAGTGAAATATAGGAACCTGAGATCTCTTTTGCAGAAGCTGCAGCAACAAAAACAGTAGCATAGGAGAAGAGACAGAAGCTGCAGCAACAACAACAGTAGCATAGGACAAGAGAGCACAAACAGAAGCTTGGAGGCGAATCAAGTGCAACCTGAAAAATAACATGATCCGAGTAAGTAATTCAATCACACCTAATATATATACGGAGATCGAAACTGTTAGAGACAATGTTTAAACCATTTTGACAAGAATCAAGAAGAAGATTATATTTACTTACTTAGGCTGAATAAGTGACCAGAAAAAGACTGTCTTTTAACACCAAATCCAGTGAGATGGTCTTAACAAAGTTAGAGCTTAATGGACCATATGAAGTTAAGAGATAAAACCAAACTTGTTTCTTGCCCAATTATATTGTTGTACACCAGCAGAAGGAGCAAATTGGAGCAATAGAAAACCATCTTTTGACAACTTGAAAGCTCCAGACTGCAAAAAAAACAGAAATCAAATGGAAAACTCATACTTGAAAGCTTTCCTAATTTTTTGAGATAAATCGGTTACAAAAGACAACATTTCTTACTTATAGTGATGAAAGATGTGTAATTTAGTTTTAGAAGAAACAAGATCACGTACCAGTTGATTTAGAATTTCCAAAATATTAAACTTATTCTCTTAAAAGATAAACAAGTTGAAAGCTACGAGAAAGAATTCGACGAACCTGACTGAGGCAAAGGAAGAAACAAAGAAGGAGAGAACCTTGACTACGTCACTTCTAGAGACTCCAGGATTCCATCTCTCTCTGCTTCACAACTTACCAAAAGAAAATAATTTCGAAACAAATGTGATCTCACCATATATCCAACAAACAGCGGATATTAAACGCACATACTCCATTTCTCTAGCGTCAAAAGATTCATCCACCCTATAAGAAAGGCAAAACAACAACAATCCTATATCAATCTCCGATGAAACAAACATATGATTTTTCATGTAAGCTGCATTTGATTCAAAATCCAGTTAATAACAATAGCCTTTGCAGTAGCTTTTTTACACATATACCAAAAACTAAGACAAAGTAAGCTTACAGTTTTGCTATATATCAAGAGGTAAGAATTCAGAACCTACACAAAAAAAAAGAGAGATTGTTAATTAATCTCCAGAACTGAGATAAACAAACAAACAAAGACATTTTCTTAGTTCACAAATCTTACCATGAAAGAGTAGTTTATGGCCAGAGAAGAAGCAAGAGAACAAAAAGAGTGACAAAACAAAGTGGGTGCAAACAATGCAATCAAAGCAATGATTCAAATCATACATTTAGCTAGATCTTATCAAATGAGATAAGAAAAGATAAGCCAACTTAAAAACACACGATAGGTATGCTTCATCTTGTAAATAAACCAAAACCAACAAAACTATTTGCAGACACAAATCCAAAACCAACTTACATATGTGGCTACTAAAAACTATGTAATTCCTTTCAAGCAACAAACCCAAAAAAAAAAAAGACTCCATCTTCAATGGTTGAATCGATGAAGAGGTAAGAGTAAGTAGTAGTACCTCAAGTTTGGAGCTTCATTACCTAAAGAACAAAAACGTATCTAAAGTCAAAATCAACAATGATGAGATGATTAAATCAACAAAAGGGACCAAAAGAAGAAATCCAAACCCCGTAATTACTACGACCATGTGTTCACTCTTTCTCAGTCTTCGTCTTCACAGTTCTCATATTCACAGTAATTGCCGTCACTTACCAACCACCAGATCCATGGGTTGAATCTGCTCCAGCTCTCACCAAACTCCTAACCGAAACAAAAAACGCAATTTTCAAAATCGGTGAAGATATGCTTCTTCTTCTCCGGTTTCAGCTCCGGCGGTGCAAGTTACGGAGGCGACGATTGAGAAATCCGAGGAGAGAATCGGGAATATGACGGTGAAGATGAGTTTAGGGTTCATAAGTTAAGAAATCTGAAATAGAAGTACCTTTACTGTGTTCCGTCGTGACGACGAGCTTCACTGTGGAGGCCGGCGACGAGCTTCACGCTATGTCTCAGATCCAACAAATCTCTTTCTTCGACTTGGGATTTTTTTTTTTTGAGATATGTTTTATTTTGTGGTAAAGTGAAGGGTTTTAATTTTTGGACTTTGGCGTTTTAAGTTTTTGGATCTAAAACATATGGCGCTTAAGTGAATTATTTCGCCTAAGTATTGGCGGAACGAGTGATTTTAGCTTTCTATTTGGTGATTTTCTATTTTAGCGTTGTTTCAGTGCTATTATATATAATTCAAATCAAAAATTTATCTTTCATAGCAGTTACGGAAAATGAGCTATCATCATGTGCTATCAATGTGGATATTTCTTGTAGTGTTTTTTTTTGTTTTTCCGGATTAAGGAACAACAAACTGTTTTTGTTAACGAAATGAGACAAATGTAAATATAAAATGTTCAAAATGAATACAAAAACAAATTGTTCAAAATGAGCTCCCCCGCGATGATGCAGGGGTTCTTAATTAACCTAGTAAGAGATAGTTGCACAAAAAGAAAAAAGATAATAAGATATGAGAACATTTTGTAGTGTGGAGTTATTTTTGGTTTAACCTAAATTACCAAAACATTGATTGTTTGAAGCTTCTTTACTGATTTTTTTTTTTGTTGAGGAAAAAATCTTCTTGCAGAACTACTGTTGTAGATTCATGTTGCAGAGGAAAGTGCACATCTTGTTGGTGATCTCTGGATTTTCTTTTTCATTCTCTGTTGTTGATCTTCTAAATCTCTAGCCCATTGTTCAAAAATCGAATCATAAGAATCAATATCGTATCGTAGACCAGTTGTAGGAGGATCTGATTGTAGTGTTTCAGCAAACAGTGACGGATCGATGAGAGAAGCCAAATCATTAGATCCATTAATCCACTGATCACAAATTTGATCTTGATCATTAGGTTTCAGCAAGTTTGTTACTGCAAAAAAAAAAAGAAAAAAAAAACATAATTCAAAAAATATATCTTTCTATTTAACTAATAGTCTTAACTAGAAAGAGAGTGGTTTCTCTGTAACGACATACCCGGTGCAGCAACCGGATCGATTAAAGAAGGGAATGCATCTTCAATATCAGCAAAATCATCATACTCAAACCAATGATCATGAACTTGATCTTGATCATCATGATGATCATTAGGTTTTTGCAACTTTGTTACTACAAAAGACATAATTAAAAAAAAAAAACAATGTCTTCATAAATTGATTTAAGTAATAATCTTAAGGATAGACACAAGGGTTTTAGCACCAATGAAACCTTGCTTGTAAATACAACTCGTCGTCTAGACTTAGTCAACACGACCCTCCGCTCGTGCTAACCTTAAGATTATGGTATCAGAGCCAAGGCTTGTGTTAAGGTAGAGCGAATCATTGTTTATGACTGATCGTTTTGAATGTTCTGGAAAACAAACTCTCAATCATGTCTCTTTCTAAGCCTCCAAAACACCCTCAGCTAAATCCTTCTATAGATTCTTAATTTGCTATATCTACTTTACCAAAAATCCAAAGAAATAATTCCCTTTCTAAGATCAGTTCCTTGTATGAAATTGAATACGTTCCCGAAGATCAATTGCCAGAAACAACTCTCCCGTTGGTTAATCCTTATGAATACTTTGCTAAAAAGCCTAGTGCTTTTTCAGTAAAAGGTGTTCGTGATCTGATCAGGCCTTCTTCCAGTCGACGAGTATTGGAGTACGTACAATCCAGCAAGTTTTCATCATGTCAAGTTCCAGCTACCGAAGAAGAACAATTCATCTCGCTAAATATTCTGGAGCATCTACCAAGGCTATGGCAGTAGCAGGGCTACACTCATCTACACTTTGGTGTAGTACGAATCGGTTTAACCTTACATGCACGAAAAGGTTTACCGGTTGTAGCACGAATAGCTTTGCTTGACTCAAGGTTCAAATCCTATCAACAAGCTTGCATCGGAACAGTACAAACAACGCTGAACGCAGGAACAGTATTTATAACACTGTTTCCAAATTTCAATGTCTCACTACAAGATCCAAATCTCCTGAAGGCGCTTAAGGTTCAATTACAACTAATCGGAGCACCTATGCAAGAAGAAAGTGTAGCAGCAACTCTGCATCATCAGATTGTATACAGAATCCAAGATCATGCTCTCGATCTTGCATTACCAGCATCAGACGAGGCTTTATACCTTGAAGTCACATCGGCATCGCAAGCACCCAACTCTATTCAAATACCAAGACAGATATCTCGAGAAGAATTGCTACGAAAACTGCCAGAGTCATGGGTAACAAGCTATGAGAAGATACATCAAGCATCTCAAGCACCGATCCAGTCATCTGACGTAAGCTTTCACTCTAGAAGCGATGGAACCACAGAGATAAAGTTCGAAAAGCCTAGATCGTCTTTTCAAAAGAAACTCTTTACTCAATTCACTATCCAAATTGAGGAGCAAGAGTTCTATGATCCCGTCAAAAAGAAAGATCTTCAACCAATCGCTTTTGGTCAGAATGGAACTGTTGTATATCCATTCAAAGATGAGAACGGACATTGTTACTTCGATGTCTGCTCATGCACCGCATGTTTGGAAGATTCTTATGAATCGGATGATGAAAAGCGAAGAAGACGGAGAAAAAAGAAGGATCCACTTTATAAACGCTACCTTGAAGGAGATCCTACAGTAGGTCCACTTGGTGACGACAACTAAGACTTCATAGTCGAGTATTCAACAAACAAGGATGACTCAAACCAGCAACTCATGATGATAAAGATGGATTTTCCTCCGCCAAAAGACTTTGTCAAGGACAATATTGTGCATACACCAAAATTTGTTCCGAACAACATCAACTCCTCTGGACCAGACGAATTAAGCCAAGCAGAGAAGGTTCTCAACTGGCAAACAGAAAATGCCTTTGTTCAGAATCAATTACTGTCATGCATTAGCCACAAGGTTGATCAAATGTCGGAGAACAACAATAGAAGATTCAACAGTCTGCAAGGAGCCATATCAGAGATTCAACAGAAACTCAGCAACTTGCACCAAGAAATGATGGCTATGGCGAAACAAATGAAAGTTGATACATCTCAGTTCAGAAGTAAAGAAGCTGAACAAACCAATCTTAAATATCAACTCAAAGATCTTCAAAGGAGCCTAGAAAGTCTAGTCCAGAATCAGAGGCGAGTTAATGTGTATAATCATTTTGACTATATGTCATCTGGATTACCCACATATCAAGAATCATACTCTCCAGGATTTCTGTTTGGATATCAAGATCCAAAACCAAAACAGCCTGTACCTGGATTCTTATCCTCTGATGAAGCCTTTACATCTCGGTTTGGTACAACTTCAACCAGCAATTTCAAAGCAAGAACTAAACCAAGGCGTCAAAAGGATTCTGAGTTTCACATCAATCCATCCAAGAAGCCAAGCTTCACATCTTCATCAAGCCATGAGTACGCTCAAGATGAAAAGAAAAAGGATGTTGCAAAAGAAGAAGAAATTGCGATGATCGAGTTTTCGATGTCTAGTTTACTAGACAATCTTGTGAAAACATCTGATGACGAAAGGCAAGAATTGCAAGTTTAATCAAAAGAGCAGCAGTCGCTACCAATTGTTACAATGACTCACATTTCAGCTCTTTCGGATTCAACCTCTTCCGTCGATGAATCAGAAACAGATGAATCTCTTCCAAATCAGTTTGCAATAGGAGATGAGTCACATATTCCAAAAGAAGAGCCAATCTATGAAGAAATTTCAAGTGACGAGGAGATGGGCTATGAAACTCAAGGCGTACCAAAGAAACAATTTGCATCAAAGATAATGGTGTTCACATTCGATGACATTCCTTTTGAAAAATGGAATAGTCGTCTTGACGAATTTCATGCGTGGATGACCTCCGAAGCAATCACTTCCCCAACAGAAATGGTGATACAACAATTCACATCGAGACTTTCAGGCGCATTAAAAGAATGGTGGAATTCGCTTGGAGAATATCGGCAGCAGCAGGTGTATCAGACAACGATACCTCTACTTCTTGGAGAAATACATAGAGAGTTCGTTGGCACCCCAAGTCATTTAAAAGAACAACTACAAGAAGAGTTCTACACAGCGAAGTGTTGTTCATTGAAGAAGAGAGATTTAGCAAAGCATTTCGAGCGACAAACTCGAAGGTATTATGCTCTCAATGATCTAAACAATCCAAGCCTGAAGCAAGTGTATCTCTCATCCATAGACGATTACCTAAGTCAACAAACAAAGCTGTATATCAGAGATCAAGGGCAGACAATCGAAGAAATCTCGATTGGACAAATCCAGCAGCACGTGTTCAGAACCCTTGACAAGCTTTGTAAGCAAAAAGAGTTTTGGTCAGAATTCATGGACAAGTCAAAGCATCTTTCGAAGATATGTGCTCGCCCGGATCTGAACATCAAATGTTCGAAAAAGAAAAAATGTTCATGTGAAGATCGACGAAAAGACCGAAGAAGATCCAAGAAATCATTCTTGAAGTCGAAATATTTCAACAAGATTAAACGCAAGCGATTCTTTAGGAAGAAGAAAAGTTTCAAGAAAACTTCAAGATGTTTTCTATGCAGAAAGACGGGGCATTTTGCAAAAGACTGTCCAAACAAGTCTAAAAAGAAGAAGCAGTATCTCATTCATTCGATATCCAAGATAGCTCCAGATCTTGATATCGATAACCACGATCTTGAGTCAATACTATCTTACGATAGTGACGAGAATGATGCTATATGCAGTTATTCAGATTATGACGAATCTTCAGAATCCTCATCCGAAGATGAAAAAGACGATTGTTGTTTCAAGATTACCCAGATGCCTCAAGAAGATGAACTCCAGACACCACATCTACCAGTAACCATCTTTGATCCCTCCAAAAGAGAAAAACCAGTGCACGCAATCGCATTCTTCGACACAGGAGCTCATACAACAATCATAAATCCAAAGATTCTCTCACGAACCATGTGGATGCCTCATCAACAAGATTTCAGAGTCGCAAACGCTGGATCCCTAACGGTTAAGCTAAAATCAAAACCAATCACGGTAGAGCTTTTCCCAGGATGTCAAGTTACTAAGGAAGTACTAGGTTCATCTGCACCTGGTAAAGACTTAATCCTTGGGTGGGATACTTATTCGGTACTGAAGAAGAAGTTCGGTATTTCTCTAGAACCAAGAGGTGTGAGATGGAAAAATCTCTACAAGGCTTTTACCACGATGCATCGCTTGTTCTCAATCGAAGATTCAGCATCTGCAGAATTCAACAAAATTGAAGAAGAATTAAAGATGACATCATGTGCTGATTCACACACGGAGTTCCTTCAAAAGTGTAATCATCCGCTATGGTTAAACTCAAGCTTCTTCGTATCCCTACCATTCAAGGAAGACGTACACACAACACCAACAAAGGCAAGCCATGCAGGAATGCCTCCAACATTGTTGCAGAAGGCAAATGAAGAATGCAATCAATTGATGGATCAAGGTATCATCTCAAGAACAAATTCTCCATGGGCATGCAAAGCGTTCTACGTCAATAATCGTGTAGAACAAGCAAGAGGAAAACTCAGATTAGTTATTGACTACAAGCCGCTGAACCAATATCTGCAAGACGTCAAGTTTCCACTACCAAATAAAAGAGCGCTTCTCCAACATCTCCAAGGTGCAAAAATATTTTCGAAGTTTGATCTAAAGTCAGGATTTTGGCAACTCGGCGTTCATCCTGAAGAAAGATACAAAACTGCGTTTGGCCTTCCAAATAGACACATTCAATGGAATGTCTTACCCTTTGGTCTCAAGACGGCGCCATCGCTATTTCAACAAGCAATGTTACGTATATTCGAGCCGTTGTTACACACAGCTCTTATATACATTGATGACATACTCATCTTCTCGAAGAATGAAGAAGAGCATATTCAGGCGCTACAACAATTTCAAGATATCGTCAAGAAAAACGGAATCATGCTATCAGCCAGAAAGATGATAATAGCCCAGCCCAACATTGATTTTCTTGGCATGCATATCAAAGAAGGAAGTTTCATTCCACAAGCCCATTTAGCTACAGAACTTCTAGATTTTCCCGATGAAAATCTTACAAGGCGACAAATCCAACAGTTTCTTGGCGTAATCAATTATGTGGGAGACTTCATTCCACACCTTTCCAGAATGACAAGACCTCTACAGAAGATGTTGTCGAAAAACCCTCCTTTGTGGGCATCACGACAACCTGAAGCTATCAAAAGTCTAAAAGCAGAAGTGCAAAAGCTACCCCCTTTAAAGATTCCTTCCTCAGGCATGCGTATTCTACAGACAGACGCTAGCGATAAGTATTGGGGAGCAATACTATTTGAAGAGATGGATGGGAAAAGGCAAATCTGTGGATACAAGAGTGGTCGTTTCAAAGATTCAGAGCAACATTATCACTCAACGTTCAAGGAGATTTTAGCGGTCAAAAAAGCTATCGAGAGGTTTGAATTTCATCTAATAGGACACAAGTTTCGTATAGAAATGGATATGTCTTTGTTTCCCAAGATGTTACAATTCAAGCAGAAGATGGTCCCGCATCAGCAGCTACTAAGATGGAGTGAATGGTTCTCAAAGTACGATTTCGAGTCAGTCTATTTAAAGGGCACCAAGAACACTTTGGCGGATATGTTAAGTCGAAAGCCAGTAAAACAGGAAACGCCCTACGAGATACACATGATGGCCAGTTCCTCTGAATCCAAGAAGAGCTACTATGACTTTGAAGCAGACGTACCCGAAGATGTTCATCAACTCATCAGCAGAAACAAGCTTCATGAACTACTACGCACAAAGATCTTTTCATATCAATCTACCATCCTGTCGAACTATGGGGTAAACTGTCACCACATTGCTCCAATGGGAATTCATCCTGACTATCCGTTTGCACATCTCTACAGGATCGAAAATTCAAATATGCCAGAAGAAGTTCTCTGTTTCCTCTGGTATCTCTGTGCCGTCTACACTGTAGGAATTGCGTTCGACATCCAATGGCTGTACCATTACGTCAACACTGTTCAAGACAAAAGAGACTGCTTCTCAACGTTCTTAAGGTGGTTTTCACCATTAACTGTCTGGAGTGGAAAACTACGAAAATCCGCAAATGCGACGAGTCTAACATTCAAAAAGCTGAAAAAAGGAAGACTCAACCCGTTCTTCAATCCGCATTCGATCTACTTCTTTCATCGTCCCGTTAAGGTCAACTGCAAATCAAGCAAAATTCTCGCCCTTCCAACTCTCATTCATCACGGTGATTTTTCAAGAGGAGTTCGTCCAGATTTCAACCTTCAAGATAACGAAGCATACGAGAGCTTCCAAACTCAGGCGTTTCACCTCAACAATGCAAGACAAACGTTCCCTATTCCGTTCATACCCAACTGGGTTCATTATCCGGTCGACTATCAGATGCAACTTGATGAAGATTTACAGTATCACATGATGAAGTTTGACCGAGGAAGACCAAGCAGTCCAAAAGAAGATAAACAAGAAGAGACAACTCCCCAGGTGACTTCTCAAGATTACTGTGCCGATTACTTCAAAGACGCTCAATCTCCAGATGATGAAGTAAATGTTGAAGATATCGAAGAGAAGTTCAAATTCTGCATAAATGTTCAACCAGGAGAAGATGCACGAATGATTGAAGACTCGTATGAATGTCCAGATGATCATTATGGATGCTGCGAAGAACATATGCTGGAGTTCGAAATGGATCATTAAACGGTATGGAAAATATAAAATAAACAAAATATAATATGATATGTTTAAAATCATGTAAAATAAATAATGATGTAAGCGATGATGTAATCGCTGATGTAATGATTATGTAAGCAATGATGTAAGCGATGATGTATCGCTGAGGTAAGCGCTTATGTCAGCGCCTTAAATCCTCCTATAAATAAGTGTGTACCCCTTGTAAGAAATCACAACTTGAAATATCATAAAATTTCATAATAAGCTTTCTCTCTCTAAAATGTCTCTCTAACTTCTCTCTAAGTTTTCCAGACTTCTTAACTTCTTCATAAACCTTGTTTCTTTCTATTCTAAACACAGTCGCGATTCTGTATTGTTCTCTTAAGGTTAGCATAAGTGGTCCGTCAATACGACGGTCGAACACGGCAGTCAATAGTACTCGTCGGGGTTCACAGTACCTAATAGTAGGTTGAGCAACACAGATGGCAATGAGGCCCGAACCGCTCCCTTTACCTGGAATGTGAAACCTTGCTTGTAAATACGACTCGTCGTCTAGACTTAGTCAACACGAACCTCCGCTCGTGCTAACCTTAAGATTATGATTGAGTACCTGGTGTAGAAGTGCTAAGATCAATTAGATCTTTTTGCTGAGCTAGCAAATCATTGAATTTAGCTATTTGGCGAGCCAATTCGCATCGTTTGTTGTATTCATTGAAGAAATTTGGGCTCTCTCTTTGAAGATGATCCCAAACTGAAAACAAAAATAAAAAGATAGAAGCTTTTTTAGATTAGATTTCTCTAAATTTGAAACTAAATAGGTTTTTTACTTACTTGTTGCAGTGATATGATGAAGAATCTGGTTATGAGCATAGAGATAAGTCATGGTTTGTTCCAAACTCATGTACTTTTGAATACACAATTCGATTTTTTTCTTAACCTGAAACAAAAGATTATTTTAGAAGAATCATAATAAAAAAGAGTGACGAATTTTATAAAAATGTAGAAGAGAAAGAATGAAATTATATATACATCATCTATAGTTCTCGAAATATTCTGGTTTCCACTCATAACTCGAAGAAAATTCAACGGAAGAGAGATTGTTTTTGATAAAAAAACAAAGAAACTTTTGGTTGAGGTGAATAATAAACGAGGGATTGCGCGAAAGAAGAGAAAATAACCGATTTATTTGTTGAATACTAAAGATTCTCGGGATTCTCTCGGCGATTTATTTTTTGAATATTTTAGTTTTTTAATCGATTTGCGTCACACAATTTTTTTAATCGAATATCATAGTCAAACTATGTTTTAGTTATGCTGTATTTATTGTATGGGTTTAGTTTGGGCTTTTATTATGGGTTTGGGCTCCGTAAATTTCATCGGTACCGTACTTCTCTTGTAATTTGCCTTTCTTGGGTTAGTTAATGAATAAGTTACCGACAAAAAAAAAAATCGAATATTCTAAACAACGATTAGCATCAACCCAATAAAGATTTAAAGGATTAATTAACGAACTCTCAAAACTATCAAATTCCTCCAAATCTTGAAACATTTATGCATCCAGATATCAAGAACACATCATCTGCAATGTCAGAACGATTTACAGATACCCTGCCTAAACAAAATGAGCTCACCAATCTCATGACTATTAACCTTTTGTTTCATCTAATTGGTTGGTTTCGCACTTTAGCACAGACAAATGTCTTCATAGCTGAGACGATACCTGAAACAGATCCAGAGGAATGAAACTAGACGAAGACAACCTCAAATTTAGCACAAGGGTTGTCTTGAATGTGACTACTTAAACTGGAGTTTCCCTCGAATTTGAACTTGTACAAAGCCTGTCGTTGCGTTAGGCCAAGCGGATATATCCGGTGTAATCTAAGCTCATTGTCTCCTTTTAAGCTTCCAGGCCTTTCCTTCTTCCAAACCGGCTCACGTTTAAGAGACTTGAATTTGGTGAGAACCGCAGATTCTAGAGCTTCCTGTGTCAGATTTTTACCCCTGGATTGGACAAGAAAGGTTCCGAGAACAATTTTCCGGTTAATCCTACCTTGTGTTCTGCTTAAGTGGTGAAATATGTAGGCTTTCTTACCTTAAAAAGATGGATTCCATTTCAAACCGGCCTCTTTCTCTAACAAAAACGTGATAAAGTGTGTCTGATCCTCCCCTACTGCATTTGCAAGGTCGTTTCTTAAAATTCGGGCTTTTCTCTTCTTGTTCTCGGACCCTCGTGGCCAGGAAAATGCAGAGACGGCAAGAAGAGTGTACAGCAGCCATATCAACAAGTGCCTTGAAAGAATCTGAAGGACCCTCATATTTCCATCTAAATCAAAACAGAATCATGAAGCTGTCAAGAAGAAGTCATTGCACACATTTATAATCATTTATGGAAACAAAATCGGACCTTAGTGTCTGATTATAAGCAGCAGGGTTAGCTGCGAGATACTTCATTCTCTTTGCAACTGGCTCTACATCTTCCATATTCTTAATGTGAAGGAATGAGTCTGAAGCAGGCGCAAATTCTTCTATATTTGGAGGACCAACTACCACGGGGACGGATCCTGAGATCAAATGTTGAAAAATTGCTTAGCTTTATATAAAGTTCTAATGAAATACTTCTGGAAAGAAATACTTTGTTGTCTAACGACATCACCAACAAGAAGTTGTAAGATATGCTCACAGAGAGATAAAATCTAAAACATACCAGCAACTAGGGATTGGAAGAATTTCTCAGTGACATAATCCTCCTCGTTAGTATTCTCAAAAGCCAAACTGAATTTGTATCGCTTAAGAGCTTCAACCTTGTCAACTATATGAATTTAATGAAACAAATCACATCAAAAGGACAGCTCGTTGATCTACCAATGTTTAATTTGCCTAGTTTCCTATGTTACCTTTTCCATCCCGGTTTCGATGACAACCACCATAAGAATCAATCTTAACGTTAGTTTTCATCAGGGCTTCAAGTGCTTGTAAACGAAAATTCCGAGCACCACAATTAGAAATAAAAGCAGCTGCGATAGCTTTTTCGGTCTTAGGCTGTACTGGAGCCATAATATCATACTCCGCCCACGAAAAATACCCAACAGGAACATCTGATGATAGACTAGTGGTCATCACTATATCATAACCTCTCCTGATGAACAAGAACATTACATTTATATACATCCTACCAAAAGACACGTCATGAAATACGTTAAGCAACTGTTGAGATTGTGCTTACCCACCGTCGTGCCTGTGCAAGATCATTTTCTGGATAGTACTGTGCTGATTCCATGGAGCGGATTATACTAAGAGTTCCAGGTTGATGACCTAATCCAAACGCAGCATCTGGTTTTTTCCCTGAACTATCTCCAAATGTACAATCCACAGGACACCATTTAAAGTCCTACCAATCAATAAGCCATTCAAAATTCAGTTCCCTAGACTAATCAATCAATCACTCTACAATATGTAGCCCAAAAAGGAATGATCAAACATGAGATTAGCCGAAGTAAATGAACTATTTTGATTCGTTATGTTTTACCTTTTCACCACCAGAGATAAAAATTGGATCTTTAGTGAAATCTCTAGAATAAGTAACTGAATCTTCTCTCATCAACCACTCCTCGCAGCTATCTGTAAACAATCCGATCTTTTTCCGATCGGATCTCGCCGGTGGAGACTGCGAGAGTGACGGTGACTGGGTGAAGAAATCGGTCAACGTATCGACTAAAGCGACTTTATCGAGCCGACCCAGAAACCCGATCTCAGCGATAACTACCAGAGCAACGCAGAGTGGTAACAAATTCGACAACTTTCGCTTGATTGATGTAGAGGGAGACGAAGAAGAAGAAGGAGAGCCATTTGCCGCCGGTAATTCATCGTGGGTAGCTCCGATTCTGGGTCCTCGAAGATTTGAGAAAACACCCATTAAACTAGAGGAGGAATCAAAGGAAGGAGATGAGAAAAGGTTTTTGCTTTTTCTGAGGATTAAAGGAAGGAAGATTCTTGTTAATGGATTGATTTGGTAAGTGTGTTGGGTTTAATGTTGTTTCATTTCCAGAGCGAGGCTTTATTTAATTTAAGGTAAGATTAGAAATGTGAATTAATATAACATATGTTTTGATTTTTTCAGGCTTAGCTTCAAAGTCAATGCAAAAGTTGTTTTTATGGTCATCGATGGAGCCATGAATTTGGGCCACGTATAGTTTATAGTTTGATGGTCTAGTAGAAGCTGCTTTTTGGAAATCAATTAGAATCCAATTAAACAAGTACCAATAATAATACTTCACTCTCGAAGAAGGAATACGTACGATGAAAGAAGATCAAGACTCGACATTGGTGTGAAAGTGTTTAATACGAAAAGATTGAATATTTTTGATTCAAGGTTCTTCATGGTTTTTCAAGATGAGCGGTTGTGGTCATAAAAATAAACAGTTGTTGCTAGAGAGGCGAATGGTAGATATCGGTTATGGTTAGGGTTTTGCGATTCCTAATCGTCTAGAAAATTAAAAAGAAAACAAGAGAGAAAGTGGGAACAAAAAAAATGTGAATGTGAAATATTGGTAATAATTTTAGATTAATTTTTTATATATATTTTTGGTAAAAAATCTAAATGACATTTTGATTATTTGTTAGTTTCAAAAAGATTATATGTCTTTTTCTTTCAAAAATTAGTGTTGCTATGGTAAAAAAATCATTTGAAATTTGGAAAGTATTAGTTAAGCAAATATTTATGTGTCATTTTTCATTATAGTATTTTCTCTCCCTTTATTTCCTATGTTTCTAAATTCATACTCTCTTTTTTTTAAAGAGAAAAATGAGAGTAGAAATTTTTTTTATAAATATTAGAAAAATTCTTCAGGATAAATACTATAACACTTGTTCTACTTTTTACCATTCAAAATATTCATCAGGTTTTCACATTTGTGAAAACTATTTCCACTATATACAACTAGCATGTTAAGAATATGACTAAAAAATAAGAAAAATCTACTAAAAATTTTGTAATTATTCGATCGAAATTAATCTTGTTCAGTTATTTCCATTGATAATTTTTAAGTTATTTTGCTATTACTCTGACATACTAGATTACCAAGTTTGTTTTTAATGATAAACAAATTTGTGAGGTTTGTTAGTAGAAATTTGTTGAATGAGTAATAATAATATGTTTTGCTCCACAAGAAAGCGGAAGTTTATTAAGAATTCAAAATTTAGCATTACAATATCAATGATCACATAGATGACAAAAAAATGGTGAATTTGTGCAGAGACAAAAATTGGATATGAAATTAGGTAATCGACAATATGAGTTTTTGGTATTCAACAAAGGTAAATAAATTAGATAAATGGGTCTGGAGTTCAGCTTAATAACAAAAAAAAACACCACCTGGTTTGTCTTTGTACGTAAAAAGATGCTTCTGACTTTTAAGGCATCGAAAGTACAACTTGACATGTAATAAATGTTCATCAGTTGACAGAATAATGAGGTGAAAGTAATTAAATGCAAACGATTTTCTTTGAACTTTATCTAATTTGAATCTGTAATGAAAACAGTTTTAGATGGTAATCGAAAAATATAAACAACTAACATAGTTGCATGGACACCCAATAACTTCGAATTTTTTTACAACTAACCTAGTATCATGGACACCCAATGAATATTTTACACGATTTTGACATTTGTATACATATAAACACATATATAGAGCGTTAGAAATAATTATAGTGTTAAATAGTTCGGTCTATGTGTATATATATATATATATATATATAGAGCATTATTAGTATTTGTATACATGTAAACACGTACATGGAGCGTTATTAACATTTGTATAATTGTAAACATGTATGTTGAACATTATTAACATTTATATACATGTAAACACGTTTATAGAGTGCTATTAACATTTGTGTATATTTAAACATATATATAAACCGTTATTAATATTTGTATATTTGTATACATGCTACACCAGGCTTACCGTTTTAATGATGATAATTTCTTCCGCGCCACGTTTAGGAAGAGAAGCAAGACTATATTTCTGCTTTGTTGGAGTGTGGTTGAACAGTTACCGGAGATGTTAAAGGCATATGAGACTTATGGTTCACAGAATGAAAATGGGGGATGATGAACAAGAGAGAAAGTAGAACAAGAGTCGGATAGTTATAATAACTACTTAGATATAACACACTTTATCATCTCGAGAATGGTAAAAGTTAATGATTTTTACTTATGCAATGGACCGATTCGGAGTCCAAATATCAGAAGCGTGTAGGGTTAAAGTTGGCAAGATAAGAAGCTAAATAGTTTATTATTTTAGATCTGGTGTCAAATTACTAAAAAACTAATTTACATCTGATTATGGTGTCTAACCCAATTATCTCCAAAAAAAAATGAAGATCGACTCTATCATGGTTTGATGCCTATTCTATACGTTAGTCCAGCGTGACACAAAAGTGGACAATTCTTTTAAATAAAATAAATTATCAAGTTATAAAGAAGTAGAAATCATCAACATACCATTTACCAAATGAGGAGAGGGCAAAATTTCCATATTTGGAAGTGAATTGTATTAAACTCGACGCAAGTCTTCTGGGTTGCTTGGAATAATTATTATTGCTTGATGTCAAAATTCGCACACCATTGGGATGATGGGGTCCAAAAAGAATCACTGCCCACTTCTGCCTTTTTTTCAACAGCATTTATGTATAATAATAATCCCAATTTAACAAGCACACAAAATATCTTACATGACTTTTTTTTTTTTTTTCCGCCTAAAATATCTTACATGACTAACAACAACATGTTTGTTGCCCCAAAAAAAAAAAAAAAAAGAGTAACAACAAAATGATATTAAATTTAATTTGGCAGATAATTTTAACATTTTGGAGTTCCGACCGACATGATAATAATATAACGTCCACATGATGAATATTTAATATTTTGATGGTATATAATATTATTCATCATGTGGATCAAAGACATAGATCACCATCTACGAAAATCTTCGTGGTTTTCTCTTTGATCATTGTAAACACCATAAGTAGGAGTAGACATTCGTAAATTTCAGATGATCGTTGGAATTTTTAAAAATTAGTTTTGATAAATTAGCCAACCAAAAATCAAACAAAATTTTAGTGCAATTCAGAAATGATAAATTTCAGTTTATTTTTTAGCGATATTATTGTTGAAGCAAAATTTTGAGGTATATATCACATAATAAAAAAAAAACATAATCAATATTAAAAAATTTCTTAAAAATCGGTTGGCGAATTAAAATTTAACCCTTAATATGGGATATTTGTCTCAGATTTAATCCCATTTTTAAAGAAAACAAGGCAAAGGACACGATCAGCGACTAAAGTTCTCACACGTTACAGCTTCTTATTGGTTAGACATGAACGTGGTTGTCAGCTAAATTAAGTGACTATTTTTAACAAATATAACAATCATTAAAACGGGATATTTATTAGTTTATTACCAAAAAATGAAAGCAAAATATCTAAACAATAAATAAAATAAAAAAAACCCTTAAGAGGAAAAAGCTTAACCCCTTAAAATGGCCCAGTTCGTGTCGAAGCTACTACAAACACACTTGTCGTCTCTCTCGCAGCTCTTCTCTATTTTCAGCAATCGCCAATAATATTAGGTAAAGCTTCCTTATTTTTGTTTATCCGTTTTCATTTTTTTTATCTTATGGAATCTGTCTTTGTCTTATCACATCCCCTGAAGTTTTATACTTTTTTTTTTCTTTGGTCCGATTCATAATTATCTGATTTGTCTTTTCTTGTTCTATGTTCTAAATCAAGTAGTAGTAGTAATGAAAGAAGTAACTATTCCTAGTGAATTTAAAGATACGACTTTTTTTTTTTTTCTTTATCTTCTGAGGGTTTATGTGATCTTGCTTTTACTCCGGAATCTGTAATAGATCTGTCATCTTCTTGTTGGGTTCTTGATCTATCTTTTGGATTTATTCAAAAATGTTCAAAGCTATGGACTTTGATTCAATCTTCTTTTTCTTTAGGATTTCTCTGAAACCAAGGATCCAATTTATACTCTCTGGATCACACTTCTGTGATATGTATGTGATTGGTTGCTTCTGGCTAAAACTATATAAAGTTTAGACATTTACATGAAAGTTCCTCTCTTTTGCTTTGGACTTCTTTGCTTGCTCTTATGCAAGTATACTTAAACACTATGTGATACATAGTTGTGTGATCTACTCCTAAACCGGTTTCAATATTTCTGGTATTGCTATCTCTTAGGTAAAGCTAATAGGGTCTGATTCGTTTGTTTTTTTCACTGAAGAATTGGAAGGAAGTGATTTCTTGTGAAACAGAAAAGAAGTATGGGTACTCACATCGATTTCAACAACTTAGGCGGCGATTTGTCTGGAGGGAATGAGTGTAATACTAACCAGTCAAAGCCATTGGTGAGGCAGTCTTCGTTATTTTCCTTAACGTTTGATGAGCTTCAAAGTACATTAGGTGAGCCAGGGAAAGATTTTGGGTCAATGAATATAGATGAGCTACTCAAGAACATATGGACTACTGAGGATACTCAAGCCATTATGACTGCTACATCTTCGGTTGCAGCAGCGAGACCTAGTGGTTGTGTTCCGGGAGGGAATGCTTTACAGAGGCAAGGCTCCTTGACTTTGCCTAGAACGCTTATTCAGAAGACTGTCGATGAAGTCTGGAAATACTTGAATTCGAAAGAAGGTAGCAATGGGAATACTGGAACGGATGCGCCTGAGAGGCAACAGACTTTAGGGGAAATGACTCTGGAGGATTTCTTGCTCCGTGCTGGCGTTGTTAAAGAAGATAATGCTCAGCAGAACGAAAACAGTAGTACCGGGTTTTATGCTAACAACGGGGCTGCTGGTTTGGGGTTTGGATTTGGTCAGCCGAATCAAAACAGCATATCGTTCAACGGCAACAATAATTCTATGATCATGAATAAAGCACCTGGTTTAGGCCTCAAAGTTGGTGGAACCATGCAGCAGCAGCCACATCAGCAGCAGTTGCAGCAGCCACATCAGAGACTGCCTCCAACTATCTTTCCAAAACAAACGAATGTAACATTTGCAGCGCCTGTGAATATGGTCAACAGGGGTTTATTTGAGAGTGGCGCAGATGGTCCAGTCAACAGTAATATGGGAGGAGCAGGGGCCACTGTTACAGCTACTTCTCCTGGGACGAGCAGTGCAGAAAACAATGCTTGGTCATCACCAGTTCCTTATGTGTTTGGTCGGGCAAGAAGAAGCAATACCGGCCTGGAGAAGGTTGTTGAGAGAAGGCAAAAGAGAATGATCAAGAATCGGGAATCCGCTGCTAGATCAAGGGCTCGAAAGCAGGTAAAGTGTTAATCTAACCAAACTGTCATTACCGTTTTCTTTTAAAGAACTTTGATATCGATTTTGATGCTTCGGTTAAACCTCAGGCTTATACCTTGGAACTGGAAGCCGAGATTGAAAGTCTCAAGCAAGTGAATCAAGATTTGCAGAAAAAACAGGTTTTTTCTTCTACCATTTTTTATTGCTTCTCCATAGAGAATCTAGCTGGCTCAGTTATTTAACTGAGGTCTCCCTATGTTGCAGGCTGAAATTATGAAAACTCAGAATAGTGAGGTAAAAACGTTTCTCCTCTACTGGGAGATACTTTTTTAAATTTTCTTTGTACTACATGTATACAACATCCTTGTCTCTACATTACCAGACATTTTGTGTCTTGTCTAAATGTGGCTCTATTGTCTCTTTGATGGTACACTGTTCACTGATACTACTTGAATTTGCAGCTAAAGGAATCGTCGAAGCAGCCTCCATTGCTGGCCAAAAGACAATGCTTGAGAAGAACCCTTACCGGTCCGTGGTAAGAAGGTGAAGTCAAAGCAAGAAGAGCCTGCTAATGTAATACATCACCAAAAATAAGACATTGGGAGACTAATATGTAATAGATGATAGTGCTACTGTACAGGAGAGATTACAGAGACTCTTACAATGTAGAAATCTTTGAGCTGAATATAACTAAGAGTGCTAAGTATCAGAAGCTTTCAATATGAATTCATAATTTTCATATATATATGTAAACTTTCCTATTTAGCTATAGAGATGTGACTTAACTCAGAATGAGAGTCCATTAATTGGAGAGTGAGGTAAACTCCGGCTGTAATTAAGTTGTCCATTAATCCGGGAATCGCCTCTTTGAATTCTCGAATTGCTTCTCTTCCTACTATCCCAGCCTATCTCTTCCTCAACCGCTTTAGCAAATGCACTATGCAACTGATCACAGCTTTCACACAACAGCCTCAGGACTTGCTTAATTGATGGCCTAGATCGGCCTTCTTTCTCGGTACACCATCTCACAACCGCCACAACTGCTTCAAGCTCTTTTCTTCCAGCATCATCAATGGAGTCTTTGATTCTCGGATCTACCAAATCCCAGTGTTTTGATTTCGTCAACAAAAACCGCTGAGACATTTCCACAAGGTTTTTGCCTTCATCGACTGCTCTTCTCCCGGTTATGAGCTCCAGCAACACAACTCCGTAGCTGTACACATCACTCTTCTCTGTCAGCTCTTGCGTTACTACATATTCCGGATCTACATAACCTGAAAAAACTTCAAATTCTTAAAACTCTGTTTCCATCAAAAGTAGTCAAGTTAGTCTGTTCAGTATCTCTCCCTAACCTGGAGTTCCACGGATATCGGTATTCACAGGCTCAAAGCAAACAGAGCCATCTCTAGACGAATGTGCAAGGCCAAAATCTGAAAGCTGCACCAAAAAAACATCATTGAAAGGCAACAACTTGAAAGGTTTCTCTAACGCAGAAGATACAAATACTACATACCTTAGCAACGAAGTTCTCATCGAGTAATATATTGCTTGATTTAATGTCTCTATGACACAGAGGAGGATCACAGTAGAAATGAAGATATTCCTGGAGGAGAGAACAACGTGCAGCCAAGAACCAAAAACTGTAAAAGATATATTATCAAATCAGTTTACAGAGAAAATGTAGATGAAAGATTTTGGAATATTTACCAAAGCATTTGCCACATCAATTGCAATTTTCATTCTTGTTCCCCAACTAGGTGGAGGCTTTCCAGTGGCTGCAAAGGAAAAAATTGAAAGAAGAAAAGTATTCAACACTCTGGATTCGTAAAGTTAATGTAGAAGAAGCATATACATTACATACCATGTAAATGATCTTTTAAGCTGCCATTTTCCATATAGTCATAGACCAAGAACCTGGAAGATTGGAAAAAGAAGATGAATATATACTTTATATTTACGTTTTAGATAAATGCAGAAGGCGAAAAAGCAATGTATGATTCGCCACCTTTCTTTCTTGTTGATGCAAAAGCCTTTCAAAGCAACGAGATTACGGTGATGCAGCTTAGCTAAAAGCCCTATCTCTCTACAAAAATCTTGTTCAGCTTGTTCAGAGACTTTGTTCATTTTTTTCACCGCTGCAATCAGACCATCGCTGAACTCGGCTTTGTAAACAGTACCAAAACCTCCCTGACCAATCACCGTGTTGAAATCATTCGTTGCATTTGTCATTTCCTTGTAGCTGAATTTTCTGAAAGCTGAGGAAGAATCATCTGCAGAAAAAAGATTGTTCAAGTCTCTTCTTTGGTATGATAAAATAAAACAAAGAACTCAACTTCCTATATTCACACCTTCATGAATCTTGAATACAGGCAAGGAAGAAGCAACTGATTTTGTTGACTTCTTATCCAAGCTCTCAGATTCATCGAGTTCCCGGTTTTTTCTACGGATAAGAATTACCAGGACTACGAGCAGCGTAAGAGCAACAGCTGTAACAACAATCCCAATGGTTGGAACCATTGTTAAGTGATATGGATTGGTGCTTCTACTTGTAGTCATTTGAGAATCACTGTTGCTTGGGCTAATAGCACCAACCGTGCTTGGAGAAGGTTCTGGACTTGCCACTGGTGAAAATGACTCTGTCGATATACAATGAATTACTAAAGAAACTGATGTGATACTAAGAAAATTGCAAGTCTTGTGTCTAACCTGAAGGAATACTAAGCTCTGTCACTTGAAAGAAACAGCCAAGGAGTTCAAGAGCCGATGCATCGTCAATTCGGCTTGCTAATGTAGTATAAGTCGCGTCACGACAAGTACTCAATGTAATGTTATTAGTCTCTGCACCGATGAGATTACGAAGGTAAGTGATACCAGAATTCAAACACTTCCTACATTGGTGTCCCGGAGAAAATGGGAGTCTGCAGTTTCTAGAAACATGTCCAAATCCCGGAGACTGATGCATTTGTGTTACAGTGGTTCGACCTTCACAGTCATACTTAACAAGGATCTTGGTTCCCAAACCGCAGAAACTAGTGGCATTTCTTGAGACTCCATAGCTCTCCATGGTTCTAGAGATGGAAGCAATACAGATTTCAGATAAATCTGACGTGACTCCAAGATTAGTTGACAAGTTCGCGTAACGAGCCACAGATACCGCAACAAAGGCGTTCATGTAGCGGCAACATTTGCCTCTGTTGGTTATGTTGGAGCACACAGAAGCTACTAGAGTGAAATTTGATGCACTGAAATCTAATGGACAATCTGCAAACACACATGACAATGCAGCATTAGTGTCTGAAACTGAAAGAAAGAAGAACCCATTTTAAGTTTATTTACACAACGAAGACTTGCTTCAAAACCTATAAAGATTGGTCCACAAGTTTCAAGCTTTTTAACTTTCTAACCACAATAGCTTGAAAAAAAAAAACAAAGCTTGAATTTTTATGGTTTCTCAAGATCTGGTTTCCATTCACAAACAGAGTATTTGCATGTAAGCAACTAATGAACCTAAATTATGCGAATTTCCATCGGAACTCAAAATATAGTCTAAGAAAGCAACAAAATTTGCAAAACCCAGAAGCTCAAAAAATTCAACATTCATAATCTTATCCTGATTTAGGCAAGAAAAGGATTAAAAATGAAGCTTTAAGAGAGAAGAAAACAGAGGAAAATCGAAAAAGAGAAACCTGAAGCCATTAGTGAAGGCAATTGGGTAGCAAGTAATGCAATTAATGCCAACAAGAAAGCTTGACTATTCACAACCATGGCCAAGAGCAACCAGAGAGAGAGAAGAGAGAATGAGAGATTATAAAAAGGAGTTTAACGGAAGGTCCCTGTGTGAATATGACATTCGAGGGCTCTCTGTGTATAGTTTTGTATACTCACTGACAAGTGACAGGGAAAAAGACAAATTCTAGACTTGTCAACTATTCAATTCGTGATCAGAAACCACTAAAATTGTAATAAAGCCCCTAACTTTATTATTTCCTCTCGTTTTTAACCCACTAGTTTCTTTTTATCTATAAGATACCATTACTAACTTGTGAATGTTTAAGGAAACACAAAAATTTAAATATTCAGAAATTTGTATTTGATTAGTTTCTTTCATGTGGAATGATTTGGACCAACACAACACAAATACATGATTAGTAGTCGGTTTAAAAATTGAAAACAAATTAAAATGAAGGTCGCATGTTTGTATCATGATGTTTCATGTCATGCCATTTCGTTAATTATTAAATTTTATTTTTTTTATTCGTTTTAAATATTTTTTTAAAAAAACACATCCGTTGTATGATTGTAAGTTTGTAACTACAATTGTTAGTTCAAAATTAATTTTATAAACAAATATTCTACTTTGTAATAAAACGAATAATTATACGCCCTTTGTTCTTTTCTTGGAGAAAAAGAAAGGTATATATTGCTTGTTAAAAAAATAAACAAACAAGCATTTATGAAGTGTTTGGTGAAGTGAAAGCGACATAGGGATAAAATCACTAATGGGTTCGAGTGCTTTGGGATTGATCCTAAATTTAGTTTTCGATATAATCGAATTCAAAAATATTGAAATGGAAGAAGCAATGTGAACCCAAATGGAAATGGTCTACATAACGTTGGTAGGGTCACTCACATGTGCAACACCCTGTCATATCTCAGACCCTCAACTGCAATATTTTTTTGTTAGGTTTTAGATTTATTGTATGCATTTTTTTTCCTAAAATATTCTAGTAATGCCATATACAATGGGTTTATATGGTCATACGTAGGGTTGGATACAATGTGGATATCTTAAATGAAACAATATATGTGTTCCGTTTTGTAACTAACAAATAACTTGGGTAATTATTATTGAGTCGGTTCTAAGTACATGATTATGTAGATTGGGTGATAGTTGGAAAGGTTACACATGTGATTGAGTTTGCAAATTCATAAATGGTAAAAGAATCAATGTAGAAAAGATTTCACGAATAGTACAAATGTGAGTGTGAATTTAGAGGCTTAAGAGCTCAGGGTTTGGGTCCCTACCCCAGTAAAAACAAGATTTTGAAAAGGAAAAACAAGGTTTTTCAAACTATATGAAATTCGTTTGTCCTTGTGCCAAATTTCCATGATTTATAATTTACAGCTTCGAGCTGGATACTTGGATTCATACCTATCCCAAACTTTTCCGTACTCGAACCGAAATCCTTTGATAAGAAAAAGCTGACCAAACTGTATATGTGAACTGGTTTAGGACATTTGTGACTTGGTTTATAAACGTAGAAAAGTGGGCTTAGATTGGGCCGATTGAATGGAAAATGGTTTTATAGAACAAATTTTGAAGAAATGTGAAAATAGTTAAATGGGGAAATTGACGTGTCAAGCTTTGTTCGGAAAGAAGGTATGCAATTGCGTGCAAACTTTACAAATTGTTTGGGCTAAATGCTGTCATGCCATATTTGCCGTAACATCGTCTAAGCTTATTGTGTTAGTCTTTTTCCTTTTATGTAAAACCCAATTACCAAAATAACTCACATTTTATTATCATTGTCCTTCTTCCATTATACTCCCTCTGTTCCTAGAAGATTGATGTTCTAGAGTTTTCACATATATTAAGAAACAATCATTGTTTAATTATTTGTCAATTACTTTTTTATACTAAATATTTTTTAATAACTTTGAACCAATAGTATTAGAAAACAGTTAATCATTACGTCTTGAAGTTTACGATATATTAATTTTAATCAATTAAAAATAAAACAAAAATCTAAAAAATCAAACTTTGTGGAACAAACTAAAACTCTAGAACATCAAATATCTAGGAACAGAGGGAGTAATTGTTATGTAAGAAAGTTGCAGGCAAAAACTAGAATGATATCTTTAATGATAATGGAAAGGCTCTTTTCGGGTTTCAGTTTTGAAAAAAGCACAGTTGGTCGAGAGTTCTAGACCAATGATGATTATTTAGAAAGAATATATTTTGAGAAAAAAAAAATTAAAAATATATATATATATATATATATATATTGAGAATGCAAGAAAAAAAAAAATGAAAGAAAGTGCATGAAAAAGAAAAAGTGGCAAACCAACAAAGCCACTTCTTTTGCAGCATTTATTATCATCATGACTTCACCGACACACGCGCACTTCCGTTCACTCTATTTTTATCCTTAAAATCCTCTCATTATTCATTATTCATTTTATTTTATTTGTTGTTTCTTGGTCACAAGAATCTTCACGCAAATGCAAACCACCAACCAATCTAATCAAACATCATGATGAAGTAGCTTCTTGCTTCTTCTTCTTCTTCTTAAATTTTTGGGTTTTTACTTTTTGGCGAAGATAGCCATGTTTCAAAGATCATTACTCTTCCTTCTCATAGCTCTTCTGATTCAATCTTCTTTCCTTTTAAAGATTTCCTCTGCTCTCAAGGTAAACAAATCTCATCAAATTTTACAACACTTACATTTGTGTCTGTCCTCTGTTCCGACCAAAAAACAGAGGATCTTTATTAGTTTTGGAGAAACATACTATTAACTCAGCCAGAACTATAGAAATTGGTAGTCTAAAAATCTTGTTTTAATCAAGATCCTCTGTTTCTTGGGTCATTTCATTTGAAATATCTTATATTTCTTTATTGATTTTATTTTGTTTTGGATCGTAGGAAGGAAAAACATGTATAACAAACAGCAACTGTGACGTTGGATTACACTGCGAAACATGTATAGCCAACACTGATTTTAGACCTAGATGCTCCCGGACCCAACCCATAAACCCCATCTCCAAGGCAAAGGGATTGCCTTTCAACAAGTATTCATGGTTAACCACACACAACTCCTTTGCTCGATTGGGGGAAGTATCAAGGACCGGTTCTGTGATCTTGGCGCCTACTAACCAGCAAGATTCAATCACAAGCCAACTCAATGTAACAAAGTTTCATACTTTTATTAAACCTTTCTAAGATTTCTTTCAAAAGTGTGAATCTTTTTGTTGGATTATCGCAGAATGGTGTAAGAGGGTTTATGCTCGACATGTATGACTTCGAAAACGATATCTGGCTTTGCCATTCTTTCGACGGAACATGTTTCAATTTCACCGCTTTTGTAAGTTTTGATACAATATTTGTTTGGTTTGATGTATAGAAAGGTCGGTGCATCGCGAAAATGTTGAAGATCTTTTGTTTTTGTGTGCAATGTGGTAGCAACCGGCGATTAACATTTTAAGGGAGTTTCAAGTGTTTCTAGAGAAGAACACAGAGGAAGTTGTAACGATTATAATTGAAGACTATGTGAAATCGCCTAAAGGTCTCACAAAAGTGTTTGATGCAGCTGGGCTACGAAAGTTCATGTTTCCGGTAGCAAGAATGCCCAAAAATGGAGGGGATTGGCCAAGGCTTGACGACATGGTACGACAAAACCAACGGTTGCTTGTTTTTACATCTGATTCACATAAAGAAGCAACCGAAGGAATCGCATATCAATGGAAGTATATGGTTGAGAATCAATGTGAGTCCTATATATGATGCAAAGCATTTAATCTTTAAATTTGTATGAATATCTTTTTTTGTTAATGAATGAAAACAAATTGTAGATGGAAATGGAGGACTGAAGGTAGGAGTGTGTCCAAATAGAGCTCAATCAGCACCGATGAGCGATAAATCGAAATCTCTTGTGCTTGTGAACCATTTCCCTGATGCTGCGGATTTGATAGTAGCATGTAAACAAAACTCTGCTTCTCTTCTTGAATCCATCAAGACATGTTACCAAGCCGCGGGACAGCGATGGCCTAACTTCATAGCAGTCGATTTCTACAAGGTACATCTATTTTGGTAGTTGTAGGTTTTGAAGATTGTCTGGAACTCGTCTTATTAATTTGTGTGTGTGTGAGAGAGTTCAGAGAAGCGATGGTGGAGGAGCTCCCCAAGCAGTTGATGTTGCGAATGGCAATTTGATATGCGGTTGCGATAACTTTGCAGCGTGCAAGGTCGTTTTCTTTACCTGTTTTGAATCTGAAGTCGTTATGTAAATTCGACGGTTTGTTAAAATTTTCAATATAATCTGCAGGGTGACGGCAAGTGTGGATAGTAAGAAAGACTGAGCCACCAGAAGCAACTCCCATAACCAAAAGGCTTTCTGCGTTTGTTGTCACCTTTGCGTCATCTCTTCCATAAAGTTTGAAGCTTTTCGTGTAGTAACGGTTAGTTTTTGTTTTTTGTTTTTTTAGATTAGTGTATGTAATGGTTAGTTTCATTATTCTAAATTTCCTAATCACATACGAACTAGTCACCGAATAAACGAAAAGTGAAAGCACAGGTGAATAAAAATGTCAAACAAAGTTATTTAATAACTAAAAATATAAACTAGAACATGTTAAATTTTGATTTAAAAAAAAAAAGTTATTTTATTTGACCACAAAATGTAATATAGTTTGTTGTACCGATGCCATTTAGGATTTAAACGCGATAAAATGTTGTGACTTGTGTCATCTAAAATTTAATACATTAGCTCAAGAACCTCACCCTGATCTACTCGAAACAAGACTAAATCTCTATCGAGAACCCTCTCTGATACCAATTGTAAGTGCGGATGAGGTAAGATAAATTGTAGAAAGTAAACGAGACAAGAAATTTGTTAACGAGGTTCGGTTTTTCCTACTCCCCGGGACCACGTCCAGATTTCGATTCCACTAGAACAAGAAAGCAAATTACAAACAATTCGCAAACGCGTAAAACAAGCCCAACCCTCTTGATTTACCGCTCCCTTCTATAACGTGAAACCTTAAGGATAATCTCTACCCTTAACTAAACTCCCCTTGAGTCTAGATTTAATCAGGATAACCTAACCCTGAGCTAAACTCCCCTTGAGCCTAGACTTCAAAACAAAACCACTTGATCACACAAGCACAAAACCCGCAAAACTAAGTTGCACAAAACCGCGAAACTATGTCGCACACACCCTCTGAAAGCTCTCAATGATTTGCCTATATGCCTCAGCTCTCTTACTTCTCCAAGACGTCCTCCACTCCTCCTTATATAGCCAAAACGATTTCCTAATCACCATAGGAGAAGATTTCCAATTTCCATAAGAAAAAGTAAATTTCCTTTTATACTTTTCCTTTTTCTCACCAAACTCCACTTTCATCAAGTCTTCCAAATCTCTTTAAGTCCTTTTTCCTTTGTGATTCATCCTCTAAACACGCTCCAAACATATCTTCTCAAACCTTCTAGAAACCGACACTAACACAAAAACAGTCGCATCTTGACTTACTTCTTGAATCATTCAGCAACTCCATCAGACAAACTCTTGTATTACTTCTTGACTCATTCAACAACTTAATCAGACTGCAGCTACATCTTCATTCTCCCCCTTTTTGACTATGTTTGTGAACTCAACAGTTCTAACTCCAAAACAACATCACGAAACACATCATCATTCTCCCCCTGAATGAGTCACAACATGGTCAAAACTACTTAGAAAATTCTCCCCGCTTTGCAATACGAGGTTGATAGCCTAGTACACCATGGGTGTTCCGGCGAAGCAATCTGTGTTGTTTCTGTTGGTTCTTCAGTTAAAGGTGCGAACTTTATCTTGATTAGGTTTGGAATCTTCTGGTTGAGGGACGTGACATAGGTTGTAGCTTCTGGTTTTGGGTTTTGATCGGGAAAAGGTCACATCTTTGGTTGAAATTTCTAAGCTTAGAGGGTTAAAATGTCTCTTACGGTTCACAAGACGAGTGAGAAGTACAAGGAGCTGAAATTTCCAGTGGTGTTGAATGGTAAAAATTACCTTTTGTGGAAGAGAACCACAACGAATGTGTTAGGGGGAAGAAAGCTCACGAAACACATAGAGGTTACCTTTGAAGAGTTGAAAGCAATTGATGAGAACTTGGATAAAGACACTTGGAAACAAGATGATTTGAACGTCCTAAGTGCTTTACATTGCTCACTTGAGGCTTCAATCTTAGAAGGATACTCATATTGCGAAACATCTAAAGAGCTATGGGATACTCTTATGAATGTGTTCGGAAATGAATCAAACTTGACTCGGGTCTATGAGATCAAGAAGGCTCTAGGGAGTCTATTCCAAGATGAAAGTGATTTCAATACTCACTTTGGGAAGTATAGATCACTTGTAGCTGAGCTGGAAATGCTACGACCATTCACCACGGAGGCAAAGACACTTAAAGATCGAAGAGAGCAAGATCTTGTCTTTGGGTTAATGATGACGCTGAACTCGACATACAAGGACGTGATTCAACATATCTTGAGAGATGACAAAGTACCAACCTTGGAGCAAGTATGTTCAAAGATACAAAGGGAGTATGGTTCTCAAGGTCTTTTTGGCAACAAAGAGGAGAACCTACCTACGGCAAACAAAGTTGGGACAGTGAAACAAGGTGACAAGAAACTGTTGGTTTGCGATCATTGTAAGAAAAAAGGTCACTTGAAGGATAAATGATGGCTTCTTCATCCCCATTTAAAACCGGAAAAATTCAAGAACTTCAAGCCAAATGCGAATGCGGTTAATGGAAGTGATGGTGGGTCAGAGAATGAAGAAAGAGCTATGGTTCAGTACGGGCAAGAGAAAGCGATGCAGGCCATTACACAAGGCAAGAGTGGCGCATCTACCTCACAAGCTCAGGAGACTATTGTCATGAACAAGGCTGACCTCGAGTCTCTCCTCCAATCCATTGCATCTAAATTACACACTGGCGGTATTTCTCTCTTAACTTCTAATACTCGTGATAAAGATTCATTAGTATTAGATTCAGGGGCTTCTCACCATATGATTAGTAACCCTAGGTTGTTAGAGAACATTAAACCGGCCTTAGGTAATGTTAAAGTTGCAAATGGACATAATGTTCCAATAGAAGGCATAGGTTGCATAGATTTGTTCAATAAGAAGTCTAGTGCTTTATATATGCCTAAGTTCACTTCAAATCTTCTCTCTGTTAAGAAAACGACTAAGGACTTGAATTGTTTAGCTATTTTTAGTCCTAATGACGTGAAGTTGCAGGATATTGAGAGTGGAAAAGTGTTTGGGCAAGGAAGCACCAAGGATGACTTATATGTGTTTCAAGACATCTCTTTAAATTCTGTTTCTAAGAATAATGTTTCTTCTATCTTTGCAAACTCTGTTAAAACATCGGTTGTATTGTGGCATGAGAGACTAGGCCATCCACATTCTCGAGCTTTAAGTTTATTAATGCCTGGTTTTTCTTATGATTGCACAAATTGTGAAGCATGCATATTAGGCAAACATTACAAAGCTGTTTTTCCTAAGTTTAGTGCGATTTATGAAAAATGTTTTGATCTTGTGCATTCTGATGTTTGGTCTTCACCTTGTGCATCTAGAGACAATCATAAGTACTTTGTCACATTTATAGATGAGAAATCTAAGTATACATGGGTAACTTTGATGCCATCTAAGGATAGAGTTTATGATGCGTTTATAAACTTTCAAAACTATGTGACTAATCACTTTGATGCAAAGATTAAAATTCTTAGAACAGATAATGGAGGTGAATATACAAGCAACAAGCTCAAAGAACACTTGGAGAAATGCGGAATCCTTCACCAAACGAGCTGTCCATACAATCCACAACAAAATGGAGTTGCCGAGAGGAAGAATAGGCATTTAATGGAGGTGGCAAGAGCTATGTTATTTCAGAAGCATATGCCAAAGCGGTTTTGGGGAGATGCGGTGATGACAGCATGTTATCTCATCAATCGAATACCGACACGTATCCTTGATGATAAATCTCCATTTCAGATTTTAAACAAAACTAACCCTAACATTGATCATTTGAGGGTCTTTGGAAGTCTTTGTTTTGTGTTTGTCCCAGGTGACTTGAGAAACAAGCTGGAACTCAAGAGTAATAAGTGTGTTTTCATTGGGTACTCAACAACTCAGAAAGGTTACAAGTGCTTCGATCCAGTCACCAATCAGTATTACGTGTCAAGGGATGTCAAGTTTATGGAAGACAAGGCATACTTTAGGGAAAAGAGTTGGGAGAGTGTTAAAGATCTACCTAATTCTACCTTTGATCGAGCTGCAAGTCTCCGTCACATTCTGGAGCATTTGGGAAATGCGAGTTCTCCTCAGGCAGATAAGGAAGCTTCACCAACACCAAATGTGGATGAGAATGAAGTCAGAGAGAATGATAACGATGCATCTCAGAATCTGTTGGATAATCGCCAAGACAGTGGTAGAAGAGAGGAGTCTAGTGAAGAAGTGGTAGAGAAGGGTCAGTCTAGTGAAGGAGAAGTTATTGAGTCTTCAAGCGAAGATGGGACTTATCAAGCTCCACAAGTCACACAAGATCCGGTCTACACACGGGAAAATCCAAGGAAGAGTACAAGAGAGAAGAAATCTCCTTCTGAATGGAAGAAAGCTAGAATCCCCTACTACAATGCTCAAGCCGTGGCTCATCCAATACAAGCAACGTGTTCGATTGCCCTCTTACCTAAAGATCATCAAGCTTTTGTGAGCAAGTTAGATGAAGAATCTATCCCACAAAACTATGAGGAAGCTAAGGAAAGCGAGAAGTGGACTAATGCTGTAGATGATGAAGTACAAGCTATGATAAGAAACAAGACTTGGGATGAAGAAGAACTACCAAAAGGGAAGAAGTGTGTTAGCTCAAAATGGGTATTCACCATTAAGTACAAGAGTGATGGTGAAATTGAGAGGTCTAAGGCTAGGCTGGTTGCAAGAGGGTTCACGCAAACTTATGGTGATGACTATAGGGAAACGTTTGCTCTGGTAGCTAAACAACACACGGTAAAGGTGGTTCTATCTTTAGCGGTTAATTTGGATTGGGAGTTGTGGCAAATGGATGTCAAGAATGCTTTCCTTCAGGGGGAGTTAGAAGAAGAAGTCTACATGTCACCTCCTCCGGGTTTAGAAGACATAGTGGCTCCGGGAAAGGTCTTAAGGCTTCGGAAAGCAATCTATGGTCTCAAACAGTCTCCAAGAGCTTGGTATCACAAGCTAAGCACCACTCTATTGGCAAATGGCTTCAAGAGGTCACATTCGGACCACACTTTGTTCACAAAGCAAGATAATCAAGGCATAGTAGTGGTATTGGTCTATGTTGATGACTTGATTATCTCGGGCAGTAACAAAGAGGGTATTCAAGCCATTAAGTCTTCTTTACACTGAGCCTTTGATATTAAAGATTTAGGTGTGTTGAAGTATTTCTTAGGGATTGAAGTGTGTAGATCCAAGGAGGGACTGTTTCTCTCACAAAGGAAATATGCACTCGATCTTCTAAAGCTTACAGGAAACTTGGAGCTAAACCGGTGGATACACCACTAGAGCAAGGATACAAGGTCAATCGAAAGGGGGAGAAGGATGATACTCCATATCATTGCCCAGAACAGTATCGAAGACTTGTTGGTAAGCTCATTTATTTGACATATACTCGGCCTGATCTCTCTTTTGCCGTGAATCAGGTGGCTCAACACATGCAAGTCCCTACGGTGTACCATTGGAGCATGGTGGAGAGAATTATGAGATATATCAAAGGGAATCCCGGCAAAGGCATTTGGATGGGAAGAAACTTTAGCACGGAAATTGTTGGGTACTGTGATGCAGACTACAATGGAGATCGCAACACAAGGCAGTCCACAACCGGCTTTTGCACTTTCATTGGTGGCAATCTTGTAACTTGGAAGACAAAGAAACAGAAGGTGGTGTCCTGTTCGAGTGCTGAAGCGGAGTATAGGGCTATGAAGAAGCTCACAAACGAGTTGACATGGCTGAAGGCTCTACTAAAGGACTTTGGGATCGAGCAAAAGACGCCAATTACCTTCCATTGCGACAACCAAGCAGCCATCCATATTGCTACTAACCCCGTGTTCCACGAGAGGACCAAGCACATAGAGACGGACTGCCACAAGACAAGAGAGAAGATCGAAGACGGTACAATCCTTCCTTGCTACACTAAGAGTTCGGACCAATTGGCCGATATCTTCACCAAGGCAGCAAGTAACCAAGTTTGTCAATTTATCCATGGCAAACTTGGTCTTGTAGACCTCACACATCCTTGAGAAATATTCTCCAACTTGTAGGGATAACACTCTTTTTCCCTAAGCTTGGTTTTGTCCCACGTGGTTTTCCAAGCTTAGGTTTTTAATGAGGTTATTCATACAAGTGCCAAGTTTATACACAATTGGGCATTGTGATATAAACTTGAGGGGGAGTGTTAATCAAGAAGACATTTAACACTAACTAAGTCATAGTTAAGGGTTAAATGTAGGTTACTTGGGTTACTCGGGTTACAGGTTACTTGGGTTACTCGGGTTACATGTTACTTGGGTTACTCGGGTTACAAGGCTAAGAGAGGGTATGATTGTCTTTGTACACACCCCCTTAGACCTAGAGTTTGTTCTCTATATGTACTAAAGTGTGCCTCCATTTGTAACTCTAACTCTTATCAATCTAATACATCTTCTTTCTCTCATCATGGTTCTTCCTATTCTTCCAACTTAATCTTCAAATATTATCATATATTAGCGATTTGTTATGGCAAACGATCTCCGAGAGACTGAACGAGCATTTCTTTTTTTTTTTTCCAAATGTGGTAGAGAGCACTCTGAAGTGCAAGTTGGAGAAGGAGAGTCCTTATTCATAGTTATTAAAAGAACGGTAATTCGGAATGCTTTTGTTTTTTTCTTTTTTCTTTTTTCTTTTTTAGACACCAACTATATATATATAAACTTAGTTGTTATTTCTCTAAATAACAAAAAGTATTTAATGACAAAGGAACAAATTGAAAGAAAAATAAGATGTCAATTGTTGTGCCCTTTATTTACAATAATACACATGGTTCCATGTTTCTTTTACACTAGCTAGTTGCCAAATATTAGAGATAACAACATTGCAAACCCTTGGTCACAAAAGGAACCACATAACTTCAGTAGATCCATTTAAGAAGCTCCAAAACATACAATAAAAACACAGCTAAATGTTAGATGTTGATGGTTTGTGACATTTGATATTCACATGTCTATTTTTTGCTTTGCTCCACTTACAATATTGGGTGAAGTTTCCCTCCATTTCTCTTATTTTCTTTCTTAAAAAGTAAAAAAGATGTTTCATTAATGTCATACAAAACCTTTGGATTAGGGCTTCCGTTGGCTCATTATGGAGGGTGATTCCCATTAACTTCTTGATTTAGTAAATGGTGCAAAAGTGGATACACTGCACACTTGAGCAATCTGACCGATGATATCCACCATTGGATGAACAAGTTTGCAGTGATTCATACAAAACAAGATGTTTTATTAAGAAAAGGATGGATTATACAACAATGAAAATACATATAGTGATGATCCGAAAGTACACAACTACAAATACATTTATTCTTTTATATTGCATTAGACACCTCAAATTATAAACAACTTGGGTATATATATAAGTTATTTCATAATAAAAAAACCAAGGTTATAGATTCCGAATCCGGTCCGGGTTAAGTGTGTTGTAAGATACCGGATGAGAAACTCGAGCTTTTTCGTCCTCCAATCGTTCTTGATCCGGTTTAACCCGGTTTGGATTCTTACCACAAGGGACAGTAAACAAAGACTTGGAATTAAGACAAGTCTGTTTCCGCATGAAGAAGTTAGCACACTCCGATGGCGTTTTCTGGTTTGGAAGATCAAGTATACAATTCATACTAACGTCCATAATTTTTCTCTTGATGAGGTTTCTACATTTCGGACCAACCTGAGTGAAGTAATTATACGAGAGAGAAACGTTTTTGAGACAAGCAATCTCGCATACGATCTCCGGTATGGTTCCATAGAACTTGTTTCCGGCTAAATTGAGTTGTTCCATCGTTTCTAAGCAACCGAAAGAGTACGGTATTGGACCGGTTAATTGGTTGAACCCAACATCGAAAACAGTGGCTCGGGTTAGGTTTCCGATTTGGTACGGTAAGCATCCGGTTAACTGGTTATTCAAGAAAAGGACTTCTTGTAGGTACTTGATGTTGCCTATGCTCGCGGGAATTGAACCCGTGAACCTAAGTCATATCATATCACAACAAATATTAAAGATAATAATTTAGCTACTCAATAATCACACACTCATTCATAAAAAACATAAAAATAAAATTAATCATACTCTCTCTAGTAGCTGTAAATAAGGGCCAAAAACAAATTAAAATATGAGGACAATTTAGATTGAATTGACAATTATTTTTTAACCATTGTAATTTGTTACTAAATCAGCTGATTTTTTTTTAATTCCTTTTATTACTCGTAACAGAAATTAATTTCATTGCTGTTTTACGGAGTAAATTATGACTGATTTTTTTAAAATACAATCCGAGTTAAATATTATATGAAAAATAAATTATTTATCAATCTAAAAAGAGTTGACGATTAAAAAAAGAAGAAACTAACCTGTTGTTGGCGAAGGTGAGGTAAAGAGCAGTGATGGATCCAAGATTGCTTGGAAGCTTCTGAACAAGATTGTTGTTGTTGATGAACAAGACATCAAGGTCGAGATTAAAGACCTGAGGAGGAACAGAGCCTGAGAACTGATTGAACCTGAGATCAAGAAACGTGAGATTGTTTTTCATCAAGACATTGGTTGGGAAATCTCCGGTGAGTTTGTTGTTGCTTAGATCGAGCTCGAATAAGTATGTCAACTTGCTGATGTCAGGCACAGAGCCGATGAAATCGTTGGAGTTTGCGTGGAAGATGGTGACTTCTTCTAACTTGTCGAGGAAGTTATCTAACAGGAGTTTCTTGCCTCTCTTGCCTCTCAATTTTAACCCATTAAACTTGACGCTCGCGAGTGCGAGATCGGTGGTTCCTGGAAAAGTCGCACATTTGAGTCCGAGGTATTTGTTGCAAATGTCGGGTCCTTCCCAAGACTTAAGTTTATCATCTGCGACTAGACCCTTGAATCTTTGGAGAACTGGATAGACTTTCTTTATTAGTGAGCTCGCAAACTGTAGATCAGGTGTTGGCGGCGGCTTCTTAGGCGTAGGTGGTGGATGCGGTGGTGAACGCGGTGGAAGCTGTGGAGGAGGAGGGCATGGAGGAGGAGGAGGGCATGGAGGAGGGGGAGATGGAGGAGGGCAATCTGCAGGTTCTGGTTCCGGTTCCGGTGACGGTGGTGGATTGCCGTCGTCACCACCACCAATAATGATTTCTAAGGATTTTCTGTCGTTAATGTGGCTGTTTCCGGTAGGTAAAGTGAAGTGGAGATTTGAAAGTGAAAGAAGGAGAAGAAGAATTGAGAGAATTGAAGCCATTGAGTTGATGAGATTTTGTGGTGAGTTTTGAGGATAAGTATGGGGACTATGTATATAAGGAGATTTTAGAGCATAGAAATAGAGAAGACTAAGAAGCTTGTGAAGTCAATGGACATTGTCTTTTGGGTAGTGGGAGCTACACTAATATTGCTATTTTTAAGTAGACTATGTACAATTTTACATATGTATAATTAATAATAAATAAATAATAAATACTGATATATAATATACCACATTTAGAAAAGAAAATTGAACGGAGCAAAAATTTCTCAATAATGATTTATCCATGTGGAGTTTTTGGCATTCTTTGGATGATTTACCTTTTTGTGAGAATTTTCATTTAGAGAACATCAAATTTGGCTAAACGTCGAGCAAATTGTACTTTTTGTCGTATACTAAAAATTGCTTTTGAACAGGACACAATGATGGATCAATTGGGTTTCGGGAGGTATGTTGACGGTGGTTTTTCAAGGATCGTTCTGAGATGGATTTGTTATTTTGAAACAATAAGAACATTTCCTAAAGTTAAACACTCATTAAAAATTAGAATATTAGTTTAATATCACTTGTAATTTTAAATGATAAATAAAAGTGAACAAAGTATATTAAGATATTTGGTACTTTTCTCACTCACTACTCTTCTCGTATTTCATTTTTCGACTAGTTTGATGGGTATTTTTTTTGTATGACTAGAAAGTCGGGAACCTATATGAATAACATGGTTGTTCCAAAGTATTTCACTATACATATATAGTGCAACTCAAGTTTTGACCATTTGTTCGAACTTGCTCTACAAACTAGTTTCACACCGAAAAATAATATTCGTTATTTGAAGCCATGTCGAAAATATCACTCCGACCAGAAAGTATATAATAAGTGAATAGCAAACTAATGGCTTGTATTAGAAACTAATAGCAAAATATTCACTCAAAACATTGTTTAATTAACTTTATAATTTACATAACATTCTATCATTCTTCAACTAATAGTTATCACTTTAAAGAAGAAAAAAATAAACAGCCTTACCACAACATTGACATAAACTCATAGGGTTAACGAAACATATCTCTATCAGCACAATTTACATTCTTAATTAGCAAAAAATTATTTATGTATACCATGCTTGAGAAAGTAGAAGAGAAGAAATTGTTCTTACATATTCAAATTAAAAGTGTAGATATTGCTGGAACATGAATCAAGATGTTGGAACGAAAGATGAGATCGAGACTTAGTCTTTCGTGATGTAACATAAAAGCAAAAAAGCCATGTGGGTTGTGGGCCATTATTCAAGCTAAGCCCAATTGCTTGTAAAGATTTGAAACATGCTTTAAGTCGTGTAGGATTTTTGGCACATGATATAAATACCAAGAAACGGGTGATATGAAGACTTGCGTATCTAGGATTTATCGAGAGAGGCACATATGTGTGTGTGACGTTGCCCCACAGACGAAATTCGAAGATTCGTTGATGGTTTTGTTGAAGATCTACACTAGTCGGAAATAGATCTAGCACACATACACTTAGTAATTTCACACATTTCACCTTAAAAGATACTAAACAGTAAACAATATGAAAAGGCAAAAAAAGGGATATGTTCCACTAATTTTAACTTATGCAAGATTGGGCCCAATAAAGGTTAGAAATTCGGTCCATCAAAAAATTTGTTGGCCCATTTTAATTATAGTATCTTTAGCCTTTAATACCTTTGAGTTGAGGTATGAAGTTACAATTTATTTATTTTTTTCACTAGGAAGATTTTCACACCATACAACATACCGAACCTAAATAAAAGGCGCACAGTTTCACAACATGAGTTTTATATTAGGGACCTATAATGTAAATATATTATACTTAGGCTAATATGTTAATTTTCCTAAGTATGTTTAGGGTTTCATGTGTAGGATGTATATATACCTTTTCTCAATGTCAATAGAACACAACTTTTCTCTTTATTCTCTTATCCCTTTGGCATGGTATCAGAGCTAGGGTTTTAAGAAGAAAATCAAACAAAGGGAAAATAAGAGAAGATGGCTGACGTTGACGGGAAAGAGGTTGCTCCGGTGAAGACTACGGAAGGCGGCGGCGGGAGTGGACTCTCGGTGGCGGAGAAGGCTAGGGCCTCTCCACTTTATCTCCATCCTTCTGATGGACCGGGTAATGTGATTACTACTGTTCAATTAAAGGGAGAAAACTATGAAGATTGGGCTAAGCATGTGCGGAACGCCTTGCGAACGAAACGGAAATTAGGGTTTATTGATGGGACCTTGGAGAAACCTACCAAGGATGATGAGATTGAACAGTGAGAAGTGGTTAATTCTATGTTAATCGCTTGGATTATGAACACGATTGAGCCGACTCTCAGGACATCGATTTCTATGGTGGATGAAGCTCAAGCGTTGTGGGAAGATTTGAAGCTTCAATTCTCTACGGGAAACGGGCCAAGAATCAGTGAGCTTCGGGCTGATATAGCAAACTGTAGGCAAAACGGAGATACGGTAATGGTGTACTATGGAAGACTTAAGAAGATGTGGGATGAATTGGCAATTTACAAGCCTATTCGATCATGTAGTTGTGGAGAACTGGCTGCTCAGTTGGAAGAAGACCGTAATAAAGAGAGAACCAATACCTTCTTGAATGGTTTAGATTCTGCGAAGTTTGGTACGGTGCGTTCTACTATCACAAGTATGGAACCACTACCCAAGCTCCCACAAGTCTATCAAAGGATCATTCGAGAAGAGAGACAACTCACGATTACTAGGAATCGTGATGCCACTCCGGAGGCTGTGGGGTTTGCGGTCCAGGCTGCACAACGGGGTCAAACTTCCAATTTTTATCGCGAGAAGGACGTGACATGTACTTATTGTGGTAAGTATGGGCATGCAAAGGCTGATTGCTTTCAGATAATTGGCCTTCCTGAATGGTGGGGAGAACGAGGTCGTGACTACAATGATCGCGGTAGAGGTGGACGTGGACGTGGAGGACGTGGTGCCCGGTTTGGACGTGGTCGTGGGTCCGGTGGTAGGGCTAACGCGGTCACGAGTGTTCAGGCAAATATTGTTGGGGGAATACAAGCTAATTCAACAAGAACACCGGCTGATTTGGATCGTCAATCTCTACCACAAATGAGTGATGATCAATGGAATGCTCTCAAGGGTCTCTTTGCTTCTCAAAAGTCAAATCTTAATGAGAAGCTGAATGGTAAGAAAGAATGTGTTGATTTTATTATTGATACAAGAGCATCACACCACATGACTGGTAATTTAGACTATTTGTCTAATGTGATGAATACCAATCCATGTATGATCGGTCTACCGGATGGTGATCATGTGGTGTCCACCCAATATGGTGATATATGTCTCGGGGGTGATTTGTGGCTACAAGGAGTTTTGTACTCTAAGGATTTAACATGCTCCTTAATTTCGGTTGCAAAGTTGTTGAAAGTGGTTAAGGGTTCTATTACATTCACTGATGAGTTGTGTGTTATACAGGACCGGGCTATGAAGACGCTGATTGGGGTTGGTGAAGAGTGTGGGGACGTGTACGTGCTTCGAGGGGTGATTGGTGCGAAGATACACAAGACTGTGAGCAGTTCAGGATCATGGGATTTATGGCATCGTCGTCTTGGTCATCCGTCTAGTCATGTTGTTCCCTATTTATCGAGTTATTTAGATATTGGAAAGCAAGTTAGTTCCACAACAGTTTGTGATATTTGTTTACGGGCTAAACAAACCCGGGATTGTTTTTATGAAAGTTCTAATAAAGCTGCTGGAATTTTTGATTTGATTCATTGTGATCTCTGGGGTCCGTATCGAATAGTATCTACTTTGGGTGCTGCGTATTTTCTGACAATAGTAGATGATTATTCGAGAGCGGTTTGGGTGCACCTGTTACGGGAAAAGAGTGAAGTCGGTGTAACTCTTAAGAATTTTTTCAAAATGGTGGAACGACAGTTTGAGAAGAAGGTGAAAGTAGTACGTAGTGATAATGGCGGGGAATTTATGGGTTTGCGATCGTACTTCCTGGAAGAGGGAATCATGCATCAAACGTCGTGTATCTATACTCCTCAACAAAATGGTAGAGTGGAGAGAAAGCATAGACATATATTGAATGTTGCTAGATCGTTGATGTTTCAAGCTACCTTACCACGTCAGTTTTGGGGTGAGTGTGTTATGACTGCATGTCATTTGATTAATCGAACTCCATCCACTGTTTTGCAAGGAAAGACACCCTATCAGCTGTTGTTTGGGGAAGTACCTAATATCACTCACTTACGAGTCTTTGGTAGCTTATGCTTTGCTCGTAATGTTTTGCGGGATAAAGATAAGTTTGGGGAATGAAGTAGACGGTGTGTTTTTATGGGGTATCCATTTGGTCAGAAGGGATGGCATGTGTATGATTTGGAGAAGTTGGAATTCTTTGTTTCTCGGGATGTGGTGTTTCAAGAAGATGAATTCCCATATCAGTTGTCGGAACAACGATCGATCGATCCACAGCCGAGATTGATCGATCCCGCACAGTTTGAAGATGATCAGTTTCGACCAGAGACGACTAGATCGATCGATCCGGCACGTGGATCGATCGATCCCGAGTTATTGACATTTGATGAGTTGACTGACCAAACGGGATCGATCAATCCGGCACGTAGATCGATCGATCCCAAGCTACTGACATGTGACGAGCTTGGACCCGAGACGGAGCGATCGATCGATCGATCCCACGCCTAGATCTATCGATCCAGAGAAAATTACTGAGACATCAGCCACTAAAGGATCGATCGATCCGGCACCAGGATCGATCGATCCAGCATCCAGCTCGTCCGGTGTTCATATTACGGGGTCCAAAGATAATAAAAAGACTTCAGATACTGCTTTGGAGGAAAGGGGGAGTCAATTAGGGAATGATAATCTGACTAGTGAAGGGATTAAAGTTAGACAAAGCGAACGGGAAAGAAAACCTCCGGCTCATCTAAGTGATTATGTACTACATACTACACGTTGCTCAGTTGAACATCCCACACTCTCACCGGCACTCACTCAATCAGCGTCCTCTGCTCCAGGTACGGTCCTCTATCCCATTGCTAATTATGTGAGTTGTGACCGATTTTCTGATTCACATAGAGCTTTTTTTGCGGCCATTACTGCTGTCTCGGTTCCTAAGTCATACTCGGAAGCCGTTAAGGATGAGAAATGGTGCAATGCGATGTCTGGAGAGGTGAATGCTTTGGAAGCAAATGACATTTGGGATATTACCGATCTTCCGCCAGGAAAGAAAGCTATTGGCAGTCATTGGATCTTTACTATCAAGTATAAGTCGAATGGGGAAATTAAGCGTCTCAAGGCTCGTTTGGTGGCCATGGGAAATCGACAGGTCGAAGGGTTAGATTTTGATGAGACATTTGCTCCTGTTGTGAAAATGACAACTATTCGCGAGTTTCTTAAGATTGCGGCTGTCAAAGGATGGGAAGTACATCAGATGGATGTTCATAATGCGTTTCTACATGGGGATCTTGAGGAAGAAGTTTATATGAGATTACCTCCTGGCTTTGTTTCTCAAGATAAATCAAAAGTTTGTCGCCTTAAGAAATCTTTATATGGTCTACGTCAAGCACCACATTGTTGGTTTGCTAAGCTTGCAGCAGCACTAAAAGGGTATGGGTTTGCTCAGCAGGTAGCCGATTACTCTCTTTTTACCTTGGAGCGTGGATCTATGCAACTCTTTGTGTTGGTCTATTTTGATGATTTGTTGATTGGGGGAAATGATCTTAATGGTGTTCAGGAGTTTAAGGGATACCTTAGTGAATGTTTTCATATGAAGGACTTGGGGGCTATGAAATATTTTTTGGGCATTGAAGTATCTCGGTCTCATGATGGTTTTTACTTGTCGCAAAGGAAGTATGCTTTGGATATTGTAAGTGAATGTGGGTTGTTGGGATGTCAACCAGTGTCTACTCCGCTTGAGCAAAACCATAAGTTGCCGGATGATGAAGGAGAGTTCTATGAGGATGTCGAGAGGTATAGGAGGCTTGTTAGGCGTTTGGTATATCTTACTTTTACCCGACCAGATTTGTCCTATGTTGTGCATATGTTGGCTCAATTTATGCAACAACCACGTACCAAGCATTGGGCTGCAGTTATACGGGTTGTCAGATATCTTAAAGGCTGTCCGGGTCAAGGTATTGTGTTGAGTTCTGATCCTGATTTACAATTGACAGCTTATTGTGATTCAGATTTTTCTACATGTTCCATGTCTCGGAGATCGGTTACAGGATTTATTGTTATGTTGGGTGATTCTCCGATTGCTTGGAAGACAAAGAAACAAGATGTGGTGTCATTTTCTTCTGCAGAGGCTGAATATCGTGCAATGAGTTTTACTACTCGAGAGTTGAAATGGAATCGTGAGCTTTTAGGATGCTTTGGACTGTCTCATCCGCAGGCGATGCGTTTGTTTTGTGACAATAAGCCAGCCTTACATAGTGCTGCCAATCCAGTTTTTCATAAGCGGACGAAGCATATTGAGAGGGATTGTCACTTCATTCGGGATGAAATTCAGGATGGTTCACTGGTTACTGCGCATCTTACCACTACGGAGCAACCAGCGGATATCTTTACTAAGGCTTTGGGTTCTCAACAATTTGCTTATTTACGGCGCAAGTTGGGCATGTATAATCTTCATGCTCCAACTTGAGGGGGAGTATTAGGGACCTATAATGTAAATATATTATACTTAGGCTAATATGTTAATTTCCCTAAGTATGTTTAGGGTTTCATGTATAGGATGTATATATACCTTTTCTCAATGTCAATAGAACACAACTTTTCTCTTTATTCTCTTATCCCTTTGGCATTTTACAGTAAGAAGACAAGCCCAGTATGACCCCAACAAAGCATCGACTAAGGAAGAAGAAAATTAGTCATTTTCATGCTTTCACTTACCACGTTTCAGTAAACTGGATTTAACCAAAACACAGGTCGAGTGTATAATCTCAAGCATCCCGATGAACAACCTCTGCCGTTCGAGCCAGATTCCGGTGAAAGAATCCTTTCCGATTAAGAAATGGGCCATAGATTCATGTGTTCTTTACCGACAACAACGAATTCGATTATAAAGAGAACAACTTAAGGGATTGTAAATAAGCAACGAAAACCTCTTGGAGTTGCAACTTAACTATTTCGAAACTTTTCAAAAATTCTCATACGCAAGCTAGAAAAGGTTTTTTTTTAAAAAGTCACTCATGTTTTAGTTTCATGCATTACATCGAGATAGATAACCAAATTGTTTTTTTTTTTAGATTAAAGAGATAATAACCATCTTGTTAAATAAATGCATGATATTTCAATTTTTTTTTTTTTTTGAAAAGTAACAGCATTTTATATTTTTTGCAAATCAAAAACTTTACAACTTCTTTGTTTTACTATTACCCACAATAAAATATGTCTGAACGAACATATTTATTTTACTTGCCAGTTACTACATCAATTTCATAATTTATCCTTTTTAATACCAAAATCACTTGACTTTCTAATTTACCTTACAAAAAATTTACGAAGTATATTATAATTTAACAAATTTTCTTAAATATTACGTATATTTATTAGTGTTCTAAAAAGCGGTTTAGACGCTCGCCTAGACTCCGACTAGACGCTAGACTCTCATGCGACGCCTAGATAACCGTTTTGACCGCTTAAAATTACATAGCTATTGTTTAATGTACTTTTTAATTTCCAATTAAGTTTTATCTCTCTATATATAGTTATAAATATCATATATTGTTTAATATAAATATAAATAAATGTTTTATCATAATTTTTGTTTATAATTTCATATTTTTTAGTGTTTTATAGATATTTTATATAAATTTTATACATAATATCATGTTTATAATGTTTTATATTATAAATGTTTAATCCGCTTAAAAATCGTTTAGGCTCCCATTAAGCGTTTTAAGCGCTAGACATTATGTCACCGTCCATTTAACGCCTAACACTTTTTTGAAAAATTATTATTATTTAACTAAAAACATCACTACTTACATACTTACACTGATTCTTGTTTTTCTATTTTTTTTTTTTGTCGGCCTTGTTTTTCTAATCTCATTACTCCTCTTTTGTCTGAATACGGTTATATATTTTTGATCACAAAATAATTATTTTTGCCAAAAGAATAAAAAATTAAAATGCTATTCCCTCCGTTTCAATTTAGTTGTCGTTTTAGGATTAAAATTTTGTTTCATAATAGTTGTCGTTTTAGGTTTTCAATACAAATGTTTGGTGAAAATTCATGTTTTGTCATTAATGTTTTAATGTTTTGACCAATAAAAAAATTATAGAAAATATTAATAAAGGGTAAAACAAAAAATTTAATGATTTTTTTAATTTGTGTGCGAAAACTTTTAAACGACAACTAAAACGAAACGGAATGAGTAAGATATTTCCCAACGCCTATTTTATCCAAGTGTGACCCACAAAACGACACCACAGAGTAAATCCAACGGCTGAGATTTGTCAAATTACCATCAAAGCTTTTAGGGTTTGGTGAAACCTTCCATATATAAACACAGAAACCTCAAAGGTTGTCTTTCCTCTTTGCAGTTTTTTTCATTTGAGCTTCTCTCTCTCTGATAAGGTCACTTCCTCTGACCCTTTTATCAAAGCTCAACGCTGCAACGCTCGCCGCCGGTTACTTCCCCATTTTCCTTCCTTTTTCTGATTCAAAGACTCAATTTTTATTTTCCGGCGTCGACGATTCTTCTCTTAAAAATCTCTGCTTTTTCTTTTGATTTGAGCTGAGATTGAGAAGATAGATAGGTAATTTAGAGTGATTTCTTGAAAAATGGCTCAGATTCAGCATCAGGGTCAGAATGCCAATGGTGGAGTAGCTGTTCCCGGTGCTGCTGCGGCGGCTGGAGCTGCGGCGGCGGCTGCCGGAGCGGCGCAGCAAGGGACGACGTCTTTGTATGTCGGCGATCTGGATGCGACAGTGACGGATTCACAGCTGTTTGAGGCGTTTAGCCAAGCGGGTCAGGTGGTTTCTGTTCGTGTCTGCAGAGACATGACGACTCGGAGATCTCTTGGTTACGGCTACGTTAACTATGCCACTCCTCAAGATGGTAACTTTCTTAGTGCTTCTCGCTTTAATCTGATTTGGGATTTAGTCGTTGTAGAATTTGGGGTATGAGTTTAATCTGGTCTCTGTTTAACGAATTTGGGGTATCAATTGTTGTGTTATATCAAATGCTAATCTAAATTTGGGAACTTGCTATAAAAAAGGTGAAAGCTTTTAAGGTTAATTTGAAAGTGGTTACATTTGGTAACATTGTGGGCTTTCAGGGTATTTGGCTGTTTGGGAGGTTTGTTTGCTTTGAGGTCATAGCTCTTAACTCTGAGGTTGTGTTGTGCGAGTTCAATGTTATTCTTCTTAGAGAAATGAATGATTTTGATGTTAATATTTCTGATTGGTGACAGCTTCCAGGGCACTGAATGAGCTTAATTTCATGGCTCTCAATGGAAGGGCTATAAGAGTTATGTATTCTGTTCGTGATCCAAGTCTCCGTAAGAGCGGAGTTGGTAATATATTTATTAAGGTACTGATACTAAATCTATATTCCTATTGTCCAAATTTGAATGTCTATACAATGTTGGAAAGAAACCTTTGCATCATCTCAAAGTTTGTTTTTTTATTGATGTCCTATTTGACATGGTTTATTATCTGTGTCTCAGAATCTTGACAAATCGATTGATCACAAAGCACTCCACGAGACATTTTCAGCCTTTGGTCCCATTCTATCTTGCAAAGTGGCTGTTGATCCCTCTGGTCAGTCGAAAGGCTATGGGTTTGTGCAGTACGACACTGATGAAGCAGCTCAGAGAGCCATTGATAAACTGAATGGAATGCTTCTTAACGATAAGCAAGTATATGTTGGACCTTTTGTTCACAAGCTGCAGAGAGATCCTTCGGGTGAGAAAGTGAAGTTCACTAATGTTTATGTTAAAAACCTCTCCGAGTCCTTGAGTGATGAAGAGCTGAACAAAGTTTTTGGAGAGTTCGGAGTGACTACTAGTTGTGTTATTATGAGAGATGGTGAAGGCAAGTCTAAAGGCTTTGGATTTGTCAATTTTGAGAATTCGGATGATGCAGCCAGAGCGGTTGACGCTCTAAATGGAAAGACCTTTGACGACAAGGAGTGGTTTGTTGGGAAAGCCCAAAAGAAGTCTGAGAGGGAAACTGAACTCAAACAAAAGTTTGAGCAAAGTTTGAAGGAGGCTGCAGACAAGTCTCAGGGGTCGAACTTGTATGTTAAGAACTTGGATGAGAGCGTCACAGATGATAAGCTTAGAGAACATTTTGCTCCCTTTGGAACGATTACATCATGCAAGGTCTGTGATTGATACAATAAAAAGCTGCGCTTTTTATTATCTTCAGCATATTTGGATTAAAATGTATTACATTTGAATGTGACAGGTGATGCGTGACCCCACTGGAGTGAGTAGGGGATCTGGGTTTGTCGCATTTTCAACTCCTGAGGAAGCATCTAGAGCTGTAAGTAACTACAATATAAAAAAAGACATGTCAAAGCTATTCTCTGGAAGGATCTCGATGCTTAACAATGTCTTCTTTTCCGTGGTTCAGATTACGGAGATGAATGGAAAAATGATTGTTACCAAACCTCTATATGTTGCTCTTGCGCAGCGGAAAGAAGACCGCAAAGCTAGATTACAGGTCTGGTTAACTTAACCCTGTTTTATCCTTAGAAAAGGATTATCATAATCCCATTCTCATCATGCTTAATTTTACCTGTCTGGCATTAGGCTCAATTTTCACAGATGAGGCCTGTCAATATGCCACCTGCGGTTGGTCCTAGGATGCAAATGTATCCACCAGGTGGTCCACCAATGGGTCAGCAACTCTTCTATGGTCAAGGACCTCCTGCTATGATTCCTCCTCAGGTAAATCTCGCAAAGCTTTGAGCAAAAAGCATGAGATATCAATCTTTATAACTTTCTTCACCAACTGGGTATCAAACAGCCTGGATTCGGATATCAACAACAGCTTGTACCGGGTATGAGACCTGGTGGGTCTCCAATGCCAAACTTCTTCATGCCTATGATGCAACAAGGCCAGCAACAACAACAGCAGCAGCAACAGCAGCAGCAGCAGCGACCGGGTGGTGGTAGAAGAGGAGGAGCTCTTCCACAACCGCAACAACCTTCTCCTATGATGCAGCAGCAGGTTAAGTTTTTCTTTCGGCCCAAGACTTCCTTCACATGTTTAAACCATTAGCATGCTAACATTTTGCATTCTCTCCAGATGCATCCAAGAGGTCGGATGTATCGGTATCCTCAGCGAGATGTAAACACAATGCCTGGTCTTACTCCAAACATGCTTTCTGTTCCATATGACGTGTCAAGTGGTGG